GTGAGGCGAGGAAGGAAAGCTTTTCCCCGGTTAAAGAAAGATGGAGTATTTGGTTACCTTTCCAAATTGGGTCTGACCTGGTGTCTGTGCCGATAGGGAGGAAGTCCTAATGGCTGAACGCCACCGGAGGTTCTGTCTGTTGTCAAGGAGTTTCCTCTGGCATGTCCTAAGGCTGAATGGAGAGCGTCTCCTGCTCGGATGTGCCGCGACCAGCCCTGATAAAAGCATTATGGATATTATGTATTGTCAGACACAACGCTTGTTCACTATAACGATAGTAAAATATTTGCTGTCAAATAGATTTACTGAGTTCTATGGATCAGTTAATATTGTCCCACAGCACTTTCTCTGTTAATGTCCTATAAGATGCAGTTATTTATGTTTTGCTACCACTACTACCAATGGACAATAGAAGTAATAGTAGTGCAGATGATTTGAATAAATAAATCCCTAACCCCAAATTACAGTATCCGTACCAACAGACTTGGCGTTAGAGAGGTTGACTAGTTTTGACAAAAAATGTTTTCTTATATCTTCTACTTTTGTTGCATTTTTAGCGCTTGTGGACTAATTGGTGTGCTAACCAGCAAGTAACGCGAGTCACGTAATCAGATTACTTTTTTCAAGTAACTATAAAGTAACGCATTACTTCTAAAGCGACTTGCATTCCTCAGAAAATGTAATACATTTTTATTTTTCAGAATAACCATGTACATTCTCTTCAAAAACCCTTATAGTGCTCAACATGCATTCTTTAGATTAAAATAATTTCTAGTTATACAAGGTGAAAAGTAGTTTATTTTTTCATCCTTGCTCAACAGGGAAATCTTACAACAGGGCCAAGGATGTACGACAAGCCAAGTGTTACTTGTTTACAAATAAAAAAAGGATGAGCAGCACAGCCTTGATTTTCTCCCCTCCGGTGTCCTTCAAAAACATCTCAGACCTCAGTTTATCTTATAGAGAACTGTGCAGTGATAAAGGCATTTGCTAAAAGTTGGATTAGTGAGTTTCTGTGCAGCGTATGAGAACTGGGCCGGGGTGTCGGGGAAGGTATAAACCCCCAGCTGTTCACTGGCATTACTACCTTCAGCTACAGTCAGTGCGTTCTCACGCAGACCACATGACACTTTCCCTCTGACCCCTGCAGCAACAGCTGGCACAGGCTGCTGCACTCGTCTCCCCGTATGAGGAGCCCCTCTCTTAAGTATCTCGAATGCATCAAAAACATAAACTGAAAATTGGCTTTGAAACAATATTCACTCAGAAGTTGCCTATATTTAACAAATAATCCCAAAGAAATGGCAAGAAACAAACTGTTAAACAAAACACAAAAGCATTGAAATATATGTTTTCCTCCCATCTCATTTATCTCATGTCCCTTTAGGGGCTCCGTAGGTTTTGGACCCCATTGACTTTCATTGTATGAAAAAAAAAATCTTCTTTTGCATTCCACTTAAGAAACAAAGTCATACAGGTTTAAATGTCAGAGTGTGCGAATGATGACAAAATTAACATTTTTGGGGTGAACTATAGCCCTTTAAACTCTCGTCTAGGCAAGTATAGATGGATTATATTTCAGGATGTCATATTTCCAGCCCTAAAGTTGCTGCTATTATAGTGAAGTTTTAAACTTTCTTAAGTTATTTCCCAACTGGGTGTTTTCCAATCCTTGACCTTAGGGATCCGAATATAATCCATGCCCTTGGAAACGCATGTCATAATTCAATTAGCTGTCCATTTTAACAGTTTCGTTCCCCTGTGCGCCCTCTTAATGTCAAACAGGTGTTCTCCATCATGTGAGCGCAGCGACGGACACAAAACAGTTCACAGGCTGCGTTTCATCAAGACGAGGGGAGGGAACTCTGCGTCGGAAGTTATTTAGTGACACGGTGAGGAGGGGGACTCAGATTTAAGGCCCCGTGTTTTGTTCATGAGTTAGAAACATGACGTGCTGGCCGGCTTCCCCGAGATTTTTCTAATCCTCTTATTTATTTGAATCAGAGGTTTGCAGAGGGCAGAGGATGGTTACGATCCCTCCCCCATCCATTTCCAATGCCGTACTGGACACATGGATACCGTCTGCATACTGAGAGCCTTTCCCAGTCAAAGCCACCATCCGAGTGCGACGGCTTTGACCGTGTGACTGCAGTCAGGCTGTAGTAAACAACTTCTGCCTGCCAGATAGTTTTCATTCAAGAAACTTTGCACTTGAACGTGAAACTTTGCACTTAAAGTGTGCTCACGCCAGAATTGGGTATAGTTTCACTGAAAATGAAAATGCTCTCATCCTTAACCTTAACCTTAACTCACCCTCAAGTTGTTGTAAACTTGCTTGATGTTCTTTCTTGTGCTGAACTACACAAAAGCAGATATTTTGAAGAATGTTGGTTACCAATCGGCTGCTGGTCCCCATTGACTTCCATAGTAAATAAAAATACTGTTGAAGTCACAAGGTGACTCATCATTCAGATGACATGAACACAGGCTTAAACTCTTGCTGCTTGTTTTAAAATATCTAAATATCTAATAATTTTGTGTATCTGTAAAATCCAAGAAAATCCCCATTTCTTTTCTTTTCATTTTGTTCTGTGAGAATGCAGGATGTGAAATTTAATAGGGGTCCAGCGAAGGGCTTGTTTTTATTGTCGTTAGACTCATTAACATTAGACTGTGAGCAATTTTAATCTAATTTGCCCTAGGCTTTTCTTTCAGTGCCTGTGAAATGGACCCGGGCCAGAGAATCTCCGGGGCTTTATTGAGGCGCAGGTTGCTGCTCTTCCTCAGAGTATGATACTGTGTTCCTGAGCAAAAGAGTCTTTTCCACTCGCAGTTTCATTGCCCTGCCAACTGGGATTTACTGCAGACCCGTCAAACACAAAGCCTATTTTGAAGAAAGAAATGCCCTAACAGTCATTTTTTACACATTTGCTCTTGACACTGATCTTCAACCCTGAAATCTTCAACCCTGTTACATTTTTGAATGGCACAAAACACATATTTGTATTATATAAAATATGATAACAAATAATATAGTATAATATTTTTAATATTTTATAATATTTATAATACTCACTGTGCGTGCGTGCGTGAGTGTGTGTATAAACAATTACAAATAAATTAATAATTAAATAAATTAATAAATATTAGAATTATTGTTTTATTTAATAAAATCATTATTTTTATTTTTTAAATAAATAATTGTGTATATTATTATAAATATAATATTGTATATAAAAATATTAGTAAATAAAAGTTTGCAAATATATAATGTGTGTGTGTACATTAGTCAGTACATAGTATATATACATACATACACACACACGCACACATGTATATACACACACACAGACACATATACAGTATATATAAAACAGAGTATATATTATTTATCACATCTACCTTTATGTTATGTTTATTTGACCTCACTAAAAATATATTGAAAAGGTTATACTGTTTCCTAAGAAAGATCCTTATGATAGCAGAGGCACTTATGTTTGTGAACATCACTTGTGCCTGAGTATTCTTTGTAATAATGGCCTGTTCTGTGGCAAAAGTCTTCAAAGGATCTATTGTAGCCACGGTTCTCAGTCACCATTCACTGAGTAATGGGCTCTGGGAGGCAGGGATGGCTGCGGCAGGGCCGGCCGTATTACATGTTAGAGCTGTCAGGTCAGGGGGTACGACTACGCTAAAATGCTCTTTAACTGACTTTTACATGCTTCATCAGTTTTCATCATCTCCAAATCCCTTGGAAGGAGAGTTTACACTGAAGCTTGACTTGTGTTCAGTGTAGCGTTTTGTTAATATAAATTTAGGATAAACTATTCCTTTGTGTACTGTCAAAGTATGTGAAGATGTTGTTTCTTAGAGGTTAGGGTTACAAACTGGACACAACTGTGTGTGTATGAGGTCATGTGTCCTTTCATCTCCACTTTCCCTTGTACACACTGACATTTGTCTTTTGATGCGTCTGGGCAGGTGTCCTCACAGCCTCATGTGTTCTAGCACACACATACATGTGACACCATACACTAGCACACACATCAGACAGTAATGTCACTCAGTCCTGGTGAAGTCTAAAATAATGACCTTTCCCTCATCACACTTTCATTTAGAGATATTCACACCACAGTCACTGGAGAGAGTAATGAAAGAGGGTGAAATAGGAAGGGCCGCTTGAGTCTGATGACCTCATTTTAAAAGCATAACCTACTGTAATACCCTAACAACTGCCTAGAACACTCTTGCAACCACATAGCAATGCAATACCATTTAGAACACCTTAGCAGCAACATAGCAACACCCTAACAACCACATAGCAATGCACTATATATGCCACTTAGAACACCTTAGTAACTACATAGCATCACCCTGGCAAACATCCACAACACCCTAAAAATCACATAGTGTTCTGAGTTTTCGCTGTAAACCACCTTGAACACCTTAACAACAACATAGCAACACCCTAGCAATCACATAAAAATGCACTACATGTGGTATTTAGAACACCTTAGCGACTACACAACAACCACCTATTAAACATCTACAACACCTTAGAAACCACAAAGCAATTCACTATAGCAATGCACTATGTATGTACACACGTTAGAACACCTTAGCAGCAACATAGCAACACCCTAGCAACCACATAGAAATGCACTATATACACTAGAACTCCTTAGTGTCTGCATAACAATGGCTTAGTAAACATCCACAATGTCCTAGAAATTACAAAGCAATACGCTATATAGCAATGCATTATATACACCACTTGTAACACATTGGCAACACCCTAGCATCCACATCATGCAACCTAGCCTCATTGTGGCAACTTTTGCATTGGCGAAACCCCAAAAAAGATTGTTGTTTTATTTTTGTGGTTTCTATGAAATAAAAGACTGTAAGTGTACAGGACACAGGCTTTACGCCTCATGCATTTGTGCTCCTCTGAATTACTGGTGCATTGACTCCAACTCTCCTCATCTTTCCCATTCCAGATCTGGCCACGCCGTACCTAAGAGGGCAGCGCAAATTCACAGAGGACGTTGACTGGTCTTACACAGGTAGGTAGACAACGAACAAATGCCCTTATTGTGTGCTTTTTACCAGACTTCAGTGTGGCATGCCACTGGCTTAAAGCCTTAAAAACCTTTTCTCCTTTGAGCGAGAGATAGGGATAAGGTAGCAGTAAATGGAAGTGAATAATGACGGATCAATGTCCGTTCTCCATTAGAAAGACGGCAGTGAGTCAGTCGACCTTCTGAATGAGAGGTACCAGCACACACTGCCACTGACCCGGCTGTGCAGGAGATTAGCTGAAAGTCTTAGACACTTTAAGATACTAAAGTCTTTAAAAAAAAGAGTAAGTGACTTTCAGGATTGTGTGAGGCTCTTGACTTGTGGCTTTTAAAGTGAGCCGGAGGACGCTTTAAAAATGGTGAAAAAACTATGGAAGCTTGTTTCCAGTAATTGCAAATAAACTCATAATTGCGAGTTATAAAGTCAGAATTGTGAGATAAAAATTTGGAATTCTGAAAAAAAAAGTTTTTCCTCAGAATTGGACTTTGTAACTTACAATTGTGAGTTTATATCTCGCAATTCTGACTTCTTTTCACAAAGTCCAAAAAAGTCAGAATTGCGAGATATGAACTCGAGGAAAAAAGGTCTGAATTACGAGTTTATATCATGCAATTCTGACTTTATAACACACAATTGCCTCTATATCACACAATTCTGGCGTTATAACACACAATTGCAACTTTATATCACGCAATTCTGACTATAACACGTAATTGCGACTATCACGCAATTCTGACTTTATAACACACAATTGCGAGTTTATATCATGTAATTCTGACTTTATAACTGGCAAGTGCGACTTCATATTACACAATTCTGACTTTATAACATACAATTCGACTATATCACAATTCTTTATAACGCTCAATTGCGAGTTTATATCACAATTCTGACTTTATAACTGGCAAGTGTGACTTCATATCACGCAATTCTGACTTTATAACGCGCAAATGCGACTTTATATCATGCAATTCTGACTTTATAACATGCATTTGTAACATTATATTACGCAATTGCGACATTATATCACGCAATTCTGGCGTTATAACATGCAATTGAAACTTTATATCACACAATTCTGGCGTTATAACACGCAATTGCAACTTTATATCACACAATTCTGGCGTTATAACATGCAATTCCAACTTTATATCACGCAATTCTGACTATAACACGTAATTGCGACTATCACACAATTCTGACTTTATAACACACAATTGCGAGTTTATATCATGTAATTCTGACTTTATAACTGGCAAGTGCGACTTCATATTACACAATTCTGACTTTATAACATACAATTCGACTATATCACAATTCTTTATAACGCTCAATTGCGAGTTTATATCACAATTCTGACTTTATAACTGGCAAGTGTGACTTCATATCACGCAATTCTGACCTTATAACGCGCAAATGCGACTTTATATCATGCAATTCTGACTTTATAACATGCATTTGTAACATTATATTACGCAATTGCGACATTATATCACGCAATTCTGGCGTTATAACATGCAATTGAAACTTTATATCACACAATTCTGGCGTTATAACACGCAATTGCAACTTTATATCACACAATTCTGGCGTTATAACATGCAATTCCAACTTTATATCACGCAATTCTGACTATAACACGTAATTGCGACTATCACACAATTCTGACTTTATAACACACAATTGCGAGTTTATATCATGTAATTCTGACTTTATAACTGGCAAGTGTGACTTCATATTACACAATTCTGACTTTATAACATACAATTCGACTATATCACAATTCTTTATAACACTCAATTGCGAGTTTTATACCACAATTCTGACTTTATAACTGGCAAGTGTGACTTCATATCACGCAATTCTGACTTTATAACGCGCAAATGCGACTTTATATCATGCAATTCTGACTTTATAACGCGCAAATGCGACTTTATATCATGCAATTCTGACTTTATAACATGCATTTGTAACATTATATTACGCAATTGCGACATTATATCACGCAATTCTAAGAAAAAAAACTCAGAATTGCGAGATGTAAACTCACAATTGCGAGGAAAAAAAGTATGAATTGTGAGATCAAAAGTCACAATGACCTTTTTTATTTTTTATTCAGTGTCGTAAACAAGCTTCCATAAGGGCCAAAACTGAGTCACATTGAACAAATATTGTTTGAATGACTGAAGTAGAGTAGGATACTGAGTGTGTGTGTGTGTGTTCACTGAGTCGAAACTAAATGAATTAACATGTGAAAGAACACGCTTGATTGTGAGGCCCAGCACAAACCTGTGAAGAAATAGAACGATACACGTTTCTCTGTTTAACTCTAATTGTTTCACGTAAAACCCTCTCTCCTCAAACAAAAGTTGTCAAGCTTGAATGCTAATTTGTTCATAGACCCTTGGAACTTCAGCTGACAGTCACACAGTAATTCTCTAACACTTCAGATTTCCTCCTGTTGTGTGGGAAATGTCTTTTTTTTATATTATCCACTATTTGTGAATTTATGTGAATGGATATCGTGGACTCGCAATCTGGTCACACAATTAAATGAGCAATATCCCATGTCTATTTTTCACAGGGGTGCTTTAAAACTTTAACACCTTTTCTTCACTTCTAATCCGTATTAGCATCCTTTACTGTGGGAACATTTAGGCAAATGCAATTGACCAGATACCTTTTATTGTGAAAATGACAGAAAGCATTCTGAATTAGCTTTCAATGTTTTTATATATCATGGGAAAAGCAAATCCTGGAATGCTTTGCGATGGAAACCAACAGGCGAATACTGAATATTCAGTATATCATATAATAGTGTGCTTACTGTATGTAGAGCGTCCCAAATTAGTCGCTTATTAGGTTCCATTTCAGTCAGAATGCAGCTGTGCAGTACTGTTGACTTGGTTTTGGGACTGTTCTTGAATCTGCTCATGATCATTGGTTATTGTAGCAGGCCCGTCCCCTGTTGACCCTGTTTTCCGAACCCCAGGGGTGCGCGTGATTCCTGCCTCTGGCATCGGTCCCTCTCCCGTCTCCATCTGCTGCGGGGGCTGCAGCTTTTTCCTCTAATCTACATGCTCTGATAACCTGCGGATAGAGCGTTTAGAGACGCCCGCCTACGTCCTCAGAAGCACCTCTGCTATTATAGCTCATGATCTCAGATTTATTCATGAAGCACAGGGAGGATGTAATGTATACAAATACATATGTTTTTCCTACAGCTAATGTTGACGTGTGAATTATTGATCGATCGCAAAAGAGACATTGCTTTATGGCGTACACAAGCTGCAACACAAGTTGTCATGGAAACGACACTACAAGTTACTCACACCCAAGCTACATTCATTTTTAAACCATCCACTTGTTCCTGACACTGAGATCCTTCTGAAGTGCATCTGTGGACTGTATCCAGTGTAGACAGCATCAGTGATTATAATGGGTTCTATTTGCTTTTGACGCGACACAACGCTCATATCCAGTGTAGGCAAATGTCAGCCGTTAAGCGACTGAACAGCAGTGGGCTCTGGAGGTGGTCATATGCAAATATATTTGCCTGTGTGACATCACAGATTTCGCAAAAAGAGCCATTTTTGTATCTTGATTAAATAAATGCTTTGTTTATTATGAGGAGGGCGTTTTAAAGCTGCCGTCGGTAACATTTTTTTGATCATATTCAGTGAAATCGACACTATAATCTGACAGAACAACATAAATAAAGTGGTTTTAGAAAAAAACCCGAGCTTCTAACTCCACCTGGAGCGTGTTATTTGTTTTGCAAAAATCCACTGCTCCCGGTTCATCATGTCCAATCAGCGCAGGGGGGTGTGAGATCTGACTGTCAATCACAGATCGGGCACACGCCACCCCTCGCGCACGTTACAATCACATGGCATGCACACGCCTGAAGTTCGCGGAAGTTCGCGCAGTAACGAAGAGTGATGGCGGAAAATCAAGTAAGCTCATTTAGAGTATAAATGACGTTAGCAATTGCAATCTATCGGTAGATTAGCCAAGACAGCATACCTCCAAATACTCCATGGTGTTGATGGATGCTGATGAGACGGGCGCGTTTCACTGAAAATCTGGTGCACACGCACTGACGAGCATGAACTGGGTGGGAGGGTATCCGTTGATAGTGGGGGAGGGCCATGAGAGTTGTAAACATTCAAAATTTTCCTAAATCCACTCAATCTGCCAGACTTGCCGACAGCAGCTTTAAGCTCTGAAACTGGCAGGATGTTTTAAAAAGACCTCTTATGCCAAAAGATCAAGGCATTTCATTTCTCATGTAATGACCCCTTTAATATAACATAAAGATTTATATATGTGTAATTTTAATATATATATATATATATATATATATATATATATACTCTTACTAGCCCCTTTGGTGAGTTAAATTTTATATATAATATATACATTTTTTATTTATAGTCTTTTAAAAAGGCATAGGAAATAATAAACTAAGTGCAATGTAGTGTTGTCAAAAACACAGATTTTTCTACACATATCGATACTGAAATATCTGAAACGCTTCCAATACTCTTTTTCCACAGAATAGATACACAATACCAGCTGCATTTTCTCTCTCTCTCATCTCTCCGACAACAAGTTGACACACAAACACACCTCTCCTCACTCACTCGTTTAATTTGCTGCGGATGAATATTGTTGGTGTTACAGGGCTTGAATTTCAGCGTGGGATTGCACGTATTGCGCATAATTTGACATTTATTTCCCACACCCAAAGTGTGCGCACATAAAGCCGCCTCTCTGTTTTAAATTGAGTTCTTTTTTCGCTGCTTGTGTTTAAACAGTCAAATACACACAAAATAATGTCAAAAAGCCGGTCTTGGCGAGTAGTCACGTAAACACAGTCATTTTTATTTTAGGCAAACGTAAACAGTTGAGAAAGAAACGCACGTGTAACAGTATAATGGATCCGTGCATCAGGTCTTAAAGTGACAGCAGCCTAATATACCTGCTGCCAAATTATGAGATAATGTTAAAAATATCTATATATGATATATAATTATAATTAATTATATATATATATATATATATATATATATATATATATATATATATATATATATATATATAGAGATATATAGATATAGATAGAGAGAGATTTTTTTATAAATATATTTGATAATTATATATTATTTTATATTTGTATTAATTTATTATATTTATACAGTTAATTAGATATTAATATTACTTATAATTGTATAAATCATATGCAATATAATTATCATAAATAATTATATTTTTAATGATTGTATTATTCAATTGTTAACCATCAGACAAGGTGTGTTTTTGTGAACAGCTGCTCCTTTTTTAATTTGTAGTGGATCCACAGACATTCACAGCGGTTGTGTGTTCTACTTCTGCCCTTTGCTGACCTTCCTTAGTGGAAATTGAGAGGAAACTGTTGTGGATAATTGGCTGGTGTAATCAGACTGAATGTCGGGATGGATCAGGGTGTCATTATGGAGGGGGAGGATTCCACGATAACTGTTCCCACATGCGATTGTTCATTCCCATGCGCCATAATACGGCAGATTGCTTCAAAGGCCAAAGCGCATCCTACCTGTTATTACAACAGAAATATTCGAAATGTCAGAGCAGCCCAGAGGTCTCAGAATCCTTTAAATGACTTCAGGCTCTGCATTTATGCCACATCTCTACCGGTTACCATAGCAGCAGCCGTTCCCTTTGATTACAGTGTATCCACGTCGCCGCGTATGTGTGTGTCTGCCGGGCCAGATGCTGCACCGCTGTAACCTGACAGACTCGTAGTTCACCTTGCCAGCAGACGCTGTTTTCCTGTTGAATGTGGACGCCATCAATCAGGCTAATAGCAGACGTTTGTCTCGCGTGTCGATATTAAGCACCTCGAGGATGTGGTTCTGTCCTCTCAGCCTAATCCTTTATAGCCTTTTAGAGACATATTAATTATGTTGTAGCTTTAGAGGGTGAAGAATTAACGGCCAGCTCGGGAGGTGAAAGTGAAATCACTGTGAACATATACACTGTAATTGTCCTGCCAGGGAACATTAAAGCTGCTAATAATTCAGATCTTACGTTTCATCATGTAGTTAAAGAGGCGTCCTCGGGGACAATTTTAATCAGATGTGTTTATGTTTGTGTGTGTGTGCGGTTTATTGCTCGTGCTTGTTCAGTGATGTGTGACCCATTGCCATCTGCTCCGTGAGTTTATCATCTGGTGAAGTCAGTGTGATATGTCATAGTGTTGTTCAGTACAGTGTTCAACACCACTGCAAGTGCATTATTTTGCTCTGATCAGCACTGACTCTTCATATGCCATACCATGTGCCTCAGTATAGTGCCATATTGTTTTACATTTTTGGCCTTTTATTTATAGTTTACAATAGAGAGAACAGGAAAATATATTCAGCAGAGGATCTGGAAAATGCTGAAACACAAATTTAACCCACAATGTGTTACTGACCACAGCCCACAGCTTTGGCATATGCTTAAATAAACCATTTCTTATTAAAAAAAATTTATGTTGTATTATTTGAGCGTTCACCATCACACAAGAGGCCAGATTTACTAACAGCTTGTGCCAGCGCAAACCCTCTTTTGGCGTTAAACTACTGTCAGGATTTACTAAAGACACAGTGAAAAATTAGCGCTGTAAAGGTGTGGACAGGGTTATTTTGCAGCTGATATTATTGCATATGCATTTGGAGTTTTCCTTTCAGACGCAAAATTTATGGGTGGAGAGCATTTAAATTAAACATACAAGGTGATTTACCAAGGTCTGCACTCATCAATTTACTGGTATTTGCATCATTATTTAACGCCCCCCGAAAAGCACATCTTAAACCAGACGCTAACTGGTAGATTATGGAAATGATCCGGCTGCATCTGTGTTTTTTAATTTGTTCTTCGTCAGTAGATCTTGCTGTTTAGTAAATCTGGCCCAAGGTGGGGTTTTTTTTAGAAAGCTGCTGCTCTTTCTATTCGTAAAACTGCTTTTGTTTAGCATTTGAGGAGCTCTTGGATTATACAAGAAGTTATGATCTCATTAACTGAGACTTTAAAGAATATTTTTCTTTTTAATTAATAAAATGAATATTGGCACATTTAAAGGATTAGTTCACTTTTAAAAAAAACTTTTGCTGATAATTTACTCACCCCCATGTCATCCAAGATGTCCATGTCTTTCTTTCTTCAGTCGAAAATAAATTAAGGTTTTTGATGAAAACATTCCAGGATTTTTCTCCATATAATGGACTTTGCTGGGCACCAAACGGTTCAAGGTCCAAAAGACAGTTTCAGTGCAAACTGCAAACTGTTCAAAGGGCTTTAAACGATTCCAGACGATGAATAATGGTCTTATCAAGCGAAACGATCGCTCATTTCAAAAATAAATAACAAAGTTTAAGTTTAATAATGTCAAATGCTCGCCTTGCTCTGTTCTGTGATGCACGTTCGTGAAAATGAACAAATCTTTTTTCGAGTCATTTGGTTCATTTAACGAACAAAATGAACGAATTGACTCGGAAAAAGATTCGTTCATTTTTAATGAACGAGTTCGAACAGGAGAGTCACACAGAACAGAGCAAGGCGAGCATTTGAGCTTATAAAACTTAAACTTTGTTATTTCTTTTTTAAATGAGCGATCGTTTCGCTTGATAAGACCATTATTCATCGTCTGGTGTCGTTTAAAGCCATTTGAACAGTTTGCAGTTTGCACTGAAACTGTCTTTTGGACCTTGAACCGTTTGGTGCCCAGCAAAGTCCATTATATGGAGAAAAATCCTGTAATGTTTTCATCAAAAACCTTAATTTCTTTTCGACTGAAGAAAGAAAGACATGGACATCTTGGATGACATGGGGGTGAGTAAATTATCAGCAAAAGTTTTTTTAAAAGTGAACTACTCCTTTAAATGAACAAATAAAGGTGATTTAAAATGGTCAAAGACAGAAACGCTGGCTGGTTAAACCACGTTTGCCTTATAGATTCATATAAATTTACCTAAAAATGAATCTAAACGTTTTGTTGCATTAATTAAGACATCAAGTCTTTATCTGAGTTGTTGCAAGATTATTCCCTTGTTCATTTGTCACGCCCTTACTCTTTACAGGGGCCCTAAACCAGAAGCATTGGACAAAGAAATATCCAGTCTGTGGCAATGCCAGACAGTCTCCCATTGACATCAGTGAGGAGTTCACTCAGGTTAGGATGCAGTACCAGAACCTGCAGCTGGAGAACTGGGAACAGCCCACCGCCGATTCCACCACCATCACCAATGATGGCAAAACAGGTCTGCATACGCTCTCTCTGTTTGTGGTGTTTACAAGACGTTTGCTTATTTCATTTGTGATGAATTGGTGATAAAAACCACTTTTTAAACAGCACTCAGTGAAATTATACTGACAGGTTAACTCCCCTGAGCGATGTCCTCCGATGAATGCAATTACGACCTGAGATTAATCGCTGGCAGACTAATGGAGCTGCTGAAGAATAAAATCTCCTGAAATGACAATCATATGTCTTTTTCTTACCTGTAAATGGCAGCTGGGTGGCTTTGGATGGTCTGTGCTTTTACAGGAGCACAGAAGAAAAGCTTGCACTGAACCTTTTGTTCTGATTTGACACTGTGAGAATGACAGATTATTCCAGCACAAAAGGCTTAGTTTAAAATTAATCTTTTATCAAGGCGAAGAGATGAAAGTATGAGCAATTAGGATTGCTGAATGAAGAATACATTTGCACATGGCTTGCGTATGGACTCGCGGTCATAGAGTTTGTGTGTGTGTATCATGTTTCTCAGTGGTAATCAGTCTGAACGGTCAGTACTTCATAAGTGGAGGTGGGCTCAGATCCAGGTTTAAAGTGGGCAGGATCACGTTCCATTGGGGCCGATGTAACGCCACTGCAGACGGCTCTGAACACAGCCTCAACGGCAACAGCTTCCCTCTGGAGGTAAAGTTCACCACACGTATAAATCACAGTGAATTAGGTTCTCTGTAAGATCGAGGATAACCTCGAACTGCATTCATTTCATTTCCCACTAATCAAACCATGATAAAATAAAAGTCATATGAACTCATGTTGACTATAAATGAAATGTATGGAAGTGAGTTCTCTCTCTCTCTCTCTCTCTCTCTCTCTCTCTCTCTCTCTCTCTCTCTCTCTCTCTCTCTCTCTCTCTCTCTCTCTCAGATGCAGATATATTGTTTTGAAGAAGAGGAGTTTGAATCCATAGACGAGGCGATAAGTAGCGGAGGAAAGATAGCTGCTGTAGCTGTCTTCTTTGAGGTGATATTTTCATCCTGCGAACATCATACACACTGTATATTAACCCGTATAAGGTCACCATGGCATGGTGCATCTGTAACCTTTTTATTATAATGACTTTAAAGTTTGATCTGTTCCTTAGGCCAGCATTGAAGACAACCAGGATTATGTGGCCATCATTGACGGGGTGAACAGCGTGAGCCGATTTGGTACATCCTTGTTTTTCCACATATTATTTTCATTATTTCAAATTTATCTGCAATCATCTACAATAACATGCTTCTATCTGACATTAAGGTAAAAGCAGCCCTCTGGAAGCGTTTTCTTTGCTGCCTCTGCTTCCACAGTCCCCCGAAAAATACTTCATGTACAATGGCTCACTCACCGCGCCACCCTGCTCGGAGAACGTGGAGTGGATCGTGTTTAAAAACACAGTGGCCATCTCAGAAACCCAGGTCAGGACATCTCAGATTATTTTCTGTGCAATTGCAACACATAATTTGGCTAAATAAAGTTAGAAGAGTCTTGAAGATCAGGCTAGTGAGAAGTTTGGGGTCACTATTGCAGCCAATGGCTCTTTTGTGTTTGTGTGTGTGTGAGAGAGAGCGAAACCCCTCACCTAAAAATAGATCGTGGTGAATACATCCCTGACAGCCCCTTTAAGCTATTCTTGAGCAAACGGAGGCGCGTGCATTAATATTTCAGCTGGCCGACCGCCTGCCGTGTGGATCAGAGATAAGCCCTCGGTGGCGGGGACGCAACTTCGCCCCTCTTATCCAGATGCACTTTAAAGCTCAGTTTTAAGTTTTTTTGTCATGCGGTTGTGCATGGTTGTGTATTTTTTTCTTCGCTCTCATGCCTGATCCACTTTAAACACAGCCTGTTTCTTGGGCATGAAAATTTGATGGGGCGAAACACAGGCACGCTACAGTATAGCTGATGACTCTTTAGCACTGGTTCAGCATTTGCATAAATTCACTCGTGCATATAAAGCCATTCACCCTCACTCATCTTGATTCCAATTTAAATACAGTCAATATAACAAGTTAGTAAAACTTGGCTGTGCAAGTTAATTCGGATACTTGCTCTGTTATTTTTGTTGTAACATTGCTCTCTGAATTACTTAATTCTGATTGGTCTGTTGCATCTCTCTATTTGTTGTTTAGTGTAGTTCGTTTTAGTTAGTTAGTTAAAGTTATTTAGTTTTAGTTAGTTAGTTTTAGCTAGTTTTATTTAGTTATTTAATTAATTTTAGTTAGTTAGTTTTAATAAGTTGGTTAGTATTCCAGACATAACTAACTTGTGAGATTACTGTATATAGTCATCATCTAAAAATAAGTGTTTATTTGGTCATAACAACATTGTTTCGTATGTATTTAATTGTCTTCTTAATTTATTTATAAGTTTGTTGATTGTATACATTTTCCAATATCTTATTTATGTATTTTTTTATTTTTTTATTTAATGTTATTTCAAAAGTATTTTACATTATGATTATTATTATTATTATTAATACAAAGTTCTGTCAAGAAACTCTAGATGGTGCAGGCTGATCGGTCCTTAACTCAATCTTCTTGCAATCACATCATTCTCTATAGGTAATTCTCTATATCATTCTCTTATTATCGTCTCATTATTCGTGCATTTTTGTATATGTGTAGCTGGAGGTCTTCTGTGAGGTGATGACCATACAGCAGGCCGGATACGTCATGTTGACCGACTACCTGCAAAATAACTATAGAGAACAACAACAGCAGTTCATGGGACAAGTGTTTTCATCCTACACAGGCACAGAGGAAGTCCCTGCACCCAGTATGTATACTACACACTCACACAGCGCAGCCTAACAAAGACACTCAGAAACAAGTATGTGCCTGTAATACATAAAATAAGGATCAGAGAGGAGTGAGAGGTCATCTCTCAAGGTCAAATCGAGTGGTCGCATGCATCTCCTCTTCCTCTGACCGTGGACACACATGCTTTTTAAAAACCCTGCAGTGAATGTGTGTTGCCTGGAAACCACGCTTTGGAGCTTTTCCAAGAAAACAAATGCACCAAATCTGTTTCAAACAGTTGATTTAGAAGCAATTTTGTAAGTTAATGATATCTGACTGAAGTTACGGCTCCTTATTAGAACGAAAGCATGATCCAATTACATAATATTCTCTCAGGCCACAATGCAGCCCATTATCTATTATCTTATTGCTTAAAGGGATAGTTCACCCAAAAATTAAAATTCTGTCATTAGTTACTCATCCTCATGTCGTTCCAAACCCATTCGACTTTTGTTCATCTTCAGAATATGTGAATAAAAGCCTAAATTCAATCTGTTCATCATATAAAGCGATCATGTCTCTTCAGAAAAATTGGACTAAACCGCTTAATGGGCTATATGCACGCATATCTTCCGCGTTTGATGCAAGGATACTCTTGCGTTTCCGGTTGGGGAGATTTAAAGCGGAGGAAAACCGAGGAAAACGGGATTATGGCAGAGTCTTCCAAATTTACTGTCCTCTCGTCTTTGAAACGAAACTTTAATACGTTTAGATGTAATTTTATATATAGTTATGTTTATTTAATATAATAAACAAAGAAGCATAAACAAAATGAGGGGTGTCTGTTTTGTCTGTTTTTGTGACTAACGTTTCTTTAGTATAGCAATAGAGTATAAAAACCAATATAAATTCTCGGTATAGCATTGGACTCTACGATCGGCGGAAGTAATCCAGCATCCTTAGACCTTCACCTGAAATACCGCCGTGCATAGAGCCCATTCATATGGATTCGTTTTACGATCGCTTTATGAACTTTTTGAAGCGTCAAAGTGTCAGTTGCATTGCTGTCAACGGAGAGACAGAAAGCTCTCACACTTCATTTGTGTTCGTAAGATGAACAAAAGTCTTACGAGTTTGGAACAACATGAGGGTGAGTAATTAATGACAGAATTTTCATTTTTGCATGAACTAACCCTTAAATCATCTCAGTTCAGTTTAGTGTTTATTGAGTTCAGTTCAACAATAACTGTGAGAAGTTCATCAATTATGAAACGACGTTTCAAACTGTTCAAACAGCTCAATGTAATTTCATGCTCTTCTGTGTTTAGTGTGCAGCTCGGAACCGCAGAACGTGCAGGCAGACTCTGAGAACTACACCGGCATCGTGGTGACGTGGGAGAGGCCACGGGCCGTCTATGACACCACTATCGAGCGCTACTCCGTCACCTACCAAAGACTCCAGGGCAAAGACCCACCCGAACAACAGTATCTGACAGATGGAGACCAGGATGTGGTGAGTACTTTTAGCCCATCCACGTGAGGCGTTCAATATGACTGCGTTGACTGAAGCACGGATATTTCAGTCAACATTGTTACATGATAGCTGATAGTTCATGGTTAGACTAGTCCTGATGGTTAAAAACAGGTGTTATGAAATAGTATTCTCTTTTTTTTTTTTCAGGGGGCCATTATTCATAATCTGCTAGCGAACAGTAGCTATGTTGTCCAAGTGGTGGCGCTGTGCATGAATGGCTTGACTGGAAAAATGAGTGACCAGGTTATTGTGGACATGCCTCTTGAAGACCCTGGTAATGCTGAATCAAACCAAAAATTTGAGAATCTAAAAAAAAAAATCAAAAAAATGTCTGGATCAAATTTCACACCAATATCAAAAGTAAAAAAAAAAATATATATATATATATATATATATATATATATACTGTATATATATTGGGGGTTGTGCTTAATTGCCAGTAAAATTTTATTCAATAATTTTATTTTGTACAAAAAAAATTCAAATATAAAAATGTGTTGTTTTGGGGGGAAATATAACCCAGATATTTCTTTGTATTATTACCCTATTATACAGTATTATTATTATTTTTTCCCTTTGAATTAATTCACTGATATTTTCTTTGACCCTACAGTAAATGAGCCTGATCCATTTGGTGATTTAACAGAATCAGAGGAATATAATGAGGTGAATTTTTTTTTCTGAATGTAGATTATAAAACTATTCATAAATGATTGCATCATGAGCATATACACTCACCTAAAGGATTATTAGGAACACCATACTAATACGGTGTTTGACCCCCTTTCGCCTTCAGAACTGCCTTAATTCTACGTGGCATTGATTCAACAAGGTGCTGAAAGCATTCTTTAGAAATGTTGGGCCATATTGATAGGATAGCATCTTGCAGTTGATGGAGATTTGTGGGATGCACATCCAGGGCACAAAGCTCTCGTTCCACCACATCCCAAAGATGCTCTATTGGGTTGAGATCTGGTGACTGTGGGGGCCATTTTAGTACAGTGAACTCATTGTCATGTTCAAGAAACCGATTTGAAATGATTCGAGCTTTGTGACATGGTGCAGTATCCTGCTGGAAGTAGCCATCATAGGATGGGTACATGGTGGCCATAAAGGGATGGACATGGTCAGAAACAATGCTCAGGTAGGCCGTGGCATTTAAACGATGCCCAATTGGCACTAAGGGGCCTAAAGTGTGCCAAGAAAACATCCCCCACACCATTACACCACCACCACCAGTCTGCACAGTGGTAACAAGGCATGATGGATCCATGTTCTGTTTACGCCAAATTCTGGCTCTACCATTTGAATGTCTCAACAGAAATCGAGACTCATCAGACCAGGCAACATTTTTCCCGTCTTCAACTGTCCAATTTTGGTGAGCTCTTGCAAATTGTAGCCTCTTTTTCCTATTTGTAGTGGAGATGAGTGGTAACCGGTGGGGTCTTCCTCTGTTGTAGCCCATCCACCTCAAGGTTGTGCGTGTTGTGGCTTCACAAATGCTTTGCTGCATACCTCGGGTGTAACGAGTGGTTATTTCAGTCAAAGTTGCTCTTCTATCAGCTTGAATCAGTCGGCCCATTCTCCTCTGACCTCTAGCATCAACAAGGCATTTTCGCCCACAGGACTGCCGCATACTGGATGTTTTTACCTTTTCACACCATTCTTTGTAAACCCTAGAAATGGTTGTGCGTGAAAATCCCAGTAACTGAGCAGATTGTGAAATACTCAGACCGGCCCGTCTGGCACCAACAACCATGCCATGCTCAAAATTGCTTAAATCACCTTTCTTTCCCATTCTGACATTCAGTTTGGAGTTCAGGAGATTGTCTTGACCAGGACCACACCCCTAAATGCATTGAAGCAACTGCCATGTGATTGGTTGATTAGATAATTGCATTAATGAGAAATTGAACAGGTGTTCCTAATAATCCTTTAGGTGAGTGTATTTATGGTTTTTATGAGCTTGATGCATTTTGTTTTCAGGGAACATCTCCCCCTCCTTCCAAGTCTCCGCCCAGCCGGACCCTCATCCGTGATTCCGGAAGTTCCATCTCTATCACCACAGCGACAGACCAACCAGGCTTCCTTTTTCCCGTTGTCAGGACAACCCCCATTACAGTCAGAGGAAAAATTACAGAGGAGTCTTCACTGTCATGGTCACCTGACCAAAATAAGACCGGAAATGAAACCAAGCGGCCACTGAGCAAACTCATCCCAGAGGAGAGCGGCCACCTTCCTCACAGCAACATGGTGGTCACAGAGGTCTACTATGAGGACGTCATCAACACCAGCACCACAAAAGCCTCACCAGATCTGAACAACAACCTTCTCACTGCATCGCCAGATGCTCAGGACCAAGAGACCTCAGTCAGGACAACCAAATCTTCATCAACTTCTGCATTTGGACGACTGGTGCCAAAACAGCCAGTGAAGACGACCACCATCACCCCTGCAGTAAATGCAACTTCAACCGCTAATGCAAGCACTGCGACTACTGGATCATCTATGAAGATCATTTCTCAGACCACTCAGCCCCTGTTTAACGGTAAGACAATCTTGATCAGGGTGTTTGCCTAGACAAAACCTTTCGCTAAATGCTAACTTGCTTGCAGGAAAGTGATGGATATGTAAAATCAAACAATAGTAGCTGAGTAATTCGATGATTGCATCATTATAGAGCAGTGTTTCCCAACAGTTTTCATCTTAAAGGGATAGTTCACTTACCAAATCATTTACTTACCCTCAAGTTGTTCAGAACCTGCATGATGTTCTTTCTTCTTTTGAACATAAAGGAAGATATTTTGGTAATATGTTTTCCCCATTGACTTCCATAGTATAGAAAAAAAATACTACGCCAATCAATGGGACCAGAAACTGTTTGGTTACCAACATTCTTCAAAATATATGCTTTTGTGTTCAGCACAAGGAATAAATGAATACAGGTTCTGGTACATTTTTGGGTGAACTATCCCTTTAAGTACTCCTTCATAAACCGCACCCTTGTGAAAAAGAAGTAGATGTTAGCATACTTTTAAAAAGAGAACTTATTAGAGAAATAATATGCTTTCAATATATATATATATACTTAAATGTGAACTGAATGTAATGTATTAATTGCATGTCATTCGCAAATATAGTTAAAATAATATGAAATACAATTAGAGGTTTTTTTGACAAACTGAATTATATATAATTACTTGCATGGAATTTTAGTATGTTAGTCAACATATCAAAATAAGTGCTTATTTAAAGCACAACAAAAGATTATTAAATTATAATGATTTGAAATGTATTTTAAAGTAAAAAAAAAAAAAATTGACATTACAAAGTGCACTTTTTAGAAGTGTTTCTTAACACACTTTGAAAGTACATTGAACTTTACTCTTCAAGTGCACTTAAGTGGCCTTTTATATCATTAATATATAGTTGCAAGTACTGTTCACAAGTTTTGACAGTTCCAGAGAAACTTTCTTTAAGATCTAGTGGTAAATTTGTTTCAAAATGAAACCCAGATGAGACACTTCACAAATGTCACTATTTTATGGAGGAATTTAAATACAAAAGAAGCTCAATAAGTATGAAATATCACCCACAAGTGAATACATTGTCATTTGTACAAATGTTAATGAAAAGTTACAACTTATAGGTAACAAAAACATACAGGTTTAATAAACCAAAACTGTCTTTCTAAATCTGTTACTCCTGTTGGGAATCACTGTTAATAAGTAGTCAAACTTCCAGAAACACACTGTGCTCAACGTGATGGTGGTGCAATTGTTACTGCCATTTTGTGCCACAAATACTCTCGAAAAGCTTAACTGCACCTGCTGGACTCTCTCTTCTCGGCTGGTTGGCTCACTCTTCAAATGTTGAACGCGGTGGCGGTTCCTCTCTTGCTCTTGTGCATTCAACCTTTGCCTTCTTTCTCTTGCGCATGGTGATGGCGCCCCCTTTGCGGTGGCTTTAGGTATTTCAAGATATGCTAGACCAATTTGATTGGTTTTGTTTCTTCAAAGCCCTTCTTTCCTCCGCCTTAAATGTTGTTTTTTTAGCGGAGAGTGGAAGACTTAACTCTTTAGACGTGTTTGTTACAGCCACATCGCTCAGTAATCAAAGGCTATCAACGGCTCGAGATGCCACAAATCTCAATGTATACTCCACCCGCTACCCAACCGTCTTTTTGGATGAGGGATCTGCCCAAGTACCTTCTTCAGACGGGCAGGGAGAGATCAGCGGATCAGGGTCCGCGATCTTCCTGGAGGAGCTCGACCGGGAATGGGAGCTCGGACAAACCCGGTCGGCTCCCAAAGACTCAGATCTGAGCAAAACTGGAGATGAAAATAATGAAGGACTGTCCTCTACTTTCTACTTTGAGAGCGAGCGAGAGGATGCCACCACCGAAGAACCAGAAAACCAGGCTTTACTCTCATGGGTGACCTGGTCAGCTGAATCTGACACTGGCTCAGGTCAAGGAGGGTCAGTGACCTCTCAAATCGATGATATTCCCATACAACTCATAATTCCTGAACTCACTGTCCGAGAGTCAGAGGAAGACCAGAATACAGGTAAAACTCGTACATGATGTCTAAACATTTGGAGAACGAAAAACATGACTGGCCAAAGCAACCAGTAGGCAGGCATTATGCAAATATGTAACATGATGATGTAACTAAGTCACAGAAATAATGGCAGGATCAGGCAAGTGTTTTCTGTTGGAAAGATGAACTCCTTTTGGCGTGGACTTTGTGCTTTGTAACTCCGCAGATCGTTTACATGCACAAACGGCTATATTAGACACTAAAGGGAAGGTCAAATAATAGGTGCCCTTTAAGATGAGAAAATATAAATGCAGTTAATGTGTTTTTTTATTGAGGTGAAGCACATGCTTTTATGAATAGGATAATTTCATTCTCCATGAGCTAGCGGTTGGATTATTATTTTTAGCTCCTTGAATATGTTTAATATTATTATGTCATGTATTTTACCATGAGATCGCCCATTAATGGATTTATTAAGGACTGTTTTGCTCCTGTTTCCATCATCAGAGGCGAGTAACAGCAGTCCGGAGTCTCGTGTCGGGATGGTGGAAGGAACAGAGAAAGAGAAAAGGACCGTTGTTCCTCTGGCTGTGATATCCACACTCACTACCCTGTGTTTGCTGGTGCTGGTGGGCATTCTCATCTACTGGAGGTATTAAATCTTCAAACACACGTCAGTGTGTGAACGTTTGCTTTGAGATTGCACACACTAGATTCACGCGCTCTAAAATCTCACAAACTCACATAAACATGTCCAGGTGACATTTCACCCATTTTAAAGGTGCAGTAAGCGATTTCTGTGAAACACTGTTGATATTTGAAATCAACCCAAACAAACATACCCCGGCCTCCCTTCATTGCTCCTCCCCCAAAATGCACGAACATGCAATACAAGAGTGGATTCCTCTTTATCATAGCTGAAGCGAAGCAAAATAATTCTTTGTAAAAAATCAAACGAAGATGGCGAAGGAACGACAAGGCAGTACCAAAAATGAACATGCAGTACACAAGAGTATATACAAGCAAGGGTTTGTTGTTAGCCGCCAGCATCACACCAGCTCCAGACAAACAATGACACTTAAAACGGTCCTGTTACTAAAGGTAACATTACAACAACAGCATATCTTGGTTCTCTGAAACATAGTAAAACCAATGTTACTCACAAATGGAGCAGAAACAACGCAACTTCAGGACTTCCCGCTTGGGTCTCTCCAGCACTGGACAGCTTTTCTAATATTAAGGCAGGTCCTAAAAGCTCTTGCCTGATCATAACCCTTCGTTTTCCAGTGATATTCCTGATCTGTTCTCTTTTGTAATGTCTCTCAGCCATCTCTCTATCTACAGTCTTTCTTCAACCTCCCTCTTGTTTACTCTCTCTCCTCCCCCATCATAAATGTATACGCCCCCTACTGCTGAGTGTTATGGCTCGGTCCGATCCTTTTTCAACAGTGTTTCTTAGAAATCACTTACTGCACCTTTAAGGATTTTTTTGGGAGCATTAATATCTTTTGCATTGCGACGTTATTTTCATTAAATTCTCTTCATTTTAACTGTAATAAAGTACAAAAAATGCTGATATTTTTGTATCTGTATCTTATAGGAGATGCTTTCAAACGGCACATTTTTATGTAGAGGACAACAATTCAGCCCGTGCCATATCAGCCCCATCAACCCCTCTTCTGCTACCTACAGGTAACAAACTTACACTCCAATTCAGACAGATTATTATTATAATATTTTTTTCTTTCATGTTCATGCAGCTATTTATTTATATATAAAAAAAAACAGTTATTTATTATTGTTTAAGTTATTTATTTAAAACTAAATAAATGAATTATTTATTTATTAAATACAATTACTTACAATTACTTTTATAATAAATAAACTATTTTTACGTATTTATTAAGTAATTGCATTTATTATAAACAATTGTATTTATTTATTATTCATATTTATTTGTTTGTATATATTTCATCGCATTTATTTTAATTAAATAAATTATTTATTTTTCAATGAATAACTAATAAATAATCAAATTAATGTGTTATCAAAAAGCACAATTACTTACAATCATTTTTAAAATAAACTAACTTAAGTAATTGTCATATTGAAATTATTTATTGAATAAATACAAATAAATAAGTAAAATGATTGATTTATTAAAAAATACAATTACTTACAATTACTTTTATAGTAAATAAACAAATAAAGTAATTGTAATGTTTTCAAATAAATCATTTTATTTGTTATTAACATTTATTTATTTATTTAATTGCATTTATTTAAACACAAACAGACAAACAGTTATTTATTATTTCCTAAAGTTATTTATTGAAAAATACAAATAAATGAAAAAATAAATACAATTACTTAAATACATTTACTTTTCTAATAAACTAATATAAGTAATTGTGTTTTTTGAAATAAATAATTGTATTTATTATTAATAATTTGATATGTATGTATGTATTTCTAAATAATTGTTCTCTTTTTGATGCCAGAGGATAATGAAGCTCTCCCTGTTAAGGATTTCGTGAAACATGTTGCTGATCTTCACGCAAATCACATGTTCTCCAAAAAATTTGAGGTACTTGGGATTTTTATCACTCCTTAGTGCAGTTTTCTTGACGTTTCAAAATACGTAACCTCAAACATTGCATCCTATAATGCCATGTAAAAACATAAAACAGTGAATTCATGTATATGAGTGCAATGGGGCGGCATGTAAAGAGGTGATGTGGGAACACTGTTCACTGTGGCTCCACTGACTGCATGGACACCCACACACATAGCGAAAGCCCTGTCTAAACCCGTCTGTAGCATGAAAACACATGCAAACGTGCCTCATGTACCTGTACCTGCCTCTCTGTTTGTCCTGGACTTTCATTGTGCTTTTCTGCATTCTCACCCCCTCCCTTATTAGATCTTGAAAGAGTCTTACGAGGTAAGACACATCTCCCTTGTTTAGTGTTACTTATTCTTTTGCATTGTTGTAATTCTTCTGTTCATTGTATTGGCGTGTCAGTGTTGCTCTTTGCATGGTTAGTGTGCATGATAAAGTCAAATAGTTAGGTAATGGTTATGATCTGAGTTATGCTTGAAACTTTTCTTCCAGGAGATTCAGGGCTGTACGGCGGACATCAGCATCACTGCGGACAGCTCCATCCACCCAGACAATAAGAGCAAGAACAGATACATTAATATCCTGGCCTGTATATCACTCATCCATACCAATTTAAGATATGTACGTGCATTTATAAAACAACAAAAAACATTAACAGTCTTCTACTTTTGTACTCTCAGATGATCACAGTCGAGTTAAACTCTCTCAAAACTCTGACAAAGATGGAAAGACAGGGGACTACATTAATGCCAACTATGTGGATGTAAGTGTACACTATATTTGATATATATTTTTTTTTTTTTTTAAATCCATTATATTAGTCAACAATCACACAGAATGATGATTTAGGGGATTCACTCCCGTATTTTAATGCGGTTGTCACTGCTGAAAGTTTACAGTGTGTGTGTTGCTTATATAAACTTGCAATTTTGAGGGTAAAAAAAAAGTCCAATTGTAAGATTAAAAACTATCGTATTTAATTGTTTATTCTGTGGCTGAAACAAGCTTCCATATATATTCCAAAATGGGCAAATATTTGGTATATTAATCGGTCTGTCAATACTAGTGTTGGTAGAAATGATCACGGTCTGTTTGTGAATGATTCTTTCGTTCCGGCAGCTGTGAGGCACCTTAATGGCACTTAGCACTTTATATTAACTTGCACAAGTTGCATTTTTTCCACTTGATGGTGTCCTGTACTTTATTTATTTATTTATTTATTATACACTATGTACATTGGGCGCTAATGTGAATTCCTTCTTTGCTGGTTGGTTTTGTTGGTGAGTGTTGTTGTATGTTATGTGTTTTATGTTGAGCATTTGCTGCAAATTCAATTTCCCCTTGTGGGACAATAAAGGTACTTTGACTTTGACTTTGACTTTGACTTAGGGCTACAATCAGCCGAAAGCGTATATAGCTGCCCAGGGGCCATTGAAAGGCAGTCTGGAGGACTTCTGGAGGATGATATGGGAGCAAAACGTTGGTGTGATTGTCATGATCACTAACCTGGTGGAGAAGGGCCGGGTAATGCTTTTCATCACTTGATTTAGATGGTTTTGGGTGACAAAATATGCAAACTTTGATATAAAATAATGATAAAGTGGTGTAATGAGATAACTAAACCAATGTTATTTAAATCTCATGAGGCTGGTGTGTGTGTCAAACAGAGAAAGTGTGATCAATATTGGCCCCTTGAGAATCAGGAAGACTATGGATGCTTCCTAGTCACGATGAAGAGCACCAAAACTCTTGCCTACTACACGCAGAGGACATTCGCCTTGAGGAACGTTAACGTCAAGAAGGTCGATAGCTACGCCTTACATCACCGCCACCAGAAAACCTTGAGGATATTCTCCGTTCTCAATACTTTTCGTTGTCTTTTTCCACCCCTAGGGCTCACAGAAGGGTCGCAGTCAGGAGAGGACGGTGCTTCACTTTCATTACACTCAGTGGCCCGACATGGGCGTCCCAGAATACACGCTTCCCCTGCTGTCTTTTGTGCGGGCGTCCTCACAGGCCAGGACAGCTGATATGGGGCCTGTAGTGGTGCATTGCAGGTAGACACCAGTAGTTATTAAGCATAATGTTATTATGGTGTGAAGTTACTATGGTCATCGATCTGACTGTACAGACAGTATTGGATGAGAATAAAAGCTGATCTAAACTGAGCTGGATAATCAAATTCATTTCATAATGAATAAATTCCACAAAATTCACACTGTTATTGAACTGAACTGAATCAACACTGAACTGACTTGAGCTGAATAATGACACTATAGAGTATATATAAACAATATATTTTAAGTTTATTGCAAAATATGCACATATATTCAATTCAAAGTATTCTGAGAGCGTAGGGAGACTCTGTTATGTCATTAGCTGTGCTTCATGGGAGTAGGTGGGACTAATGAGCTTGTTTAGACTCTGATTGGTGGAATTTTTGTACAGCATCATGGGTAATGTAGTTTTTCCACCATGAATTCCACTCTTTAACATGATTATTTTTAAAACTAAGTTAAAATAATGTGGGCCGACGGCTTCAACAGGAGCAAATACCATAAGTTATGGTTAAAAATCAATTTCCCTATGGAGAAATTGAAAGGAGTTTTGTGACTATTGCACTTTATTGTCTTCTGTAGAGCTGCTTTATAGTTGAACTGAGTTTGTTTCATAACTTTGCAACACTGACATTGTTATTGAGTTCAATTGAGCTGAATAATGACACTATTGTCTTCTTAAGACCTGCTTTATAGCTGAAATTGTATTTGCTTTGTAATGTAAGATCTTTGCAACATTAATACTGGTATTTTCTTGTTTTAAACGGTGAAGCTGCTTTGATCTGTATTCTATAAAGCACTATATAAATAAATGTGACTTGACTTGAAGCGAGAGTTTATAAATGGAGGCGGACTACAACATTTTAAGATGTGTTTGAATGTGTGCACTTGTGATCTGCAGTGCCGGTGTGGGACGAACAGGAACATACATTGTGATCGACAGCATGTTGAAGCAGATAAAGGAGGAAAGTACAGTGAACATAATGGGATTCCTCAAACACATTCGTACCCAGAGGAACTACCTGGTACAGACAGAGGTATGACATCCTACCATATTTCAAACCATACTTCAGGTTATGTCACGTCACATGCAACACGACACATCCATCATATTTGTGTGTGTGAGCAGGAGCAGTACGTCTTCATCCATGATGTTTTAGTGGAGGCCATCAGGGGTAAAGAGACACTGGTCTCATCTAGTCACATTCACACATATGTGTCTGATCTCCTCATACCGGGACCTACAGGAAAGACCCGCCTGGAGAAACAGTTAAAGGTGAGACCCTTGGTTTATTAAGCCCCTCTTAATCATTATTACTCTGAGCAATTAATCAGTCTTCCCTGTTGTTCTTGTAGCTGGTCAGTCAGAGTTGTGCAAAACAGAGTGACTACACAGTGGCTTTGAAGGAGTGCAATGCATCTAAAAACAGGACGTCTTGTCTTATGCCCGGTGAGTGTGTGCAATATAAACATTCATTCATTCATTCATTCATTCATTCATTCATTCAAAATATTTATTGTATTACATTATTTATTAAAAAATGATAATATTTATGAATATATCATATTTATTTATATAAATATATGTATAAATATAATCTATAAAAATGAAAGTGATTTTTAAAAAATCTGTATATTTATTTATTATATTTAAAATATTGTTTTAAAACATTTAATTACATTATATTAGATATTTTTCATTTTTTATTATTATTTACTTTATTTATGAATATATCATATTTCTGTATATGTTATAGGTAGTTATTTATTTTATTTATTTATTCATTTATTCATGTATTCATTTACTTACTTTAAATATTGATTGTTTTTTAAATAAATAAATAATCATTGGTATTTATTATTAAAAAATATTTAATCACATATATATTTTATTTATACATTTATTTATTTATTTACTTATTTGAAATATTCATTTATAAAAAATAAATATTCATTATATTATTTATGTATTATTAATATATACTTTATTAATATATCATGTGTTTATAATTTATAGGTATTTTAATTTTGTTTGTTTATTTATTTGATATATATATATTGTTTTTTATTTATATATCATATTTATTTATATGGTATTTTAATTCATTCATTTATTTATTTATTTATTAATATGTGAAAGGGTAACCTGTTTTTTTTTGCCAATAATTATATTCAGATTAATTCTTAAAAAAAAAAAAAAATTATCACTGTTCTTCTGAAATCTAAAGTAATCTCTTAATTTAGCAATGCAATAAGAATTGATTTGCAAACATTTCATTAGTAACCTAATCCTAAATTTCTTATGATTTCCACTCCGTATTCTTTCTTTTTTTTCAGAATTTGTTCAAGACCCTTTTTTTAAATGTGTTTTTAAGGATGTCTATTATCAGTGAGCTCATTCAGTGACTTTAGTTTTGTGAAGTGTAATGGTTCATCTTTATCTTCTCATGTGCTCCCACCTGTGCTTCAGTGGAGAGGTCAAGGGTCAGTCTGTCTACAGGACCTGGAGAATCATCAGACTACATCAATGCCTCTTATTTATTGGTAAGATTCTGGTTCTGATGCTCCTGTTCAGATTCCTTGGTGATATGGTGTGATTCGACGAGTCTGTACCGTTTACAGGGGTACCATGAGAGCCGTGAGTTCATCGCTACCCAGAATCCTCTGCCAAACACCATACAGGACTTCTGGAGGATGATCTGGGATCACAATGCACAGATCATAGTTTCCCTGCCTGATACACTGAGCTTGGTGAGTTACACACACATTTATACACATTTGTAGTTCTACACACATCCCTATTTATTATAAGGCATCTCATATCCTGACCGTCACAGACCAGAGAGGGAGAGTGTGTGTACTGGCCCACTAAAGAACAACCAATCAGCTGTGAGACCTTCACTGTGACCTTCAGAGGTGAGGACAGCGTGTGCCTGTCCAACGAAGATTCGCTAGTGGTGCAGGATTTCATTTTGGAGGCCCTAAAGGTGAAAACCTTCTTTCATTTATGTGGCCAGAACTCAGTATTTGCAGCTGCTCTGGGTGAATCTCACAAAACCAGTCAAGAATCATATTTCACCCCAAAATCAACACAAAAATATTTCTATTTTGCATAAAGAAAATTCATTTAATTGCATATTTTAGTGTGATTTATTATTTCCGTGACACATTTCGTGATGCATCCCAATTGTGAAAGAATGATGTGAAATGTAAGAAACTCAAAACATCTGGAAAAATTACAATAATGACAATATATAAGAGTGTATAATGTGAAAATGAATTTATTGGCACATTTTATTAAAAAAAATTCATTTGTTTTCATGACAATTAAGCTCATTGTACAATCCAAGTATCATTACGGAAATGCAAATAAATAAATAAATGGTAGTAAAAAAATTGTAGTAAAAAAAAAAAATTTGTTGTACTACGGGTAGTATTTGTTATTATAGTAATTTCTACTGTATTATAGTAATGAGAATCTAATGGGAGTCACTCATGAGAATGGTGTGAAATGTAAGCAGAAACTCAGGTTTAAAAAATCTCGACACAGTAATGATAAATGATAATATTGTATATAATTAATTTAAAATGACATATTACGTTACAGTAAAACGCAATATTATAATGTAAAATAATATCAGTAAAAAAGGTCTTAGTGGCACTAAAAAAGGCTTTGTGCAAAATGTGTTATTATTTTTCTGTTGATTTCTATGTATTTGTGAGATTATTCAACTCAAACAAACCAAAACATTTCATATTTCCAGTATTTGCAAGAAAGTTGCATTTAAGACTATGGATTAACAGAACTGTTTTGTGTGGCCGTCTGTGACAGGACGATTACGTGCTGGAGGTGCGTCAGTACCAGACGCCCCGCTGGCCGAACCCCGACAGTCCCATCAGCAACTCCTTTGAGCTCATCAACATCATCAGAGAAGAAAGCTCGCGTCGAGAGGGACCCATCATCATCCACGATGGGTAGAGTGTCATTTTATTTTCAAAAATGCAGAGGCTATATCAGTCAGGGATATGTCATGTCTCACGGCGTCTGCTGTGCAGGTCTGGAGGGTCGAGTGCTGGTTTGTTTTGTGCCCTGACCACCCTGGTCAACCAGCTGGAGGAGGAGAACAGTGTGGACGTCTATCTGACCGCCAGGATGATGAACCTCATGAGGCCGGGGCTCTTCGATGATATTGTAAGAGGACTGTAATATTAGTGAAATGATCTTCTTGTTTTGTTTGCAAGTACACATACAGTATCTACACATTCTTAAATCAGGATACATTTACTTGACAAGCAAAATGGAACCTTTTTTTTTTCTGAAAAATTGATCAAAAGTGAGTTTTTGCATAAAACAAGAAAAAAATATCTGACAATGAGGTTAGTAGAATAATCTTGTTTTCCCTTTGAATTATGTATTTTTTTCTGACCCCATTGGCAAATATTTTATAATATTTTATATTACAAATAGTTTTTATCAGAATTCTGAGGGGGAAAAAAGTCAGAATTGTGAAAAATAATCTTGGAATTACAAGGAAAAACGTCACAATTGTGAGATATAAACTCGGAATTGTGAGAAATAAACTCGGAATTGTGAGAAATAAACTCGGAATTGTGAGAAATAAACTCGGAATTGTGAGAAATAAACTCGGAATTGTGAGAAATTAACTCGGAATTGTGAGAAATGAAGTCAGAATTTTGATATATAAACCCAGAATTGCGAGAAATAAAGTCAGAATTGTGAGATATAAACACGGAATTGTGAGGAAAAAATAATTGTGAGATATAAACTCGGAATTGCAAGAGAAAAGTCAGAGTTGTGAGAAATAAAGTCGGAACTGTGAGTTCTGTGGTGGAAACAAGCTTCCATAAAACAAGAAAAAAATACTAAGTAACAAAATAATTTTGTGCAATTTATACTTTGATAAGAAATGAATGATAAAATGTGCGTGCTTGACATCTTCCTGTGTGTGCAGGAACAGTATCAGTTCCTCTATAAAGCGATCCTGAGTTTGGTGAGCACTAAGGAGGATGAGAGAGCTCTTCACTACTCGGAAAACAACGGCACGGTCCCCGCCAACCCATCGGAGAGCCTGGAGTCTCTCATGTAGCGATACAGACCCTTCACACAAGGAATTGTACATTGAATCATGAGAAAGTAGTTTTGCTTGAAACCCTCCCAAAGTCTCTACACGGACTATATGGGTACAGGATATACTGTAATTTGGTCTTTTATTGTGCCTTTTTGTTACCTTTGTACTTTGATATAATATTATTGTTGTAACTAATGCCAAAATTTCTACTCTTTGGAAAAACAGTGACTTCTGTATTGCTGGTGGTGTCTTAGGTTTAGTTGGACATAACTGTTGATGAAATATTTATAAGTAGCAGGGCAAAAGATTTCATACGGTATCTATTTTGGGGGTAAAAAAAATCTTTAGATAGAAAAAAAGCGTTCTTGAATGTAGCCTCCTAGAACAGAAGAGAGACGTGTGATTCTAATATATAAAACATCGGTCACACCGACAGACCAAAATACATTTATATGACTAGTTTCTTTTTTACTACGTTTGCTTTTGTTATTGTAGCAACTGAAGGCTTCATTTTTTTATTATAGAAATTGAATGATTTTTCAAAATAACTAGTTGATATGTGTTGTAACAGACATTTTCATACATTTGCTTATTTCTCTTAACGCATCCTTTTAGATCTTAATCAGCAGCGAATCTCAACATTCAGTTATTTATCTCCATATTTATCAACCTTTATTTCAACTGTCTAATCTTTTAGGCCTTTGGTCAAAAACTAACACAAGACGCACTTGGATAAAATAAAGAAAGCACAATAAAAATAAACAAAACAATTTATTCTACATTCTCAAAGGCATTTCAGAGTGTCCTTCATTTTTCCAATGAGCATCCAGACTGCTTACCCACAGAATGTAGGGGGGTAGTTGACATGAAATACTTCCGGTAAGTGCAAAAGTCCCACAGTGTGACAAGCTGAACTTTAAAAAAGGTGTCTTATTGTTTTTATTTTAAGTGATATTGCAAGACTACATGTTTAACTTAAAATAGTAATGTGAATTGAAAACCGTAGGAACATTGTGCCTAATTGTCCCTAACCAAATCAGGGACAATTATATATATTTATGATATTTTTTTATTTATTTTTTAAATGTATTTATATATATATATATATTATTTATGGTATTTATGATATGTTGTTTAGAAGTGATGGACGCTTTCTAAACACGCTTCGTGAAGCTTCGAAACCTTTGTGAATCATTGTAACATTTAATCATTTTATTTGTTTCGAAGCAGCGATTCGGAGGGCGTATCAAACAAACTGCCAAAAGTCTCGTGATTTCAGTAAACGCTTTTCATAACTGTTTAATTTACTGGTTCGCCGCCATGTATGATTTTTACCTGATCTCGGATCAGTTTCATAAATTGTAGACATTTAATGACACGTTTGTAGGCTATAATAAAAATGAGTTAAAAGTCTCTTAGTTTTCGCTGCATTTACAGTGTTCTGACCAGCAGGGGTCACCAGCGTCAAGCGCTTCGAAACAGTGATTCAAAGTTTCGAAAATCTTCGTTTCTTCCATCACTAGCCGCGTTTCCATTACAGATTTGCGCAAAACTTTTGCGTTTTTTCTAAATATCGATAAAAAACTATTGCGATATGACGGCGTTTCCATTAACCGATGTTATGCGACTTTGGACGTTTAGGTTTAACACATGTGAATAGACGTGCAGCCACCGCACAAGACATTATTATTATTAATGGAAGGAGACGTGGTGTGTTATCCAAGCATTAATGGTAAGGAAAGACCCTAATACTGTGAACGGCACATGAGGTGTTTTTGCGTGTTTCTCCCTCATTTCTGCTCCAAGGTCTTGATTGTGGCATTTCTTTGAGGTTTAGAATCCAGTATTCCTGCAATTCTTTTTTCTTTTATGAATTTAATAAAGAACTTTGTCTCGTATTCTGTCCAAACGGTCCGTGTACTTTTGCGACCATTTATTTTTCCTTTTTTAACCCGTAGCCTAATTGAAAACCAGCCCGACTGAGCCATGTCTCTGGAACCATAGCCTAGGTGATTTATAGGTGATTATAGGCTAATTATAATAAATGTGTCTGAAAAAATAACTAGGCATTTTAATTGTTTATTAATAACTACAGTGTTAGTGCCGACTGCAAACATATTTTCATCTCCACTGTAAAGCGGATGGGATGCGCCTTTAGAGAGAAATGCACCTTTCATATGGATTACATAATCAGAAGGTATTTGCTTTCGATTTGAATTTGTTCGTTCAAGCTTTAGCCTATAGGCTATATTTTGTTTCAGTTCATTTCTGAGACATGTTCCAGTTCACGGAGATCATGAAAGCGCGCCTGATTTATTTAGCAAAAGAAGAACGTTTTCTTGTTATTGTGAGTTTACACAAATAAAAGTAGTTGCGGATTATGTATTATAATTTTCTGTATGACCATAAATTATAGAGTATTTTAAGTTGTTTCCACTGTTGACAGGAAAATTCAAGTGTTCGCGCCCGCGCTTCCGTCATCCAGTGCGCGCTCCACAAACCCTTGGATATACGTCAAAATCTTGTGTTTATTTGTGATAATCTTAGCCCTGTATTATTGTCTAACCTGTATTATGAATGACATTTGACGAATTGCTTTGTTCCTTTTTTGGATAAAAGCGCCTTCTAAATATGTAGCCTAATAAATGTAGCCTAATAAATGTAATAGGCTATAATAATAATTATTATTATTATTTGCGTTTATAACTATAAATGACTTCACTTAAGACAGTAATATATTTATCATAAAATAATTGATGAATGTATTATTTTTATATAACCTTTTACAGTTTTGGAAAATGAGTTTGTGTTATATTTCTTTTTTTGTATGAGAAGTCTTTTTTTGCTATTCTATTATAGCCTATGGAAAAACGAATGGACGCAATAGCCTACACGGACCCCAAACACACGCGCCTTCTAAGTCAGGTGACTGTAATTGCGCAAAAACTGTTTCCATTGCAGTTTTGCGAAATATTCCTTTTTCGAATTGCCTGAAAAACCACCTCATGCGAGCGTAAAAACTTTTTTGCGATAAATGGGAGTTTTTGCGAAATTGACATGTTTCCATTGAGCGTATTTTTAATTCGCAATTTCAATTTGCGCAATTTGAAGGGTAATGGAAACGCGGCTACTATTATTTAGCTTACAAAGCTGACATGTCCTGCAGTGTGACAAATTAAACAATTTTCTAATTATTAAGTATTTTAGACTGCATGTAATAAATTCTAACTTAAAACATTAAAGTCCATAAACACGTTAATCAAATGCAGAACTAAAACGGAATGTTTTTGCTTTTTATGACAGTAATTTTTTTTTTTTTTTAAGTTTTGTATTTATTTATTGACTTCTGACATTCATTTTCAGCTTTTATTGGACCTTGAGTTCATTCCAAGTGCTGCTGCACAACGTAGGCACAAGGCTACAAATTTAAATTAATTTCATATAACAATCTATAGACTTTTTCTTAGTTGAATGGTCCCTCATTGAGGTAAGTGTCGTCTCTCATTGCCTGTTCGAGTCACCAATTTGAAAGACAAATTTAAAAATGACTGATCCTGCAATAGATTTCTCATGTTTCTGATATGATCTTTTCTATAATATTAAAATTTAATATAAATTCAGAGGTGGACAGTAACTAAGTACATTTACTTGAGTACTGTACTTATTTAAGTACACTTTTTGAGTATCTGTACTTTACTTGAGTATTATTTTTTTTCTGGAAACTTTTTACTTTAACTTCACTACATTTGAATGACAAATATCATACTTTTTACTCCACTACATAGATGTGTACTTTTGTTGGGGTGGTAGGAGTGTTAAATATATATAAAAAAAAGAAGATGATTATGGCTGTCTTTTTTTTTTTTTTTTGTCAATTCAGTTGTTTAATTTCTATAGGTTTTATAACATTCTAAAAGCTCTTAATTCCACAGATACTACAAACTGGTAGGTGTATTCACTAGGTTGCTTCAAATGCCATAAGGTACTGTAAGTACTTGAGTAAAAATCGATCTTTACAACTTTTACTTGTAACGGAGTAATATTTGACCAGTAGTATATGTACATTCACTCAAGTAAGGAAGTGGTGTACTTTGTCCACCTCTGTATAAATTTTGTATTGAAAAATCAATTAAATGTATTAGAAATGAAGAAATTAAAAATGAACTTCCCATCTATAACAACAGTAAAACAAATGGCCAACTTAAACAGACAGTGTTTATTTATTATTTAATATAATATAGTATATACATGTACATAAACATTGAGGACTTCAGATGGGCCATTTCCACTGGCTGGTCGGTGCTTCCTCTACGAGTGGTTCCCATGGTTTCCATTCCGTCATCTTCCTGGACAATGCCAGTTCAGCCTCGGCCTGCGGAGACACGAGACGGACACAATAACCGCTGAGGTACAACAAACATTTCCAATGTTGCTTCAGAGTATTCATTTTCTATAAACTCAGTTAATGGCAGTAATGACCCAGAGGCTTTGGGATCTCACCTGTGCAATAACCTCCTCAATCTGTCCACTGTTGATTTTCTTTTCAAGCTTTTCCACATCTGGCTCCTTTATAGAACAAAAATGACATGTTTACAAATCCACACAATCTCTTACACCAGTAAGAGATTCAACAGTTAAAGCCAATCTAAATCTCAGTCTTTTACTGCAGTGGAAGTATATTTGAAATGTCTTACGGCTTTGACGTGATTGAACCTCTCGCTGATCAGTTGCTCAGTGTATTTCCTGTAGGCAGCGTCCTGAGGCATCGTCTGAAGAGAGCCCAGGATCTTAGTGTACAGAATCCGAAGACGCTTTAGGAAAGAGAACAACTCTTCAATAGATTGCATTAGACTAATATGTACAATTCCTCGAACTCAAAACACACAATAGACAGACAAAACATTATATTTGTATATGAAAGAAAATACTGTTGTACAGAATGGCGATGAATAATAAAATGAATCAAAACGAAATCAAGAAAGACATTCACCTCATGTGGATTGTGGGAGACTGCAAGGCCAACCAAGCCTGTGGTCTAAAAATAAGACAAAAAATAAGATATTAAGAAATTACTGCACATATGCATATTCGTTTAAATCTCACCCTGAAATATCAAATGCACAACTTGATTTCCCATGCAGGACATTTACAGCTCCACAACTGTATGTATGTATTTACTGTATATACATAACGATAATTCAGTCAGACTCTACAACATCAGCCATCACAATCCTCCAAAACAAAGCACGACTGATGCATTTAAAGACTAAATACAAACGTGCAGAAATATTTAAACGCTTTAGTATAGACACAAGCTTCGTTTACGAATACATTTCACCTGTTTTTATTCATATATTTCCATGACCTCCCCACGTACCTTTTTGATCAAACCAGCCATTTCTTTCTCTGCTGCGATTCAATGACGCAACTTCCGTCGTCTGAGTGTGACGTCCGTGCTCGCTCATATCTTCGTGGCTGCGTCCGAAAGCTTATAAATGCCGATAAATGCTGCCTTCAGGGGATGCATTCCAAGGTAGGAAAGCATCAAGGCACGTCCTAATCCAATGTTAGCTTCGCCTCCTGTCTCCTGAGATGAGATTCATCTGATCGCTTTAAAAGCAGCATAGATGTATCTGAGATGGTGGGATGTATCCGTCGAGTTCCAGTTTCTCAATATGCTTTAAAAGTAGTAGCTGCTTGTAAAGTGACCCATATTTGGTTTTTGACCACTGAAAATGTGTACGATTAACCAATTTTACTCATGGATACCTTCAATATTTCGTGAGTTACAGGCATGTAAACATCGGGAAAAGCACAAAAAGTGCTTTTTTTGTTGTTTCCATTTTGGAACTGTCACCATTGGCATATGATTCAATAAAGATTGCTACGTCAACAGATTTCACTAATAGACCTACCAATCTCTGTGTAAAAATAAAATAATTATGCTTCCATCTTTCTAAAGTTTTTTTTTAAACTCCCTGTAGTTTGGCTCCAAATCTCAGGTCATTTCGACCCTCTACAAAAAATCTATTCCATTTAATATTTTGGCTTTCGTCACTATTTATGTTTGTCTTTCTTCAGAAAAACAGTATATTAACCAAATAAAAAAATTGAGGTTTCTGAAATTTGGTTTATTTGACACAGCCTATAATCTTTGAACGAATCCGAGAGTCCCCTAGTACTGATATTCATATTATGAAGTAGAATAACAAGTAATGGTGGTTGTTGTTGTAGTTTTACTGTTAATTATCTTTCGGACAATTCGTTTCAGTGAACCAGTAAACAAAACGATTTATCGGTGATGTCACTGCACATTTCATGTTATCAATACAACATTCAAATAAAATCATTTGTCAACGCATAATATTTGAAACATTCAAATAAAGTTATATGTGTGAATGCATATTGCTGATTATTGTCTTTCGTTCACTAAAGTTAATGGTGTTTGTGGTCACAGTTGAATTCGCTGATTCTTCATGTCGGATACGAGTCATTAACAGCCTTGAGTAGCCTACATCTTGGAAAAGTTTTCTAAAAGTTTAGCACGCACAGCACACAATACAGACATTTTAAAATACTCGTAATCAGACTACAGTTACTTTTTTATTGATTATTACACGTTATTCTCGCAAAAGGGGATTCCCCACATTTTTTGTCAGCTGAACCTCTTTGACCTAATTATTAATATGTAATATTTGTATTATTTCAGGAATGTAACTGACTAATTTTTAATCATTTGTTGTACATGTGACTCAAACAATCCAGGTTCTGTCCTGAGCAGAAACATTATTCACAGCAGAAACAATGAAGTTCAAAAGAACACAGATAATGTGCAAGAAATGACTTAGTGCATAATGTTCTCAAGCAAGTAAAAGACTATAATACAGATTAGAAACAGGTGCTAAAACTAAATCTAAGAAAATCCTTCCGCAATCTCTACAGGGTGGCTCAGTGGATGATCAACTGCTTATTCTATGTAAAGTCCTGAGTTCAAATCCCACTAATGTTTATGTTTGTCATCATTTACAACAATGCTAATAAAACCCTCTCCAAAACCATCAATAATGTGAAAGACTCAGTGGCTCAGTAGATAAAGTGTTGTGTTTATATCCTGGAAGCCAGAGTTCAAATCCCACCAACGCTTATGTTAAATTGTTGTCCATAAATCCAGCAAAGAGTCCCAAACACCAGTTGTCAGTGTGAAAGCCACGGTGGAGCTACTGGTTAAACACACGTTCTCTGGTGGTGAAGCTGGGATAGAGACGTGGGTTCAAACCACAGCTCAGCGTGTTGACAATCAATCAAACAACAGAGACTCTGTCAAAGCTTTAACTGCTTTATTGGGCAATCATACAGGTCACTAGTCAAATATAAGTTCCAGCACATAAACAGACAAGAGATCTGTGGCTCACAGGTAAGAGCGCTGCCTCATGGTTTCAGAGGTTGCTGGTTCGATCCCAGTCAGATCTCCACGATACGAGTGAATGCTGTATGTGTGAAGGGGATGGGGACGCGTCGGGTCCCCCCCCCGAACCCCGCCACGATGTCCAGCAGGGGTTATGCTTCTTGATGCAATCAAAAAGAAAAATTTAGCAGACTCAAAATTTTGCCCTGCCGTCCCTTCCCCACCTACTTAGGATCCCATCATTTGCTTTTTAAAGGGGTGACCCTCCAAAAACAAAATGATGGCAACCTACATGTTTAGTGCCAAACAACAACATTCACACGTTACAAGTCTTACCCGTCCATCAGCAGAAGTCCATCATTACAGTCAATGTCTGTCCACACGTCCCACAGCTCTGCTTCTGATGACTGGACGCTCCAAACACATCCCGTATTCTGTAGAGGAAACATAAATACAGTTATTCCTTCATATATTATTTCTAAGTTCTAATTATAGCAGAATTTTAAAGTTAGTCTAAATTATAGTTGATAAATATAAGATGACATGTATGGTAACCCTGACTACTAGACATATTTAAATATTTTAAACACATAAATTTAAAGCAACAATTAATGTGTTCTTCTAAAGCTGTCAGTGAGTTCAGCAAGAGAACAGCATGGAAACAAAGTCTAAACTTCATAGAAGATGCGACTGCTTTCATTCATGACTAACTCATTTAGCGAGCAGCCTTTTAAAACATGGTTTTAGGTAAAAGACACCATCGGGATTATCTGGAAATCTGGCTGTTAGTGTTCGCGTGCAAACGCATTAATAACAACACATTAAAATTGTCATAACACGAATAAATACAGAGGCCTGCAATAACATCTCACAAGACAGAATGACATATCAATCAATCTATCTATCTATCTATCTATCTATCTATCTATCTATCTATCTATCTATCTATCTATCTATCTATCTATCTATCTATCTATCATACTATATCTAAACCATCAGAATTTTAAAGTTAGCCTACATAATAGTTCATATAAGATGACATATATTAATACTGTCATGAATTAGTGATGTCTGATTCTTGAACAAATCATTATTGACATTAATGACACAATACATTTTATTAAAACCCTGCAAAAACCTTTCTGTTTAGGGATGTAAATAAATTGCACTATGGTTTATTTAGTTCTGGGTAGATTACTTACAAATGGAAATTTGTTTTAAATGAGGTTTAGCTAAACTCTGGAAAGTGTCTGAGCCGGAGCAGGATTAGACGCCTCTGCTTTATTTGAGAGGCTGCTCACTGCAGCGTCATTGGTGGAGCGTGAAGTCCAGCTCCTGCTCTCTAGGTGTAATTTGGGAGTAATGGGTGGAGCTAGAAGGTCTAACCCCACCCATTAGATCCACAGAGGTGGAGCTGGACGTCATTTGGCTCTGCAGTGAGCAGCACTTGTTTTATTTCAGTCTCTTTCTGTTGTTTCTGTTTTCATACAGAAGTGCAGATACACTTATTGTCCACAAGGCGGAGCTGACACACTCATCTGATCTCATGCCTGTTCCTGTTACATTCAGCGGTAAAACTGCATTTAAACACAATTAAATGTTTAGTCGTTATATCACTAGGTTAAGATTATATACAACTGTCATTGTCATACAGGCTTCACTAATCATTTGTCCAAATCGGTCCTCAATAATCAATCAAACTATAAATGCTGCTGGCAACTGCTAAACAGAGACACAACAACACAAAACCATTGTTTAACTGGGAACAAACGCGATAAACATCATTTAAAACATAAAAACGTGACAAATAGACAGACTAAACGAATCTAATAAGATCTTTTGAACCGTGTTTACGTGTGTTTGCTGTTTACGCTTAAGGCCTAGAACATTTGATCTGTCTTGCCGCATCAGGTGAGAGCTAATCTGGCTCAGATCCTGACAAAATCATACAGTAGTTATTTCAAATATATGAAAATTAAATTACGGCCCTCTCACCTAAGACTGACCACAGATTCACTTGCCCAGAACACATTTAAGTAGGCCAGCTTAGCACTACAATACTACAGTAGAATGACAGAAACTGAAGTGCAGTTTTCACCCGCTCCACTAGGCGGCGTGAGCGGGTTTCACTGTCAGGGCGACTCCATTGGATCCTTGACAACAATGACGCTTGATGACAGTCTCTACAGCACGTGCAGAGGAAAACTGATCACTCAACTGCACTGCACACATTCCAACAAATAAATGGACAAACCGATAAAATGCTGGAATCGAGTGTCACGCAACTCACAGGTAAGTCAATGTTTTGTATAATTGTGTACGTGGTTTGTACTGATAGTTCTGCTGATATGTTATAGCAGTGCTCATCTGTCAAGTTTATCTACATTCACGTGATTATGAATGCTTCATCTGTGCCTAATGCTTAATCTGCTTCCCCGCGAACACACAAAACGTTCATTTGATGTTGTCTTTAACTTCAATCTTCTTGTTTAATTTGGCACTTGTTGTTTGACATCTAAGCGAGTATGAAGGCAGTCGCATCTTCTATGAAGTCAATCACAGACTTTGTTTACATTCTGTTCTCTTGCTGAACTCACTGACAGCTTTACAAGAACAAATTCATCGCTAGTTGTTGCGATACATTTGTGAGCTTTGAACGAACCGCCTATTAATAATCATATTATGAAGCCGAATATTAAGGAATGGTGTTTTTGTCTCTGTTGGTGTTGTAGTGTTACTGTAGGTAATAATCCAGTGGTTTAATGTTTGTTATTAGAGTCAGTTGGAGTGAGAAGCTCTGATGTTCCTGCTGATTCATGCTTTAGTAGAGCCGCAGTCTTATATTTATCAACTATTATGTAGGCTAACTTTTAAATTCTGATGTATTAGATAAAGTATATGAAGAGTAATGTATGGGCACATTTATTTTATATGTGCATTATTGAATATATATCTATATTTATTGATTCCTTTAAGCTGTTGAACATTTTAGATGCGTATTATTTATATATTTTATTCTATGTTTGTTGTGGTTATGTTTATTGTGGTTCCCATGAGTGTAAAACAAATTCCCCTCGGGGCAATAAAGGTTTCATTCATTCAATATCTGTTCATTAATTTTTCCCCTACAGATGTGTTTGGAGCGTCCAGTCATCAGAAGCAGAGCTGTGGGACGTGTGGACAGACATTGACTGTAATGATGGACTTCTGCTGATGGACGGGTAAGACTTGTAACGTGTGAATGTTGTTGTTTGGCACTAAACATGTAGGTTGCCATCATTTTGGTTTTGGAGGGTCACCCCTTTAAAAAGCAAATGATGGGAACCTAAATAGGTGGGGAAGGGACAGCAGGGCAAAATTTTGAGTCTGCTAAATTTTTCTTTTTGATTGCATCAAGAAGCATAACCCCTGCTGGACATCGTGGCAGGGTTCGGGGGGGGACCCGACGCGTCCCCATCCCCTTCACACATACAGCATTCACTCGTATCGTGGAGATCTGACTGGGATCGAACCAGCAACCTCTGAACCCATGAGGCAGCGCTCTTACCTGTGAGCCACAGATCTCTTGTCTGTTTATGTGCTGGAACTTATATTTGACTAGTGACCTGTATGATTGCCCAATAAAGCAGTTAAAGCTTTGACAGAGTCTCTGTTGTTTGATTGATTGTCAACACGCTGAGCTGTGGTTTGAACCCACGTCTCTATCCCAGCTTCACCACCAGAGAACGTGTGTTTAACCAGTAGCTCCACCGTGGCTTTCACACTGACAACTGGTGTTTGGGACTCTTAAAACACAATGCTTTAAGCCAGTGATGTTGCAGTCGGCTTTAGCTTTTATGCCAGTAACTTAACAAGCAATAGTGGGATTTAAACTTAGGACTCCATCATTAAAACTCTACGCTGTAGGAGAACCTACTAAATGTCCCGGTTTCACACACAGGGCTTAGATTAATTAGGACATTTAAGTAGCTTTTATAAACATGCCTTAGAAGAAAACATTACTGGTGCGCATCTCGAGACAAAACAATGACACTGACATATGTTAAGATATATCAGTGCAAGTTGCTTTCAGTTAAAACATGCTGTTGTACAAATGTAAAAAACAAATGTATATTGTGTATATGTATTTATTTATTACATACAATCCAAATTACAATGGTTGTTAACCAAAATGAAGGTTTTCACCATATCAAATAACAGTGTTCAGTAATTTAGAAAAACAAACAAGCATGACTGCAATGACTGTTGCATGTCTTTAATCAAGTGCTCTTATTCAAAATTGCTTTTCTGATTAAATACAAAATAAGGAATTTCTTATTTAGGAATGTACTGTAGGTGTATAAAAGCATTACGCATTACATTGCCATGGCTTATTTAAAAAAAAAAACGTCATTGGCATATAGGTTAAGCTGTGTACAGCATTCAGGGTGCAAAACGTGTGCACGGACATCCCAGAGTGCTACTCATCGCTAACATGTTTGCATCTATATTACGTGTAGTCCACTAACATGGCTCCCAAAGGCAGACTGGCCTTGCCCACACAAATGGGGCTTGTAGGAATTATCCTGATTCAAGAACTCAAGTGGGGTTCCAAAGCACCCATATAATGACGAACATTCCGCTGATTGGGACGATTCCCATGGTAGCAGTTTTATAAGGCATTGCTCTCTTTATCACGTCCCACATCATGAAAGTACAAGTTGGCACAGATACACAGCAGAACGATGGAACACAACATGTAGTAGATCAAGTTGCGAAACTTGGGCTCCAGATCTCCCTGTCTATACCAGAATATCTGAAAGAAAGACATATGGATGGGATTGCATTTCATCAGAATTGAATTAAAAACATTTATTTCTCTTTGGGACCATTGAAGGAATCAACCCTAATGCTTTTTAGACTACATAGCAAGTCCTTACTTACCAGAACCAACACTGACCCGCAGACTAACATGATACAGATGGCAAAGAAAATATTCAATGGCTTGGGAGGCAGTGAAGGGAAGATGAATGAACTTATGATGGTCACCTGAAAGAGATGGGGAAAATTAATCATTTACAATATGATTAACAGACATATCGAGATCTTCATTAGTTGTAAAAACTTACCAGAACGAGTAAAGACGCGAGTCCACCGATCACTAAATTGATGATTCTATCCTGAAAGTGATCCAACAAAACTACATTAGTGCCGTTGACAGAAATTAGTTGCATGGTACAGGTAAAGGTGCTGCAGTAAATGGTATCTTTTTAAATAACTACATAGCACCATTATGCGGAACGCCTTAGGAGTAAAGAAAAATACGGTAAGTAACTGCAAAATAAAGTTTACAATATGAAATAGTTACATTGTGTGATAAAAAGTCACACTGTGCCTGAGCCAAAACATTATGGTCTAATATACTGTTGGTCCTCCACGTGCTGCCAAACCTGCTCTGACCCGTCAAGGTGTGGACTCTACACACCCCTGAAGGTGTCCTGTGTTTCTGGCACCAAGACTTTAGCAGCATATCCTTCAAGTCCTGTAGGTTACGAGGTGGAGCCGCTGTGCATCGAACTTGTTGTTCCTGCACAACCCACAGATGCTCAATTGGGGAATCTGGAGGCCTGGGCAACATCTTGAACTCTTCATCATGTTCCTCAAACCATTCCTGAACGGTGTGACAGAGTGCATTATCCTGCTGAAAGAGGCCACTTTCACCAGGGAACACCATTGTCATGAAGGGTAGTACCTGGTCTGTAACAATGTTTAGTTAGGTGGCATGAGTCAAATTTACATCCACATAAATGGCCATGGTTTCCCAGCAGAAAATTGCTCGGAGCATCAAACTCACTCCACTGTTTGTCGTTGTCCCACAGTGCATCCTGGTGCCATCACTTCCCCAGGTCCAAATGATGTAAAAGAAAATGGGACTCACTGGACCAGGCAACCTTCTTCCACTGCACCAGTTCTGACGCTCATGTGCCCGTTGTAGGCACTTTCGACGGTGGACAGGAGTCATCATAAGCACTCTGATTGGTCTGTGGCAACACATCCCCATATGCAGCAGAGAATGTGTGCTGTGACACATTCTGCCCATAACCATCATTTCAATTTTGCTTGACCTTCTGTTGGCCCAGACCGGGAGCGACCCAATCGCCTTGCCATAACAACTTGGCCCTTGTCAAAGTCGCTCAGATCTTTATTCTTTATGATGGCCAGAGGAGAACTGGCCCTCCGACTGAGTCTGGTTTCTCCCAAGGTTTTTTTCTCCATTCTGTCACCTGATGGAGTTTTGGTTCCTTGCCACTGTTGCCTTGGCTTTTGGCTTGCTTAGTTGGGGACATTTAATATTCAATAACATTACTGATCTGCCTTACTTAAGCTGGACGTTGACGCAATTTTCTTTTAGAAACAAACTTTGTTGTATTATTTTCATGTTATCACTGTGAAGCTGCTTTGATACAATCTGTATTGTAAAAAGCGCTATATAAATAAAGGTGACTTGACTTTATTCCTGCCCATATTTCCTGCATTCAACACGTTGATTATGAGAACTGATTGTTTGCTTACCATCTAATATCCAGGCCTTAATATGTGGCCTTGTTTGGAGATGATCAACGATATTTGCTTCACCTGTAACTGGTCATAATGTTTTAGCTCATCATGTATGTATATACTATTATATTTTGATGGGATATTATCATGGCAAATATTTTATTTGGAATAACAAAAAAGGTTTTTGATTTCATGTTAACTTCATACTACAAAAACAAGCAAACAGTCGAGTTACCCTGGCCGACGTCTCCCCGAACAGAGGCCTGTTGTCCATGCCACTGGTGCCATAGGTGCGTGTAGTGAAGTCATGTGTAGGGAAGTCATCCATGGCCAGAGCAGTGCACACACACTTTCCTGATACCTTCTACCAGCAGCTGCCCCTCTGGAGAGGAGGATGGCAGTGCATGCTGCTCGCTGCTCTCTAGCTTGGGTTCGCTCCTCAGGGCAAGTGGTTTAGGAGCAGCGGATAGTCATGGTTGGGTCACCTAGAGCGCAGATAAGCCACACGACATGTTCATACAAGTTAAAACATTCATTTACTTCACTTTACTGATAATTTCATGTGCACAGTAAAGTGTGATATGAACTAAAACAAACCCTAGAGCCTCAGCACTTAATGATCTGTCATGCACTTTGCTCCTTTTCCCATGAATTCGAAGACTTTTATTAATGGTGCTTCAGAGTAACACAACAAGCTGGCCTTTCTAATAATCAGCCAAAGGGCTTGGGTTGATTCTGGCGGCCTGGATCATAAGCACACCCTTAAAAATGTGTGATCGGTCATGTGAGCGCTTGATCCTGGCGTCAGTGCACAGTTTATGTGGTTTGTGGCTTGTGTAGAGCCCCGGGAGTTTTTATTCAACTATATAGTCGCATATAAACATGATATTTAAACAATATTATGGCAATTTATTTGGGTCACACAAGCACATTAGTAATGGTGTCATCGGAAAGACACATCCTTAAAGGGAAAGTTCACCTAAAAATTAAACTTCTTCTGTCATAATTTTCTCATTACATTAAGGTTATCGTCTGTATTCTTTGCAAGTCATATAGGTTTGGAACAACATGATGGTGCATAAATAATGATCATTTGGATGAACTGCAGTTCTAAAACTTTCTATCATTTTACGTGGTGCACAACGTACAGCACATTACTTTGTGATCCGAGGTAAATCTTCATCATGATGATGGATATATGGCTCAGAAATTGTAAATGCAGCTCATGTCAACAGATATCTGAGGATGGAAGACGAGGAGGATCTCCAGACTACTTCAGCTCTGTAACCAAATGAAACAAATGGACCATTAGTGTCTAATGTTGTTACTTACTTTAACTTTCTACTATTGATTTTTCTGGTCTAGACTAGAAGTTGAAATTGCTTACTGGCCATAAAACAATCGTAAATCACCTTCAGATATCAACTGTACATCACTGTTCATCTAAACAGCGTGTCAGTCCAGTAACGTTAACGTTAAATGACTTCATTACTTTGACTGTATCAGTGCAGGTGCATGAGCTGATTTGTGTTTATATCCACACACTAACACACCGATAAAAAATATCATCCTCAACTGTCTTTCTTAGTCTGAACATGTATGTTAACTAAAATACAACTACAATCAGATTGCTGATCAGATTAATATTGACATCAAAGAGCTAATAGCTAATGTTAATGAAAACAAACCGTCCGAACGGGGTAGACATAATGAGAATATAATAAACAACTAAACTTATATAACTTACCTGGATATAACAAACAAGAGGGATTTATTGATCACACGGGGTTGCTTTCCGATCAGAGTATTATCCGCATGACTTCAGAAGAGCAGTAATAACGGCTCGCTGCATGAAACCGGAAGTGACGTATTCTTAAAGGGCCATACGGTTAGTTTTATATTTATCTTATTTGTTGTGGAAGGGTCCCAGGACCCAAATGTTTTGGAAAGAACTAAATAATTACTTAAAAAGAAAAGCTATGGTTCTTGTTAACTTTGAAGAAGTTGATGTTGTGCTAAAACCTTTTTCATTTGATGGTGATACAAATATTTTTTTATATATATTTGATTTAATTATTATAATTGCTCGTTCCTATATTTACAAATTTTGAACAATTTAAATTTGATGTTAAAATATATTTAGAAACAATATCCAAAAGTAAAAACTTAAAAGCAAGGAAAACTACAGCTGTACAAGGTACAAGTTTTTTCTGAAAAATGTCTTTCCTTTTCTTCCTTTTTTTTATACCCCTGACATGTATGGTTATATGTACTCATGTATGTAAATTATGTTTTGTTCTTATTAAAATTCAATAAAACATATGTTTTACTTCCTTGAATTTTTTTTTAACTTTATTGTTTTATTAATATTCATCTCCTACAAAAATTCACACAAAAATTCTAAAATAAATACAAAAATTACAAAAATTCTGTCATCATTTACTCACCCTCCAGTTGTTCTAAACCTGCATGAATTTATTTCTTCTGCTGAACACAAAAGAAGATATTTTGAAGAATATGGGTAACCAAACATTTGATGGATCCCATTGACTTCAATAATAGGAAAAAAAAAATACTATAGAAGTTAATTCTTCAAAATATACTGTATTCTTTTGTGTTCAGCCGAAGAAAGAAATTAATTCAGGTTTTGGGTGAACTATCCCTTTAAATTATATAAATTTGCATTTGTAAATGCGTACCTATACCAACCTGGTACTGGTTTTGTTCTGGCTTTTAGAGCATTTAGTAAAGAGGTGAAACTCTGGCTATTGTTTGTTTACATGTAAAATGTTTATTTAGATCATTTTGTTTTTTATTCAGAAACTTACATTTAAGAAAACAGCAAGACATCTCTGACCATGAGTTTTCTAAAGACAGTATTTAAAAATGAAAAAAAAAAAAATTAAAATGGCATAAGCGCTGATGGGGTCGGGTCAGTACGCATACACCTTCACTTTATGGACCTCTCGGTCTTCACACTCCCGCTTTCTGTTGTAGTAATAGTATGTATTATCTCGACGCTGAAGCTTCTTCACAAACCCACTGTCTGGCCAACGGTCAATCTGAAAGGACAACACAACAATATTCAGCAGGAAATCAGGACTGTTATGCCAGTATGTTACAATTAAGTACTTAACTAAGAAATTAACAGACTAAGCATGAAAACTTTAATTGATAAAACATACCAATAAAACTTGAATATATATAGTCAAGTTTTATTGGTATGTTTTATCAATGAAAGTACAAATATTTTATACAATATTTTGTCAGATAAATACCTTAACCAAGTTAAGTGTTTTGCTCTTCCCCCATATTATATATATATATATCAAAAAATGTGTGTGTGAGATGTCAGGAGGGAATATTTGTTTTTACTGACCCTAGTAAAAGTTTGATTAAACCTATATAATGTATACTGAAATATAATGTCATTTCTCGCTTAGCGTGTATATTATAAGGATTGGGTAAACATTATACTAAGTAATAATGTAATAAAAGTTATTGTAAGTGATAGCAGAAAGATGTCAGTGTTACCTCGACTTGTTGAATCTGTCGGTACTCGAGCTCGTCTCTGTATCCCGCCTGCTGAAAGCGGTACAGGTTCTCCACCTCACCTGTCCACTGCTTCGCGCGGCTCATGGACTTGGGCTTGGCCTTGTTATCCAGTAAAGCTGGGCAGGACATGATTTATGTGTATTTTCTGTGTATGATAACAAAGACATCACTCACTATTCTACTTTGGAATAAATTCAGTTTGACCGCACAGATTCTACTTTACATAATCAACAAGTCAAAACACCGTGTCACGTGTTCAACGACAATACGCTCATTCACCGAATAATTAATGCTCGAGTTAAACATTGACAGCATCTAGTCTAATTTGCTCAGAAGATGCATTGAACTGCGATATTAATTGATAAACTGGTTGATATCTATTATTAATAATGCTTTAAATACAAACTTACATTGACGTGTGTGGTAAAAAGCTGAATTGTCAACGTGTTCGTTTGGTTGAGCGATGTTGCGCATCATTGTTTCCTAGCAACTTAGCATGAGGGTAAAATGGCCAATAGAAAACATTCCCGGAATTCCACAGTTTGGTGGTTGGCCAATCAAACCTATGCCCGGAAATACCCTAGAAGAAACTAACAAAACCTTTCTTGTATGCACAATTATTTGTAAAACTTTGTTCACATTTTTGTCTCAGTGTATTGAGTATAACGATTGCTGTGGCTTTTTGCAATGTTTTAAGGATTGAATTTTAGTCCATTAGATGTCGCTGTACAATTTACACTATCAGGTTACCGATGTTTGTTTCCGACTCACGTGGTTTCATACCAAAGCGATGCCAGGAGGAGGAAAGACAGATGCAGGGAACAGGGGTGCTGCTGTCTGCGACTCGAGCCCAGAAAGACTTTGGGCAGTGATGTCCTGAGGTCTCAGGGGGATTTTGAGTTCCTCATCAGCTCAAACTCAGTGCAGTCAGCATGAGCTCGTTTGCTGGACGCATGAAGGAATATCCCACCATCTCCCTGGACCGATTTGACAGGGAGAATTTGCACGCCAGAGCTTATTTCCTCTCTCACTGCCATAAAGGTGCACATATATATATATGGACATCGCATCAGAACCTGGTTATGCACTTTCCAGGCAGCATGAATGGCTAAATTGGTTTGCTATGATTATGATCACTGTTCTGACATATCTGTTGATGTTTATGTTTAACAGATCATATGAAAGGGTTGAAAGGACCTTTCCTGAAGAGAAAACTGAAGTTAAGGTGAGTGATGGTTGTTATATTCCAAGTCATGTCCTTTTCTTATCAAACATTTGTTCATAACGTCATAGTTTATAAAAGTTTACATAAACTTTGGCTTTGTCCTTAATTTTTAAGTTTAAATGTATTTATTATAAACTAATATATATATATATATATATTATGTGTGTGTGTCTGTGTCAGTTCAATTTGTTGTTTATATACTTTTATTTTTTATAAACAAGCTTTTTTTTCAGTTTACATACATACTATGATGCTGCAGTATTATACTATATATTTATGAACATTGTCTAAGGTATATAGATATTGTCATAATTTTCTTTTTGTATTTTTATGTACAAAATGTAAGCGTGTTTATTCTGCTTTTACATTGAAATGTACTTTGCCGTTATCTAATGTTTAAACGATATCTTTATTTAATATTAACTAAAAATGTATATCCATTTTTCATACTGTACAATATAACATTGTGATGCCAAATTCACTCAAGCAAAAACAGTTTTAGTGTTTTAATTTATGTAAAGTATATATATATATATATATAGTATTTGAGTAAATGTAATTAGTTACTCTACTTAAGTATTTTTTTGGCTACTTTGTAATTTGTAGTTCTCAGGGTACTCTTATCACCACTGTATATATTTGACAAGACATTGACAAACTCATTGTCTTTCATAGTTTAACAGTGAAGCTGTACTGCTCATTTGTCACAAAGGAGCTCCTGCTTAGTAACCCAAAATATGCATTCTGGGAAGATCACATTGTAAGTATTCATTTCAGCCATGCAATTTTCCGTAAATCGTTTTGCTAACCGTTAAACAGCCTGATACGAGAACATGTCCATTACAAACTAGGTGCCCCTGGAGCTGGACAGTCCAACGCACATATCTCTGACAGATGAAACCACTGGAGAGGTGGGCGTTTAGCTCCTAGTTTATTCTTTTGTTTAGTGTTTTTGAGTTGATCTGAATTTGTACGGTATTTATTTTTTCTCTTCAGTCAGAGGATGTTGTTGTAACTCTGCTCACAGCCGGACACTGTCCAGGATCGGTCATGTAAGCAACCGGAACATGCATTAAGAATGTAAATAGAGTCCATTTTGATGTAATCATGGCTTGAAACTCTCATCAAAGGTTTCTGTTTGAGGGTGCTCAGGGTACAGTGCTCTACACAGGGGACTTCAGACTGGCTGTCGGAGATGCTGCAAGAATGGAGTACTTGCACTCTGGAGAAAGGTATTCAGATATCAGATATTTAAATACAACACATTTTGTAGATAATAAGACAGTTCAAATGTTTGTGTTGCAGGGTAAAAGACATTAAGAGTGTGTATATCGATACCACATTCTTTGATCCCAAGTACCATCAGATCCCTAGCAGGGTAAGCATTTACACATACCTGGATTATATCAAACAGACTTGAGGCGGTTGTATCTTTCCATAACTGTTTTCCCACTGTTTTAGGAGGCTTGTTTAACAGGGATAAGACAGCTGATCCAGGACTGGATCTGTCAGAGTCCGTACCATGTGGTTTGGTTAAACTGTAAGGCAGCGTATGGTTACGAGTACCTCTTTACCAACTTGGGACAAGAGTTCAGCTCACAGGTCAATGATTTTTTTTAACTAATTCTTTCTGCCTAGTTTTGAAAACATTAACAGTTTCTCCACTACAGATACATGTGAACAGCTTGGAAATGTTCAAAAAAATGCCTGAAATTCTGTGTCATGTGACCACCAACCGGGCAACGCAGATCCACGCTTGTAGGCACCCCAAGGTAGGCTCATCCTTTGCATCATGACATCGTCATATACGTCCTGAATGAGTAGTTGTAAACGGAGATCACATCTGAGGCTTTATCCACAGGATGAGGAGTTCTTCAGGGCGAACAGGTTACCGTGCGGCACCACGGCTCCAGACGGCATTCCTCTGAACATTATCAGCATCAAACCCTCAACAATATGGTTTGGAGAACGGACCAGAAAGACCTCGGTCATTGTCAAGTGAGTCATGATGCACCAATATAAACATTCTGGGTGCAGATAATTATTTTCATGTTATGGACAGTTTTTTTTATTTTTTACATGACAACGCTTTTCTTTGAGTTTTGGCCGTTCATTTACACAACAACGGCATTTTGGGGGCCTGAAAACGGGTTTCAAAGTGCAAGTTTTTGATAACAATACCACTATTGTCTCCATTTAAACTACAAACACGCATATTCGTGAAAACGGTGACATCATGCGCATGCGTATTACGTGTTCAGTCTACAGGTGCGTAGTTTCTTTACAAAGTGACATCGCCAACTACTGGCCTGGCAGCAGAATACAGCTTTTTTTAGTAGTTTTTTTGCGGTCCGTGAATGGGGATCGTTTTGACATACATCGTTGTGTAAACGTACACTTAAATCGTATACCATCTAAATAAAACACTAAAAAATCTTGGTAATATTTTGTTAGAAGTGAATTTAGCATCACGTTATAATGTACAATATGAAAAATGGTAATAAATATACATTTTTATATTTATATTATAAAATTATATATTTGATTTAAAAATTCTATATATAATAAAAATTACTTTAAATGTGTATATATATATATATATATAGTAAAATTACATTTATTTATTGACTGTCTCTCTTTTTAGGATGGGGAGCAGTTCCTACAGAGCATGCTTTTCTTTTCATTCCTCTTACTTGGAAGTAAGAGAAATCCCACTTAAAATATTTTTCATACATGACGGCATACACAGGGTTAGGATATCATAAGCCCGTTTCTATTTCCTTTGACTAGGTTAAGGACTTTCTATCCTACATTGGTCCTGTTAACATCTACCCTAATGTCATTCCATTGGGCAAGACACTGGAGGACGTCACAGATCTGTAAGGACTGATCCTTCTTTTTTTTTTTTTATGTTGTCATTAGATACTTACTATAAAATAATATTTTTAAATTCAGGTTGAAGCCATTGTGTAGAAAACATACTGAAAGGGACGAGATGGTCTACAAACCGCTTGGAACCCTTAAAAGAACCAGAAAGAGATGCACATCAGAAGGTAGAAACAGTTTACATTATTAAAACTATTTCTATTATTCATCATTAAAACGGTTACTATTGCTTATACATTTCTTTCTGCCAAGGCTCAGACAGTAATGACGACTTGTTTGATGAGGTTTCCACGGCTCCGAGGTGGCGGAAGACGAGAGTGGTTGATCTGACCAAGATTGCCATTAGTGCACAACCACGTAGTCCTAATAAAGATTCTCATGATACAGACCAAATGTACTCCCTCATACAGACCTGTCCCTCCGCACACTCGTCCAATTACATGGACTGCACTGAATCAAATGATGATGATGACGACGATGAAGATGATCCTGAGCAATCTCCTGTACCTCACCCATCTGGTCTTGCTCCTCCATCTTGCACAGAAATGCCATGCTCAAAACTGACTCGTTTGGACCCGTCCCAATCCAAAGCTGCTCAGCCTTGTTGGGAAAAGTTCTTCACGGCAGAACCGGTGTTGACGGACGAGAGCGAGTTGGATAACAGTCAGAACAGCCACAACACAGCCACCGAAAACACAGCGTCCCAATCGCCTGAGCTGTTTCAGGATGAAGATGAGGATGACAAGAGCTCCGTTCACATGACTTCCTCTCAGTCCACTCATATATCAGATGCAGGAATGGAGAGCCTCAGTCAAATGGACACCGTTCTTGTCCAAGTGGATGAAAATAAAGCCGTTGTTAGTGAGCAGAGTAACCGGGATGGGATTGACACTGAACAGAAGACGGGAGAAGCCGTGGAGCCGAAATCAGACTCTCAGGTGTCATCAGATTTTGAGCTTCCACCAACACCAGGTTCAAAAGTCCCACAGCCAGAAGACCTGAAGGACCTGTACAGGAAGTTGGCAGCAGGGGAGGAAGTGGTCATAAGACAAATTTATTAATTTCATGTTTGTTTACTCGAGTATTTATTTTTTTGGTTTGTTGTACGACAGCTTACCTCATGCAGTTTTGTACCTTTATAAATGCTGAATACTTTAATTAAATTCCTCAAGCAAATGCGTACAATGTTTTCTGTTGTTCTAGTTAAGAAAACATTAAAAAATAAAACTTAAAACAAAAGAAATAGAAATGCCTTGGCAATTAATTGAAATCAAGTTTAAGCACCAAAATGAATGAAACCAAAAATGAAATGCTACAAAAGCACACATCAAAAATATTAAAAGTTAAAATGACAAAATCAAAATAATACTATATAAATACTAAAATAACAACGTTCACATTGTGTAGGAATTATAAGATGGCAACCCAAAGATTTCATAAAATTAAAACTTGCCAAGTGCTAAATGAGTGTAAAAATATAAGCACACTAGGTAACTGGTTATATTAAACAGAAATATGTCAAGGCCATTTTAGTTACTTTTACACAATGCAATGGCGCTCAAGTAAGAGATGCTTGGAACTTTCCAAGCATATTATGCTGGCTACGGATGCTGGGAGTGCTGTTGCCCTGGTCCTCTTAGATCTGAGCTCTGCCTTCGATATGGTGGATCACTCAACCCTTATTTTTAGACTGAAGAATTTAGACATTCATGGCACTGTTTTAAATTGGTTTCAGTCTTTTTTAACTAATAGAACATTCTCTGTATGTATTGAAAATTGCACTTCCTCAGCAGCACATCTTTCCCGCGGTGTACCTCAGGGATCCATTCTAGCTCCGATATTATTCTCTCTTTATCTGTTACCACTGGGTTCTATTTTCTCTAAACACGGAGTGTCGTTTCATTTATATGCCGACGACACCCGATTGTACTTTCCATTTAAGCAAAACAACTCAAGTTCTTTAGAAGTCCTTCTTGCCTGTTTTCAGGAAGTGAAGCTATGGCTTACACAAAATGTTTTAGCCTTTAATGAAAACAAAACTGAAGTAATACTGTTTGGACCAAATGATCGCTATGACTCTGGTACTTTAGATCTTGATGAGTTAAATCCTCATGTTACTTCATCAGCAAAAAATCTAGGTTTCCTGTTTGATTCAGGCCTTAAGTTTGATCAACAAATTAACTGTTGTTAAATCCTGTTTCTTTCATTTACGACGTCTCGCAAAAGTAAAATCTTTTCTCTCTTCTAAGAATTAAAAATAGTTATTCATGCGTTTGTCACTTCACGACTAGAATATTGTAATTCACTTTATTTTGGAGCTAACCAATCATCAATTGGGCGCCTCCAATTAGTACAAAATGCTGCTGCCAGGCTGCTGACTGGTAGTCGAAAGTTCGATCACATTACGCCGATTCTAACCTCTCTAAATTGGATACCAGTCAGAAAGAAAATAGTTCAAAATTTTAATTTTTGTTTTTAAATCATTACACGGCCTAGCACCGGGGTACCTATCGGACCTACTACACTACCACAACCCACCCAGGTCTCTTAGGTCTAGTAACCTTGGTTTGCTCTCTGTACATCGATCGAGACTGAAACATCGAGGTGACCGAGCCTTTGAAATAGCAGGCCCCAAATTATGGAATTCCCTACCATTATCAATTAGAATAGAGTCGTCAGTTGCCACCTTCAAATCAAAAGACACTTTCTTAATGCTGATCCTTAATCTACTTTCTTAACCTGTAACTGTATTGTATTCTATGTGTTATTTATTTTAGTATGCCTGTATTCATACTGACTCCACTTGCAATTGTACTATATCCTTGTATTGATTATTTTGTCCTGTTCAGCACTTTGGTCAACCATGGGTTGTTTTTAAATGTGCTCTACAAATAAATAATGAATTGAATGAACTTTCATAAAATTCCAACTTGGAATTACAAGTTCTGGTTGGTTTTTAAAATGTTAAATCATCTAAGTGCAAATATTCCAACTTGACAAACATGAATGTAGCAAGTACCTGTACTGAAAATAAACTCTGGGTTTATTGCGTTCAGTGATCTTTATTGCATACTAGTTACAGATGACAGCTTTTTAAACGATAATTTTGCACCTGCTCGCTGTGACTGCACCAGATTAGCATCAGTGAGCCACACAAAGACAACTCTTCCCTGTACAACACCACCTGCTTCTCAGTCTACAACCTGAAATTCTTCAGTCTGATGAGGTTGTGCATGCTTTAAATGGTATCAGCAAAATCCACCAATCATTTTGCCTGTCACATGAACTCATGACTAATCAAATGGTGTGATGCAGGTACATAAAGGCACATGGTAAGAACAACTACAGTAAACCTGCTGGTCAGACAACAGGCATGAACCAAATGACTGCAGGTAAAAAAAAAAGAAAAAAAAGAAAAAGCTATAAAACTGGATATTCATTTTAAAAGGATAGCTCACCCATACAAGAAAATTCTGTCATTATTTACTTACCCTCATATTCCAAACCCGAAAAGGACAAAACACTTCCTGGTCCATCTTTTTGAAACTATGAATGGTTGTTGTAAACCAAAAGCTGCAGAACAATTCTACTTGTATGTTCCAAAGAAAAATACAACATGAGAACAAGTAAAACATTTTCCTTTATGGGTGAGCTATTCCTTGAACTGAAGCAAACATGTTCAAGTTCTTGTTTGGTTAATCTCTAGAGGAATCTAGAGCAATGGAAAACCTCAAACAGCATGAGATGCAGGTGTTTAGGTTAGTGTATGGAATTATGTTGACAGCACGATTGAAGGTTAAGACGCTGCAGCAGCAGCTGTTTCTATGGTTATGGCCTCGGATCTGCCGCTTCCCAACTCTGTGCACGTAACGTGCAGTGAACCGTCTCTGAAAAATAAACACACATCAGGAAAAGAGCTTTGAATAGTTGAGTAAGACTGGGTGATATTAATGAACTTATAGTACACACACAAGCTAGAAAATATATAGATTACTCTTTAACAGATCGCAATCTCAGTTCAAACACCCACGCTATCTTATTCCTAAATCACAACGATTCACCTGTGTCTATTAAACCTTTGATAAATACAATCACAACGGAGCATTCAGATCTGCGTTGATGTTGGCGCTGATCCAGAGAGAGCAAGCATGAAACAGCTTCAGTCTTTACTCTTTTCAACCACACTATCATATCTCCGTATATCTTTTTATATATTTCTGTTACGATAATTTAAATTATCACAGAAGTGTTGGGATAAAAGTTTATAGTTCGGATATAAACACAGATGTCTATGGAAGCGATCAAAATAGAGTAAATATCAAATAAAGATTCATTAATTACATTATACCAGTAGGTGGCAACAAGTGGGTGTCATTGAATCATTCAAGAGATTTGCTCAAAACGCTGATTCATCCAGGAATGAAACAAGTCTTTACGAGTGAGTCATTGAATCATTCATTCAGATGGATTTTTTTTTTAAATAATTGAAATTACTTAAATATTTTTAAATAGACTGCAGAAATTAATATTTTGTCAGAACCTCTAATAAATTGCATGTTATTTCGTTTAGTTGTCTGTTCAGAATCGTGCGAGAATCATAATCTCGATTTTATCCATCCAGTATTAATGAAAGTATTCATTTATCACATTACCTCTTCATTGTCAGCACTGTGACAAAGTCATGCAGCTCCTCTTTAGGTTCCAGGTCTCGAAGTACAATCTAGAAAAATAAACCAGTAAGCCTAAAATGAAATCATAGTGCACAATACAAGCTGAATATCTCATTTACGGTAATTTTAGGCTTGTACTGAAATGTCTGTTAAAAGGGGAGCCAACCTGTGCGATTGGTTGCTGTGCCTGGTACAGCTCCAGACTCACTGACGACAGACTGCCAGGACCCTGCAGCGTGTGCTGACAGCGGGCAGGGAGAGGTGTGCCAGATGGAAACAAAACTGTGAAAACCTCCGCTCCGGAGTCATCCACTTCCTGAAAGACCAAGACACAATCTACTGATCAATATGCTATTTTGTGCTAAAAGACCCTAAAACAGTGGTTCTCAATCCTGGTCCTAGGGAGCCACTGCTCTGCACAGTTTGTATGTCTCCCTCATTTAACACACCTGATTCAGATCATCAGCTCGTTAGGAAAGAGCTTTATTAACTGAAGTGGGTGTCTCAGATAAAGGAGACATATAAAATGTGCAGAGCAGTGGCTCCCTAGGACCAAGATTGAGAACCACTGCCCTAAAACGAAGCACTATTAATCATTTGAAGTTCCCCACCTTAACCGTGATGTCGCTGGCACAGCAATCCACAGTGATGGAATCTTCTCCGAGTGCCAGGCTGTCTTTTCCGACCAGGATGCCCGCCTGCATGGCAGCACCGACCGGAATCACCTCGTCCGGGGGAATGGAGTTCAGTAGCTCCACGTCTGGGAACAAATCCCTGATCATCTGTTGCAACTTCGGGATACGAGCTGATCCTCCGCACAAAACCACCTTAGAGAGAATACGAACTGGTTTAAAACGGTATTCAAGGTTTTGGGACGCCAAAGTTTTTCTCGCTATAATTAGATGTAAAACACCAAAATAATCTACTAGTTGGACAGGGAATTTTGTTTTAATTGCCTCTAAAAGGCTAAGCACTACTAATGACAAAATTGTTTTTTTTTCATGCATGAAATATGGAATAAAATCAATAGCTGGTCACACAACTCTATTAAAGAAGACCTCATGTTTTTTTACATGTTCATCTTTTTTTAGTGTGTAATGTTGCTGTTTGAGCATGAAACAGGTCTGCATAGTTCTAAAGCACAAAGTCCCTCCAAAGAAACAAGTTATTCTCTCTATCACATTCAAGCATGAAAACCTATTCTAGTAATCCACAAAAACAAAATCAATACTTTGTAAAAGAGCATAATATGAACCCCTTTAAAAAGTTGTTTTACCTTGTTGACATCAGAGGTGGACAGGTTTACTTGCTCGAGGAGACTTTTAATTGGCTGAATGCTCTTAGTAAAGAGGCTGGAGCATATCAGCTCAAAACGGGCTCTAGGACAGAAGCATATATGACATGTATAGATGCAACAGGTGCCATTTTCTTTGTAATACTGATTTGATTGCAAATAACTTCAGCTCACCTGGACACATTACACTCAAAATCCATGCCGTCATAAAGCGAGTCCACAAAGCAGTTGGCACTACTCAGGGTGGAGAGAGTGTGCTTGGCCAAATCAGCACCATTCATGAGCTTGAGCATCGCCCTGGGGTTTCCCGTCACATCCTGTTTATAAGTCCTGGAGACACACATGACAAACAAAATAAGAGTGACATGCATGTAATCAAATAAAATAACATCAAAACATCAAATATGTTTAAAAATATTATATAATATCATTGAATTTTGAGGTCAGTCAGCTTTTTTATTTGTATTCAGCAAGGATGCATTTCATTTATTAAAAGTGACAGTAAAGACAATTATATTGTTACAAATGATTTCTATTTCAAATAAATGCTGTTCTTCCGAACTTTCTTTTCATCAAAGAATCCTGAAGAAATGTCTCATGGTTTCCACTAAAATATTAAGCAGCAATACATAGATAATAAATACATGTTTCTTAAGCAGCAAATCAGAATATTAGAATGATTTCTGAAGGATCATGTGACACTGGAGTAATGACGCTGAAAATTCAGCTTTGATCACAGGAATAAATTAAATTACAATAGAAAATCGTTTAAATTGTTATAATATTTTACAATATTACTGTTTTTACCGTATTTCTGATCAAATACTTTTTTAAATATCTTACCAACCCCAAAGTTTTGAACAGTAAATATGAAATAAATATGTAATATAATATACAGTTATATTATATTAAATATTTATTTAATATTTACTTTAAAATTTAAATAGATAATATATCTATTTTCTGATAATAAACTATTAAAACTTTTTAATTAAACTTTACTTTAAAATTTAAATAGATAATATATCTATTATCTATTTTCTGATAATAAACTATTAAAACTTTTTAATTAAACTTTACAATTAAAAGGTGCTTCATTGCATCTGATCAAAAAAAAAATATATATATATAATAGCAGATTCATAAATGAGAAGTTTGGCACCAGTACTAAAAAACACTGCTTTATATAACACTGGAGTTAAAAATAAAAAAATAAAACTCAGAAAGTAAAACAATATGAATATGACTAAATGAGCCACTTCAAAGTGTAAAATAGCCAATATAAGATGTTATGAGGTTGCTTGGCAACCGTACCCAGTACAGTGTCTTCAAAACAAAACCACTTCCATTATAAGCGCAATCACAACATAACAAATGTGAAGCACTGGACTTCAACTGACTTTTTGAACTCGGCGGCGAGGTGCTGTGCGAGCTCATGTGTGAAGCTCTCTCCTCCCGTCCTGTGATCGGTCTGTGTCGTGAGGACACGGTACATTCCACTGTTCACCTCCAGGACGGTGACGCTGAGCGACGTGCCTCCGAGTTTGTACACCAGGACATGACTGTTTGAAAAGAGAAAGGAGAATGAGGCTTCTGAGGAGCTCAAAGAAACAGCTCGACTCGGACGACGCACAAACTCTGTACCTTTTTCCCAACGATGAGTCCTGTCCGATCCCATAAGCTAGAAGGGCAGCAGAGGGTTCGTGTATCAGCCTCAGCACGTCGAACCCGGCACTTTCTGCAGCTTGCCTACAACACAGCTCTGATTGTTATAAAACCTCTCCCCAGACACAGCTTCTGGAGTTAGATAACCTTGTTACATCATCTGAATTCATTGTAAGATGTTTTACAGACACTTCAAGTACATACCTTAGAGCATTCTTCTGCATCTCTCCAAACTCAAAAGGCACCGTTATGACAGCATCTTTCACATCCGAACCCAAGGCTGACTGAGCCGTCTCTGCAGGGAACATGAAACGATTATCAGTGGTTCACATTAAACATACTGACTATGAAAGAAAATGAAGCATTCAGACAATACCTTTCATTTTATGGAAGATCAATTTAGCTACATCTTCAGGCGACACATACTTGGTTGTCTCTCCCGTGTCGATTTCATATCTGGGCAGGTCACTCTTGCTGACAACCTGGGAACGAGTGAGAAAATACACACCTCTTAAATAAGAAAATGGTGCAGTTTTTATGGCTACTGTTGTGTTTTTTTCCCCATCTGTCAGTATTTAAAGGGATGGTATATAGTAAATAGATCATAAATGAAAATCAAGTCATCATTTACGGTACTCAAACTAGTGTTGTTCTAATGCCGTATGCCACAAAAGGAGAATTGTTTTAAACGACCAGCATCAAGCTTTTAAAGGGTCATGAAACCCCCCTCTTTCAGCTCAAGTCTAGCTCACAATCTTTTTGCAAAATGCAACTTAAATGGGCGTGGATGGCTGTGAGAAGGGGTGTGGTATGGCCATCACTGTCATCGCCAGTATCCCATGCATATCGACTGTCACTAAAAGCAGTGGTAAAACGTGAGGAAATGCTAGATTTTTTTTTATAGCTGGCAAAGTTAAAGTCTTATGAAATACGACACTTTATTATTGTCCTTTCAAAAGTAACTGAATGCCCTGCTACATTAGCCTTCAGTAATCGTAATTCTACTGAGAACATATTAATGTAGGCTACATGTATAATTATATTGTCATTATAAAATATATAGTTGTTTATAGACACTATAAATACATATATTTGAAAATTATTAATTTTCCGCTTAAAAAAAAAACGTTCCGTGCATAGCCTAGATCTACGCGCCCCCTGAACCCCTATAATAAAGACGGCTCTGTGGAGGTGGATGACTTCTCATTTTAGACACACACACCTCTGAAGGGATAGAAAAGTCCTCGGGACTTGGTACCGCATCACTCGCAAGACGCAACCTGCATTGGTTGTCAACAAGGCGAAGTCCACCATTCTCAAATTCTCGAAGCTCTCTCGAGAAAAATGTTTGCGGCACACACGTTTAGATGTGTCTGTGGTTGATGGAAAACCAACCGTCCGGAGCCAGAGTCTAGCCCGGGCAGCATCGCGGGGAAACATATTCAACCCAATTGGATTTTTGCACCATGAAAACAAACACTTGCGTACGTCCCATGATTGCCTCTCTCATCTACTACGCGATATCACAGTTTGACATGTCTGTCATTGGAAAGATCCACGTGGTGTCATGAATAATTAAGAGACGCTGTCTTCTCACAGGATATGAAAACTCATTAATAGTTATGAGACACCAATGAGTCATCAACGCACTCACAGTGCACTGCCACGTCACGATGAAGATTTTAAACCCGGAAGACAAAAAAAGCAAATTTAACCATTTTAACCCTACTATTAAATCTAACTGATGCTAACATTGTCTTCAATGGTGTTCAACACACATACCTCTGTAAAAATCTCATAAAATTTGGTTTGGGGATTCATGACCCTTTAAAAAAAGATGCAAAGGTATCACAGAACGGTCCAGTGTGACACGTACCGTATATTCCAACTGTTCTGAGAGTGTATGATAGGGTTTGATGAAAACCAAACAAAAATTTAATGTATTTAACGAAAATCCTGATCTTTTGTGGTTTCGTGAGACTCTATTAGCGCCGCAGTCCAACCCAACTCGCCCAGAAAAAGAACACAAGTTGTTCACTAAACCCTATCATACACTCCCAGAACAATTGGAATATACGACAATTGAGACTATTCTGTGATGCTTCTGTGTATTTTTAAAAAAAGCTTGATGCTGGTTGATATTAACTGCCATTATATGGACACGTTTTTTAAAAATTCTCCTTTTGGGGTCTGAAAAAGAAAGATGGGCATAAGGCATTAGAACAACACCAGGGTTAGTAAATGATGACTTAATTTTCATTTTAGGGTGAACTATCCCTTTAAGAACAGCATGTACTTACAATGCATTTGCTTTCTTCTTTGTGTGCCTGAGCATCTGGGTCATCAAAGCTGTCAAATACACAAGTTCAATGAATTTATATTATTATTACTTATATAAATGCTTTTATTTAAGATATTGCTACTTTGATGGTAAAATATTCTTAATAAATGTTATGCACTGAATTATCTACAGCATTATTGCATGTTTGTGTAAATATGAAAATAAATACCGTCTGCCAAGGATCTGCTTAACTTTGACAACCGTATTGGTGGCATTTCGTATTCGGCCCTGTTTAGCGGCGATTCCCACGATCTAGAAAAACAAATGAATGAGACAAAACCATCAGACCATCTCATGCCTGGCATCCTTGCTTCATTTGAATTAAACAAACAAACAACCAAATTGAGTCAAAACATTACCTTAATTTTTCTAAAAACAAAATTTTAAATATTGAAATGGATTTTACAAATACAATAAAAACTTGTCAGGCAGGATTTAGAGAAGTTTTGGGCACTTTTATCAACAACAAAAAAAACAGCTGGATCATATATATTATTTTATATTACAAATGTATCACATTAGGGAATTAGTGTAATAGCAACCAAAAAATACACTAACATAATCAAAAATGAAAACACTACGCAATACAAATAAAATGCAGTCGGTCATACTATTCACTACACTAAAGATATGTTTTGCAGTTAAGGGTTTAAGTTTCTATTTCACACATGTATTAAAGTCTCTCTGTGTTTGGTGCTGATGAGAGAGCTGTAACGTAGACTCACTGATTATTATTCCATTCCCCGAAATGCTGGTAAATTACCTGTTCAGTGTCTCTATATGCGACCACAGCTGGAGTGACTCTGTCCCCTGCATCATTGGCCACAACATCTGCTCGTCCATCCTATATGAAAACAATTACACCTATTATAATGGGTTTTTTTTTATCTGGTATGGTTTGCAGGTCACCCCATCATATATTCAGCACCATTAACAAGGACTATTAGATATTTTATTTCATTTTCGGCATATTTGCGATTATTCAACTAATTAAAATGATGTATACTCATAACAAATTCACCTTAAATACCGCAACACAGGCACATGTGTATCCAAAGTGCACCCCGATGGCAGCCATGCTTCCGAAGAATTCTACCGGAAACTGCTACTCATATGCAAATGAGGAGGGATGGACTTTTGGGCGCAGCCAAATGACGGGCGCCGATGTTAGCCAATCAAAGCGCCTCTGATCTGACGTCAACAGGACCGTCAAGAGAGCAGCGCCTGATTTAGAAACAGCTGAGAGCGACGCCGGTGGGTGTTGTGTGCTGGTTATTGAAGTTCCTTAGAAGTGCGCACAGGCGCGTTTTAAGCGCACAGAGTCATGTCTTTAACCAGCTCCTTTGCAACCCCGTTACTTTTGCCTTTATGTGTCGTTTTATTCTCAGTTACTGTTGCAGAAGAATGCGAAGGTGAGGTTGGTTGGCTTGGCTTTCAATGCGCATGAACCCCTGAGTTTAAAAATAGCCACCTGGGTTATTTTTCACCAGTGCATGAGTGTTTTGACATAGGGAATATAAGATATTTACAGCAGGAAGTCAATATTTAAGAGGTGAGTCCTGGTTTGGATTGCATACTGACTGACAACCCGTATTATTGTAACACTATGCCTTCTATTTAAACAGTTATTTAAAAGTTCATGTCCAATCAACTTGGATGGATGTTTAAGTCATTTTAACTTAAATTACATTAAACTGACTTAAAACACGTGTTGAATCTTGTATAACAAAAAAAAAAAAGTTTAAAATTGCTCAACTTATTTTGATGAGTTAAAGAAATGTAAAAGTGTTGTCATAACTTATTGATCATATTGGAAATGGAAAAACGATTTTAACTGCTATGATTTTCTTGTGTCAATGCAACCCACTTACAACTAGAAAACATTGCTTTTGTTCTGCAGAATTATAACTAACTGTTATTACATAACTAATATCAAATGAATGTATCCCTCTAGTATGAATCTCTGTTTAATATTTATATGTGTATCTGTTTTGCAGTGTGCGAGGAGTTTTTGGGGCAGCTTTATAACTCACTGGTGATCAGACACACAGAGTTGTCCCCAGAGCTGGTGGAGGAGGGTCTGATCAGAGCATGCACTGAGACTACTGGGAAAGAGAATCGACTAGTAAGAATATAAAAACAAGCACAGTTTGTTTTTTATGCTTCTTTGGTTGCTGTTCCATACGAATATGTTTAGGGTATGAAATATATTGAATGCATGAGGTAATTCTTTCCCTGTTCACCTCAGTGCTATTACCTAGGAGCCTCCAGTGATGCTGCAGCCAAAGTGACAGGTGAGGTGAGCCGCCCCCTCAGTGCACATGTTCCTGTCCACAAAATCTGCCAAAAACTTCAGCGCAGGGATGGCCAGATCTGCGAGCTCAGATATGGTAGGGTGTACTCGCATATAAGATCCATAAAGTCGGCATGAAATGGAAGTTGCGATAGTATTTTATTCCCTTTTGTGACATATATCCGAGTGAAACCGCTTCTTGAACAAGAAAAAATGTAGGACAGGAAAAATGTAAGATTTTGCAAGAAATGCAAGAAATTGATTGGATCGTTGGATGGTTGTGGTTTTGCTATTGCTGTGATGTTATGTGAGTGACAGGTTGTCCCGCCCTCGCGCCAGTAAACACATCAAAAGATATGTTGCTGCAGGAGGGAGGGGAAGTTATTTTGATTGAAGACTGAACATGAATTAAAAAAAATAATTATGTGCACAGATACATCATTTATAATAAATACTGCAATGTTCCATAAAAAATAATTGTCAATTTTGTTTTCATGGTGACTATAAAGGGTTAGTTCACCCCAAAAATTAAAATACTCTCATTAATTACTCACCCTCAATTGAGTGGTTTAGTCCAAACTTTCTGAAGAGACTCGATCGCTTTATATGATGAACAGATTGAATTTAGGATTTTATTCACATATAAACATTCATCAACGCATTTTCACTTTATGTGCAACAACCAATGAGGTTAATTCTTGTATTACGCAGCACGTTTGAGCTTCAGCAAGAACCAGTGAGGTTTGTTGTCATGCGTCAAGCAGGTTCAGTTGAGCTTCTGTTAATGTACACTGATCAATTGTGAATTGAAGCCTAAATTAAATCTGTTCATCATATAAAGTGATTGAGTCTCTTCAGAAAATTTGGACTAAACCACTCAATTCATATGGATTAGTTTTACAATCTCCTTTATGAGCTTTTTAAAGTGTCAATGTCAAGTGTCAGTTGCGTAGCTGTCAACGGAGGGACAGAAAGCTCTCAGATTTCACCAAAAAGATCCTCATTTGTGATACGAAGATGAACGAAAGTCTGACGGGTTTGAAACGACATGAGGGTGTGAGTAAATGATGACAGAATTTTCATTTTTGGGTGAACTATCCCTTTAATTGCATTAGAGTTTGGAATATTTTGGAAATAGTTGTCTCAAAGGTTTTAAAATGGACATTTCTTGTTCTTCTGAAACAGAGCGTCCAGTTCTTGACTGGAGCAGGGACGCTTTGTCTAAAATGCGAGTGTTGGATCTGAAGAGAGTCTTGGCCTCGTGGGGGGAGGAGTGCAGAGCCTGTCTGGAGAAGAGTGAATTTATCGATCTCATCCAGGAGGTGGCTCCCAAACACAGCACAGCGCAGCACAGAACACACACGAAAGAGTTCTGAGGGCCTCCTCGTGCAGCTCCGTGCTGGGGAGACAGAGCTCTGATGAGAGGGCCTCCTCGTGCAGCTTCATGCTGGGGACACACAGCAGTGATGGGAGGGGCTGCACGTGCAGCTGCGCTCAGGGACACTTTTGATATTGCACTGAGACTCCTAACTTATAATGCTTTTCATAATGTTAGTTATAGTAGGCATGTCCAATAGGTGCCACTTCCCCAGTGTCTCATTCTCCTGTACCGCTGTAAGCATATTTCTCTCGCAAACTCCGAATAAATCAAACAAGCTTTATTAGTTTCAGTGATTAAGCGGAGGCTCGCAGAGATACTGGCTGTCCAACCATTTAGTTTGGAAATGACGAGAGCTTGTGTCAGGCTCTAAGACCAATCTGTACTCCGCTCTAAAAGCCTCCTGTCTGGATGATATTTCAATCATACAATCAAAATAAATGAGTAAGAAAATATATTTTGCATGAATAACGAAAATTAAGCCTTTTTTTAGGACCATTATTTTTTTCCGCATTGTCGTGACATTATGCACATTTTCCTTCCTAGTTCAAATTAGCATAATGCAATCTAATGAAAAGAATCTCATTACTGTAATGTAGAAAATATACAAATAAGTTAGGGTGAAAATGTATTTATCATGAAAAAAGTCACAATGAAAATGTCAAATTTTAACATCAAAATTATGAATTTATATATATATATATATATATATATATAACACTTCACAATAAGGTTTCATTAGTTAACTAATATTTAACAATACTTCTACAGCATTTATTAATCTTAGTTAATGTTAATTTCACTTTTAATTTACTAATAAATAATTAAAATCAGTAGTTAATACTTTGTGAACTAACATAAACAAACAATGAACAGCTGGATTTTTATTACCTAACATTAACAAAGGCTAGTTCATGTTAGGTAATACACTAACCAATGTTTTAAATACATATAAAGTGTTTGTTTTTTTTTTGTCCTATTTTTAAGTTTTTTAGAGTTACCTATTTTTAATTGCCTTTAGCTTTTTTGCAGCTCTTTTAAATAATCTTTCTGGTATGCCAAAATTCAAAATTATTATGAGGACATAAAAACATCTGGACAGATTACTTTAATGACAATTTGAGGGGGAGAATTGTGCTTAATATCTATGGGGGGGGCAAAAATACAATTTTATGCAAAACATTATTTTCTATTTTGGGGTGAAATGTGACCTGGACACTGGACCTGATATTTGTTACATTAACGTGTGTGTGTGTGTGTGTGTGTGTGTGTGTGTGTGTGTGTGTCCCTTTCTTAATCCAATTCAGTGTCAGTCTGTATCAAATTTGTAGATACAAGCGTGCGTATGACCTCTCGTAAGGATCGTATTGTTGTGACTTTTTGTCCATACACACGGAACAAAAGACGCTCGCCCACCTAACTGTGCTGATGTTTACATCTGCCGTGTTGCCATGGCGATCACGAAACCTTTCATCCCCGGCTTCCGATGCTACAGGATTTTGCTGACAAACTTTTTATGTCATAAAACAGAACCAATCAGGCACGAGTCCATCGGCAGGGCTCTTTCTCTCTCTTCTCTCCTCTCTCTCCACCTCCAGGCTTTCTCATTCACAATCCCCATTTTTTACCATCCAGTTCTGCTGTTCTCCTGTAATAGCTGTTGAAAGAGAGAGTGATAAGAGAGAGAGACCGTGAGTGAGATTCAGGCCTTGCCCACGCAAAGAAGTGGGAGACTGAACCTCTCTCTATACTCTCTCTCTCATGCGCACGCACACACACACACACACAGTCAGTGTATCATGCTTGCACTGTGTGGGCTGAGCTGAGCATTCCTGTCATACAGTAACAGTCTCTCTGCCTCCGCACTCTCTCTCTTTCCCTCTCTCTCCCTCTATTTCTCTCTTTCCCTTTCCCTCTATCTCTCCTCTTTTCTCCCTCTCTTCTCTTTCTCACACACATACGTTCCAAATACACACATTAGCACACTTCTATACACTTTCACAGACCAGAGACGGACCCTCGCAGAGGAAGTCGAGATGGTGTGGAATGTGTGCCCTGGTTTTATTAGGTAAGTTTTATGATTTCCAGCATATCCTTGGGTGAATTGTGTGCGTGCTAGGTGTAGCTTGAATGAATTTAAGTGTGTGTTTGTTGAAAGATAAGATTAATTTGTGTCTTTTCAGGCTCTCTGTGTGTCATATTTTGTCAGCGCACCTCAGTACAGCGGCTCGATGCGGATATTTTCATTGGGCATCACTACAGGGATTACTGAACACTTTTTCCTAACAGGCAAAATGTGGCTGTGTGTGTGTGTGTGTGTGTGTATATGCGTGAGGATGTGTGAATGAGTGTTGCGCTCACTCTATATAGGTCTTCTTCAGGCAAAGCCTAATCTCGCTGATTGGAAACTGATTTGCGTTGAGTTGAATTTCGCAGAATACACAGACGTCGCCCCAGCCCTCTTACCTTCTTTACCTGTCACTCTCTTACATCCTAATTTCTGTCGTGACTGAGGCCAATCTATTCAGCCCTAACGCCCACACATTAAGCCATCACACTGTCTATTTCTTCTCCTTAAATTACTCTCTCCTATTCTCCCCTTCTCAATCTCCCCTCTCTTTAAACATCTGTGTGGTGCACGTGCACGAAACGCGCCTTGAGTGTTTTGCACACCCGTCAGGAGATGCGGGAGGATGCTCGCACCAGATTTATGCTTTGGCCCTTTAAAAGCAGGCAAAGTTTCCTGGTGAACCATTTTTCTGGTTGCCATAGTGATGAGCAAGGACTTGGAGAGGTGCAGTGGTACTGGGATGCAGTGACAGCTCTTAGCATGTGAATTCTCACACTGAGATATGGAGATGCACAGAGGCTCTGAACAGAGACGGCGATGAGGTGAGACGCCCACGCGCGCACACACACATCATTATTGCTCACAGCGCTAGCTCTTTGGATGATCATACTGTCCCTGGATCCCCAAAAGAGGGAGGAGACCATGTGGGGAAGATGAGTGAGAGAGAGAGGGGATTTGTGCGTGTTTGCGTGTGCAACAATGAATGCTTGAGAAACTGAGTGTGTAGTTGCTCTATGCAGAAGTTTTGCATTTAGGGGAATTTTTGAAGGTTTGTAATAGGGGAGAGTACAAGCCTGAATTAAATGACTTGCACACGAAGAACGCATGTTAAATCAAGCATTAAAAGTTAGAAACATCACTTAAATTTGCATTCATTGCTCTGACCTCTCAGATGGTCAGTAAGATCTCAACCAAAGTCCAAGTGTATGAGATATTTAGGAAATTAGTTGGCATGAAATCTGTTTTTCGGCAATTCTTTTTTAGACAGTTTTTATGATATAGCTGCAGTTTCTTATGATGTGTAATAACTGACTACATATTTGACATAACATATAAAATAAACACATTTTATTGGACTGTCCAGCTTTTAATGCAAGTAGAAAACATTTTTATGAAGTAACCTCACTTAAAGACTTGTTTAGTCAGATTTTACCAGAAAAGGTTTTAGAATTTTTTTCATATGTTAATGTTAAAAAATCTCGTATAATATTAACTGCTGTATTTTTTTCTGTTTGCCTGGTTGCTGTATTTATGCAACTTTGTATTTTTGTAATTCAGTTTTTTGCCATAAAGATAGCCTCAGATGCTGACATTAAATAAAACTATACTATACTATACTTTTGCACTGGTTGCATTGATTTCTGCACTGTCAGCCACTAACCAAATAAGTTAAATTTGTGACTGATCATGTGACTCTCAGATGGTCACATGCTCTTCCATTAACGCGCAAGATGCTGTTTGGATCATCTCAAATCAAGCTGAAGAACATGATCATCATGCTTGACACAAAGCAGCTCGAGTGCTGCTGTTCTTAAAGCAAAAGGAGGACAAGCCAAATACTAATACATTCTGAAATTCTCACTCAAGTTCATATACATTATTTGTCAAGCTACCCAAAACCACCAAATTGGTGCATTTAGTGCGTTTCAGTGGGAGATCTCTAAGGATCATTTTAAGAAGTCTGCAGCCTTATAACTTCAGTCAAGTTCTTACCCCACAGATCCAGGCGTGAAGGTGTGTCTTATGTAACAGAGAAGGAGCACACTCGTGTGATTTCTGTTTGATCTGATGAAATCAAAAGGAAATGAAATCTATCAGGACTTTTTGCAGCTGTCATCTATCACAACACCTTCATATGTGATTTCAAATATTGATATATTCAGCATTAAAGACCTATACGCAAGAGACTACAGTATTGGTGCTATATCATAAATGTTTTGTGATTGTGTTACAGAGGCCCTCCTAGTGTGCGGTGGAAATAGAAACGTTACTGTTCTATAACAGCGTGTGTGTGTGTGAGAGATTTGTAGGAAGGAGTGTGGGTGTCGGTAGTCTTTATTTCTGTTCCACATTCATGTGTGTGAGGTGAATTTTTGTATCGCCTGAGGAAAGAGCGGAGTTATCAGAGGCGTGCAGCCTTTCCTAAACTTCCTGCAAAAACATCCCGAGAAGCCTCGGCCCAAACCAGCCAGGAAGAAGGCCAGGAAGTTGGGCTGAGATCACGGGAAGTAAATTACAAAGCCAGAAAGGCCTAGGATAAAAACAGGTCCAGTGGAACTTTTTGGAGACAGTAGCCATGTTGCTTTAAAGAAATGATAGTGGTGCTTCGGATGTGTGTTAATGAGAATATGTGGGAGTTTCAGTGGTCCTGTATTTAAAATTGATGGGATTATGAAGGTTTTTATATTTCTTCATTCAGTCTGGCATCATTTTTGGTGTGACTGCAACATGCTTTGATAAATGCATTATCCAACACCATGCATAAATAAAATCTCTTATTTATCCAATCAAAGCACATATAATGCCTTGTTGCTACATTTTATCCACTTCAAATTTCCAGAGGTACTTGAACGGCCTGTATTGAGTGGCATTAGGAGTGAGAGAGGTGTTGTTGATTACAACTGGGATATGTATTTAAGCGTAGCCTCACCTGTGATGTTTATAGATGAGACGATGGTGATTGGTTGAGACACTGGAACCGCTTATTGGTGGAGGTCCACAAACGATGCTTTTGGTTGGTTGAGATGGTCTGGAGGAGACCTTCCTGCTGTAATTTCCTCTTTCCTGCTGGTTTTCCTGCTCGGGAATATTCAGCATCAGGGTTGGGCTTAAAGTGTCCTGAAATCTCAGACCTCCAAGGGAGTGCCGGGACGTTCGGCCCTGCTATATTACAAACACAAAGTTAGGCATTGTGGAATACTGGCCGAAAACCATTGGAATAAAGACGGAAAGCTCAGAAAAGTTTGATCGTACGGGAAGCCTCACATGGGAAGTGCAGGTCAAAGTTGAACTCCTCCTTGTTTCATTGTTATTCAATATTTTTAGCTTGTTAGTGGCATTTGCTAAAGCAAGTATGAGTATTAGCATATACAGATAGGGATTTGAACAAAATCTTTGGCATGAGACTTGTCTGTTTTGCACGATGTATGATAAGTGATCAGACTTATAATTTTGCCTGCCAGATGATAAAATGTTTACATTCTCTGTATTATTTCATGTTGATTGAGTGGTTCTTGGTGATTGTAGACCTCTTGATATGTCAGTACTTTAAATGAGTTAAATGATGACATGCCATCTCAGATCTAAGATTCTGCTCGTCATATAGTATAACAATGCTGATGGAGATTATACTTACTCTTTACAGGGATTTTCCATTTCATGTTATCTGTGACAATGTCTGTTACATAATAGAGGACTTCCCTTCTGTCTCTGTGGACAATAGTCAAGAGTGTCTGAAATGTTTTAGCTTGTGTGTGATTGCATTGGAATGAGTGAGTAGGTGGACGGCTACATGTGGCCGGCTGTGATAATAGTATGGTAAAAGAATGAGTGTGTGATACGGCATATTTCTCTGAGAGAAGTATTTAACCCTCTGATGCATTCAAAATGCATCTTTTTACTTCAAAACAATAATATATTATCATTTCTAATGTTTTCATGGTGTTCTGAGAGAGTTCTGACATCTTTCAATTCAGACATGTGGACTTTACCCGGCAAACACAGAACTTTCCGCTAAAGTTAGTGTAGCATATGGTTTCCCTTTGGTTGTATCTTTGGGAGTCAATTCATAACATTCAAGGAACGTTCCTTTTAAGTATTTTTTTTTAATATACATATACCTGCTCCCAGAATGTTCTTGGATCCAAACAATGCTGGGAATGTTGTCATAGGCTAGGCAATATAAACTTCTAGGGCTGAGGAAAAAATATTGAAAATCCCAAGAATCATCTTTTGTTTTCAGTTGATGAAGGAACAGAATATAGTGCCTCCCATCAAATAAATATCAATAAGCTTTGTGCTTTGTTACTTTTGAGATAATCTGAAACAAACTCTCAGATTTCAAATTCAAACAATAAATACCGCTTTGGCGCTCTTTCATGTGGCGCGACAGATCGTTGTAACGCCTCAGATCAAGCAAAGCGCATGTGAACCGATCATCTCGTCCGCTTTACTACTAGTTATTTCACAAAATAAACATGAATGAACATCACAAGGTATGTTGAAACATACAGTGCAACTTACCGAAATCCATATCATATCTCATGTAATCGCTCAATTGGTGTTTCAACCGTGGGAAAGACGTCAATAAAACAGCCTGTAAATTTACCTCAGAAAATGACCATAAACTCGTTAGAAAAATGAACTCCCATTTAAATGTTTATATTTCAAAAAACGAAGTAGAAACATAATTATGTAATTATAAAGTTAGTATTATAACTTTATTATTATAAAAACCTCCTTGTGTGTAAGTAAATGTTTGTATACAAATCAGTTAATTTTAACCTTCAATATTATTGTAATGTAACAACTGACTCCCTATGTAGTTTAATGCATTATTTGGGATTTTTTCCATTTGGAAAATGTGTCATGTACTGTACCGGTTACATATCCAAATTAATCTATATCGAATCAATATCCAGCCCTAAAAAAATTCACAACATAAACAGGACAGACATATAGAATTATGGGAGAAGGTCAAAAGTAATCGCCCATGATGGTTTGGATGCAACACGCACCCTGAATGGTTTAAAATGATATTTTGAAGTGGACATCATCATGCCTCAGAGGGTTAAGTAATTGAAATAGGTGTCAAGAGTTGGCTTGTTGCTTGTGATGCTGTAGAAGGAGAGACGGCGGTGAGTGTGTGAGATTTTGCACAGCTGTCTCTAAAGAGGAAGTGGTAGCGCACCAGAACAAGCAAAGTGCTGAGTTGCCATGGTAACTTGGGATGCAGGGTTCCCTCAATTTCCATTATTCCCAAGTGGATCTGCTTCACAGTGTCCATGGCAACCACTCACAACCAATGGAGTCCCTATCTCTTTCTGTCTCTCTCTCTTCTCACTCTCTCTTTCAAACTCTCTCATCCCATCATTTTATCTTGATTTGTGATTTGTGGTAAAATGTCATCTCCATGCTTACATCCAGACGTCATTACCTGTCACACTTTGACATTATTAGCCACAGATGCTTGGGTGTGCGTATTATAAAACAGCTCTGCGTACATTCTTCCTACTAGTATATAGATACATCAAATAACAGTCAACATAAACCAGTGCTTTAGAATGAGTTTGACTGAAAATGCAGGTGTATGTTGTGTTGTAGGGTTGTGAGGCCGGCGTGTTGAGCAGAACGCACACACACACTCACACACACACACACTCTCCCGGAGCATGCCTATCAGTCCACCTGCCGACGGCAAACATGAGGCTCTCGACCGGCCGCGGCAGCAACACGCCCCTACCAACGGCAACCACGGAGATGACAGCAATTGGGCCTCTCCTGGGAGTCAATCTACCTCCGACCCTATGGAGGATCTCCACGGAGGCGCAGCTGTCATCCGCATCGGAATCCCTGATTTGCAGCAAACGGTGAGTACTCTGCTCTCACACACATATGCATATGCAGGCTCATTCTTTTCCTTGAAATGGCTGCACTGCAGCACAGAAGTAGAGAGTGGCAGTGATTGGTACAGACTGAGTTGTTGACTCTGCGTGGGAGTGAGGGGTGTGTGACAGAGGCTTACAGCATGTCGTCTACATGCACGCGTGTTTCTGTGCAAGCATCTACAGTCGTGTTTGCTGCAAGATGGCGATTGCATGTACTGTACAGTGCCGTCCAAAAGTGGACTTTTCAACCCCAGTTTATTTCCTGAATAAATTTGCACTTTTAAATGATGTTATGTAGGACATGTTTACATAATCCTGCCATACACATAATACCTTGCTCCTCTTTCTGAGAGCCTTTGCAGCATCCAGCGTAACTCCCTGCTTTCTGTCAAAAGTTATGTCCGACGGGGAACGTTAAATTTGCGTTTTGTATTTTGCACAGCTATCACCCTGTAGCTCAACAATGGTTGCCCACTGAAGCTAAGCAGGGTTGAGCCTGGTCACCTGGATGGGAGACCTCCTGGGAAAACTAGGTTGGTGCTGGAAGAGGTGTTAGTGAGGCCAGCAGGGGGTGCTCACCCTGTGGTCTGTGAGTACTAACGCCCCAGTGTAGTGATGGGGAAACTATACTGTCCCCAGAGATCCAAGGTCCTGACTCTATGTGGTCATTCAAAATCCCTGGATGTCCTTTGAAAAAGAGTAGGGGTGTAACCCCGGCATCCTGGCCTGCCCATTAGCCCCTGTCCATCATGGCCTCCTACTCATCCCCATATACTGATTGGCTTCATCACTGTCTCCTCTCCAACAATAAGCTGGTGTGTGGTGGACATTCTGGCGCAATATGGCTGCCGTCGCATCATCCAGGTGGATGCTGCACATTGGTGGTGGTTGAGGAGATTTACCCTTCCATATTGTAAAGCTCTATGAGTGCAGAGAAAAGAGCTATATAAATATAACAAATTATTATTAATATAATTATGGTCATAAAAGTCTTTTTTTTTGCTCTTCTGCTTTTCACATTCTAGAAACCTTCGAACAATTTTTTTTTAAAGTAAAAAGATGTCATAAGTTGTCATGAGTACATCCGTATTGATGGATGATAAATAGTTGTGATCAAATAGCACAGGCCTTGATCTCTAAAACGATCTTAAGTGAAGTCTAAAGCCTGGTGGATTTGGAGGAAATATTTAAATGGACAGAAAATCATGTGGGTTTTTTTTAATACAAACTATTTGCTGTAGTGAATCTTGTGGCATTTAAGGACACTTGATGGCAAATTAAACAGACCTGCTAGTCTTTCGAGTCTTTGGCCCTATTTACACCTGGTATTAAGATGCATTTTGGTCGATCGAATTACAAGTTGGACAATGCTAAATTCAGGAGTAAACAGAGTTTAAAACATTTTGTCCACTTTCGACCACTTCCAGAGTTATTTCATCCATCAGATCGAAATACATATACGCGTCCAAAGACCCTCCCTTTCGAAGAAATCAGGATAGAAGTGGTTGAAAGTGGACAAAAGAGACAGATTAAAACACCAGGTGTAAACGGGAACATGTCTCCCACATCTACTTGTGATCCGATTGACCAAAACGCATCTTGATACCAGGATAAACAGGGCATTTAAGCCTTGGTGTTCATATGGTTGATGCAGGTTCGAGTCCAACATGCAACAAATCCTGATAAATATCACCTTAGCTGATTTTCTGTCAATCTGTATAATAAAATATGCAAAAGTCTCAAAATAAAAGTAAAAATACTTCTTGTTCATGTAGGGATTTGTAACGCGTGTATGTTTGTTTCTAGAAATGCCTGCGATTGGACCTTGAGGCTCCAGTGTGGGTTTGTAAGCAGCGAGTTCTGGTCACTCTGACACAAAGCCTGACCGATGTGCTTAACTATGGCCTCTACCTCCCTGCCTTTAATGGGCGCGCCGGAAAGTTCCTCGATGAGGAGAGATTGCTCAGGGAGTATCCTCTCCCTACGATCACACCTGTACCGTACCTAGAGGTGCACATACTCCCCCTTCTGCATCCCACGATGCTTTAGATCTCATATTATTGGCTCAGGTTGCTGTTATTATCATTTACCTGTCAATTCATTTGTGTGACTTCAGTTCCGTTACAAGAGGCGTGTTTACACTCAGAGCCATGTAGATGACAAGCAACTGGCCAAACTACATACCAAGGTAACGTCTAACATGCATGTACACTACCGTTAAAATGTTTGTGGTTGGTAAGAATACTTATATTCAGCAAGGATGCATTAAATTGGTCAAAAATAACAGTAAAGACATTAATGTTAAGGTCTCAATTTTTAAATAAATGCTGTTCTTTTGAGCTTTCTATTCAAAGAATCATGAAAAAAAGCAGCACAACTGTTTTCAACAGTAATAATAAGAATAATAAGAAATGTTTCTTGAGTAGCAAATCAGCATATTATTATCATACTTCAGACTGATTTCTGAAGGATCATTTGACACTGAAGACTGGAGTAATGATGCTGAAAATCCAGCTTTGATCACAGGAATAAATTACAATTTGAAATCGAGAACATTATTGTACTTAAAAATAACAGTTTCATGGCATTACTGTTTTTACTGTATTTTTCATCAAATAAATGCAGCCTTGGTTTGCATAAGAGACTTCTTTTAAAAACATTTTTTAAAATCTTACCATCCCCAAACGTTTGAACTAGTGTATATTTATATATAATTCTGTTGTTCTAAAAAACGGATATTTTTCCATTAAAAATCGTTATCTGGAACGAGCTGTAATCTATTGTTTTTAGTCCTAAAATAATAGCATATGTCTCTGTGACAGTTCTAGACTCAACTCCAAATAGAGTCCATGCTTCTTTTTTTTAGCCAAATCAAATAACTAGCTAGCAACACTCTCTGTCTGTGAATTCCGGTTTGCTGACATGTCTTTAAAGGATGGGTTTGGGAAAGAGGACATGTGGTTCAAGTTAGCAAAATGGCAGAAGTTATAGCAAACGAATTTGAATTGCTTACAGTACCTTTAAAAGGGCAATAACCTACAGTTTGACTGCATTATTTTTTTAAGTCCACATGTGTTTGTCAAGGTTTCTTGCAGGAAAAACTGAATTTAATTTTACATGACTGTTTTCTGACTAGAATTGTACAGACTATTTTGCTACTATATCTTTAAGATATGTGAATGAGCTATCTGTTATGATTGGCTAATCTTTTTGCATTTGTAATGAGCAACTTCCATTCATTTTTTTATTTTTGCATCTTACTTCTTAGTAATGCTTAAGGCAGCTTTGCATTGTGAATGTAGTATGTTGATCCCTTGTATTTATTCGATATTTCATATAAAAACTGCTTTCCATTAAAGACCTTGAGTTACTCAAAACATTGTTGACTGGTTAGTAATCTAAGACTATTTTCCATTGTTGCCAGGCCAATTTAAAGAAGTTTATGGAGTATATACAACAGAGGTGTGTGGAGAAGGTCTGCAGGTTCCTGGAGAAAGGGCTGGACCCCAATTTTCATGATACTGAGAGCGGAGGTGATTTTATTATATTTTTTAAAATAAATTCTCCATGTGCAAGTTTGAGTATATTTCACATCACTTCCCGAACCTGCCTTCAAACTTGGTGCAATGCATCTAAAAAGATGCCGTTTTGAACATTGGAGAAGTGCCATTTGAGAGTCTTGGCAGGAATGAGAAGATTACCATTGAACAATAGTTTAAAATTTTGGTCTGTTCAGCACATAAAGCTATTGCATGACTTCACAAGTCATATAACCTCCTTTTTTTTTCATTTGGTTCTTAACTCTTTCCCCGTCAGCGTAAAAAAAAGAAAGAAAAAAAAGTTGCAAGCCACTGCCGGCATTTTCGATAATTGTAGCTTCATGCATTTTATTTTTATCAACACTTGAATGTGGGCAAGTTTCATAAAAAGCAACCGTTTGAACAAAAAGCTGAGAAAATCATGTTGTTGTTTTTCAGACTACGACGTGCAAGCAATGGTTTCATCGCTTCTTTCTGCATCTTTTTCACCTGTTTTTTGATCCAGAGATGCTCTACTCTTTCAGGAGATGCGAAATAGCGCATACAGCCCTACCGTATAACAGTGAAAACACAGAAAGCTGGAAAATTCCGTCAGTGGCGGGGAAAGAGTTAAATTGAGCTTAGAGACATAGATCACAATCTACTTTCATTTTATGCAAAAGAGCAACTTCTGCCAAACATCTCATTTCGGGTTTCATAGAACACACTAAATAATACAGGGTTGGAACAACATAAGTAAAGCATGGCAAAAAATTTACTTGGGGTGAAGGATGGGTGAACTATTCCTTTAAAGTTTGCCTTGATTAGCATTAAGGATACTTTAATGAATGTAAATTAAGTACAATGCTAATCAGCCAAGGACATTCGACAAAATTAACTAATCATATATTCGCTGAAATGGATTTGACATTTAGCATTTTTAATCATCTCCGCATGTGTGATGTTTCCAGAATCTCCTCTCACTCTCGGGGCCCAGCTGGACACTTGTGCTGAACTGATTAAGGTGTTGAGGAGCGGAGGAGCCCATCTGGACTTCAGAACCAGAGATGGCCTGACGGCGATGCACAAAGCGGTCCAAACGCACAACCATGTAGCATTGACTGTGAGTTGATGCACTTTCCCTCCCACACGCACAATCCAAAGAAAGACTCATCCTTATACAACTCATCGCAAGCTGTTGGGAGTCTGTGCACATATGTCCGTCATATTTCGTGTGCTATCCGCAGACATTGTTGGATCTGGGGGCGTCTCCAGACTATAAGGACAGTCGTGGGCTCACCCCCCTCTATCATAGTGCCATGGTCGGGGGAGACCCGTACTGCTGCGAGCTGCTGCTGTACGATCACGCACAGCTGGGCTACAGCGACGAGAACGGCTGGCAGGAGATCCATCAGGTAAAGCTCAGAACTCTCTCGTTAAACGCAAAGAGACAATCTCCTGTAGCATAAAGTTTCATTCTCCAGCGAGACTAAATATATCCTTTTTATTGTTTGCTACAACTGCAGCAGTGGGTGATCGGAGCGTGTGTGTTTTTGTACATTAGGCTTGTCGTCATGGAAACGTGCAGCACCTTGAGCACCTGTTATTCTATGGAGCGGAGATGAGCTCTCAGAATGCCTCAGGAAACACAGCACTACACCTGTGTGCCCTCTACAACCAGGTACACACACCCACAAATACTCACACAGATTCTTCCTTCTCAATGCCATCAGCTATGCTTTCTCCATGTTCAGAATGGCAAACTATTTTTAAATGATGCTCATTTACAGGTTCATAATTGTGTCTGCTAGAATATGTTTACATCATTTAATGTTCACAAATCAAATTTTTCTTATAATTTACATTGTTGCATGCAGCACCATTCTTTCACCCTCTGTCTGAACGCTCTGTTTTAGTTTCGGTTTCTTTAAAACACGGCTTCTGAAAAGCACATTCTGTTCTGATTGGTCAGCCGGGCCCGGTTCACATTTATCTGTACACATCTATTGTGATTGGTCTACCGCTTAGCTGGGCCGTAACCACCATAGACGTGGAGGAGGACAAGTCCTCCCCAAAAATCAGAAATGGCCAAATTGTCCCCCCCAATATTTGATATTCTTGATGCTGCCCTTCTGCACTCTTTTACACACTTCTCTGTTTGTTGTTAGGATGACAAAAAGTTTAAAAAGTTATATTTTTAGGCTGCTCTGCCTCAGCGATCAAACAGCTCTGATCAATGTCAACATAATTATGATAGCCAATCAAATCAAAGTAGGCGGGGCTTACTGTTCACAGAAGAACGCTTTAGTTTTAACAGTGAAAGAGTGCGTGGTGAGATGCAAGTAGCTAAACATTTAATATTTGACAACAACGATATAAATGTTCAATGGTGACAGTAATATCCAGAGATCCAAACTACTCAACTTTATCAAATTTTGATGTTTTTAATTGAAAATATGCTATCATTTACATGATTCATGTCACTGAATGTGACAAGAAACATTTTTCGTTTTTGACATATTAGACATATGAATAAGAGTGAATGTGTGCACATTTCACAATAAAAAATTATTGTAAATAGTTTACATTGAATATTTCATAACCATAGAACTTTTTACCATTCTTATTTCTTTTCATTTATTCCCTTAAATCACTTTGAATCCTTCAATTATTCAATTCCTTTAAATAACCCCTCTCACCCCCGTCATTACACAATTTAAAAAAAAAATTCACGTTTTACTTTGTCTGAATAGTGCCGATTTTGTGACACCGATTTCTGATGTCGTCTAAATGAGTAAGTTGTTTACTTTGTAATTCATCCAACCATTTCCACCATTTCGACCCATTCAGGACAATTTGCAGAGCGGCTGTGAACATGATTAAGCATTGATAGGGTTTCGCCAATCACAGCGATGTGGAGGCACCATCTCCTCTAATGTGATATTTCACGGTTACCTTCACATTCACACTATAGGACCTCAATGAAAACAAGAACGCAAGGAATTAAGGCAAAAAATACACTGCCTGCCTCTGAAACTTGATCGGACAGTGTTACTGTAGAAAAATACTTATATTTCTTAATACTTGTTTTACTGTTGGTTTTACTGTTATCTCCCTTGCTTCCTCAGAGGAACTCTTTCGCACTCATTCTGCTTTACATGCTATTAAAAGTATAGTTGTAGTCAGTCAGTATACATACTTCGCAGTTGGCCGTATTCTAGTATTTCACTGTATGTAGTTATTAAACTCAGCTGGGGATCAAATCACATACACATTTGAAGGGTGTTATAGCTATAATCTCTTCTGTTTCCTTTGCACTCATCTGCTTTTTCTTTGTTCCCTCTGTCATATCTATAGGAAGGCTGTGCTAGAGTTCTCCTGTTTCGAGGAGCAAATAAAGAAATCAAGAACTACAACAACCAAACAGCATTTCAGGTACCACGTCTCTCAGCTAATGTTTTGGCTCAGCACTACTTAGGGCCAGATTTACTAAACAACAGACATGCTTTTTTGGGGTGGTAAATAATGGCGCAAATACCAGTAAATTGACTAGCGCAAACCTTAGTAAATCACTCCCCCATACATTTTGCGTCTGAAAAGGAAACTCTTACAAATGCATATCAGCTGCAACAATAACCCTGTCCACGCCTTTTCAGCGCTAATTTTTCACTGCGTCTCTTTAGTACATCCTGACAGTAGGGTTTGCGCTGGCACAAGCTGTTAGTAAATCTGGCCCACAGTCTTTAATGGGATAGGTCCCTATACTACTTCTTAAATCAAGTGCTCTTGACATGTTAAATGCTTTTTCTGGTAGGTTGCCATCATCGCAGGGAACTTTGACCTGGCAGAAATCATCAAGATCCATAAAACCTCAGATGTTGGTGAGTTGATCAGGATTCAGTTTGAACTGTTTGAAACATCAGGCCTTAAATCTTGGGTCTATTTTACTCGGCACCACAACACGACACCGTCATAAACTAAGCCTGTCTAGATAAAATCCATTCAATCAAATCCAAATCCATTATCGGGTAACATTACAGATAAAGCCACACTTTATTATTTATGCAGCACGAGTGCTCCTTTCAGAATAAAAGCAGAAATGACAACATAAGAGCGTTTTATCTCATGAAGCAGCACGAAACTAGTAACTTAATCACTGTATGCGTCAAAACAATCCATAATTGGATATCTTTTTATTTAAAACAGTCAGTCAGTCTGAATGTGCAAGATTTTGATCTGGCTATTGTTTCTATCAGTGCTCTTTACAATACGTGATTTAAACTGTTTGTCAAACTAGTATATGTGGGCTAATCTCTTTATAATTTGTGTGTGTTTCTCTTTGTAAATCTCAGTCATGCTCTTTGTGATGTAATCTGTGAGTCATCTGTAATTTATGTGTAATCTAAGTGTGTTTCATGTGCTGATCTCTGTGTCCAGTCTTCATGATGTATTAACTCACCAGTGCAATCCCCACTTTGTGTGTGTGTTTTTTGTGTGTTTTTTTTACCCCACAGGTTGTGGCTCTATACACCTGCAGCTTTGATTTGACTCAATACTAAATGAGATCTGGTTTAAAGTGGTCATATCATGAGGAATCAAAATTTCATTCAGTATACTAAAACGGCATCTTTCCAAACGGAAAACGTCCTTCCCAGTCCAAAAAGACCATTTGTCGAAACAAACCTGTGAAAACTTTTCCAGCTTTCTGATGTAAATCAAATAATACAGTTGCGTTCATATTATATAGCTGTGCAGGGATGATGTATTTTAGTAGCACTTCCGGTTCCATCATCCTGAAGTCAATGGGTTTTTTAAATGTTTTTTTTTTAAATGCTAGAGGTCTCAAGCTCAAGATATTTTCATGTTTTACTCAAAGATATAAGATATCAAACTATTATAACTTTCAGGACAAATGTTTTTAACCAAAGACTGAAATAGTTCTCAGAAGCTTAGTGATGGTGACGTTAAAGTCACGTGACCATGTTGTATTTACGCCTCAAAATCCATAAAAGTTCTGTTCATTTGCGAAGATTATCACGATGAACAAAACATGAAAGAATCAAAAGCTTTTGTTAAATCACAGACCATAATTTCTGCAATAATCCAAAAGTCAATGGAACGATCCTATTGTGTTTTTGTCGAGGAAACAGGGTGATGCAATTTTCCGGGTTGGCCGTCATCATTCCTGCACCACTTTATTTGAGTTCCCAACCACAGCTGCTCAGAGCATGCTGGGAAAACAAGAACTCACGGTACCTAAATGCATTTAGTAAAAAAAACAGAGACTTTTTCACAACTATCACTAAAGGCTATAAACAATCTTTGACATTTAAGGAGGCAGCACACATTATTAAGAACCAATGGTGTGTAATCATATAAATATTTTATGTATAATAGCATCTTCTGGGCAGTATTAAACAACAACCGCCTATAACCTATTCGCCCATATTTACATCCGAGTCTTAAAAGGTACAGCAGCAAAACTGCTCATTTAATTATAAGGGTCAGAAAGAGGGTGGAAAATGGTGATGAAAACTAAATTACTGTGTATTTGATATGTTTTAGGTGTGATATGACCTCTTTAATAAAGTCTGACTTTATGTATGATATTTATGTCCATAAAGCGTGAACCATCAAGGACATGGCAGTCCTTTTTATACATTTTTATAAGTTCCCTCTGTTTCGATTCAAATGAATTGGACGCATTACATATATTCTAGGGCTGTGCTCAGAATATCGATACGACGATACATCGTCATGAACTCCTGACGATGCGCGTATCGATACAGCAACTGCTGTATCGATACTGTCGTGCTTTTGAATGTAGCCAATTCAGGGCTCGAATTTCAGCGCAGGATTGCAAGTATTACGCATTATTCTAACCATTCCCGCAGGTCTCCCACTTATAATGATTAATCCATACAGGTTATAACATCGAATTAGTCATTTTAAAATATTCGAGACACAATTTCACAAACAGCGTGAGTGTTCAGCTGAGCCGCGTCTTCTGTCTCTGTCTCTCAAAATGGGTTGCTCAAGGCAAGCGTCAAACGCGCTGAAGGCGGCGATACACTCTCGCTTTCGGGAGTTGGGACATGACGGAATATTCACTTGCATATTCGGGCGAGTATTGCATTGTCACTTAAGTTTACCATTCGCTCGTCTTTTTAAGTCTTACCACGCAAAACATTCAAGCGATTTTAAACTATTCAGTGCTCGCACGCTCTGAGAGATGGTTTTCTCTGCATGCATACATAGAGTAAAGCCGCCTCACAAACAGCCTGTGAGTAACAAAAGTTCTTTTTCACGGATTATATCGCTTTTACGGACAAAAACAAGCAAAATGATGTCAAAAATGTCAATCTTGGTGAGTATCTAATACAGTCGGTTAATGCATGTGACAGTATAATGAACACAGGATCCGTGCACTAGCTCTTAAAGTGACAGCAGCCATGTGTGTCTGTCATTAATATTGTCGTCAAAACAACAAAAGATAGCTTTAATTATAAGGAATCTGGATTTATAGCCAATGTATTTAATTTAGTCAGGACTAAAATACTACCCAATGTTATTTTACATTTAATTACTTTAAGTGTCTGTAGTATTTCTGAATACTACTGCTAGACCTATTCAAAAACGTTTCTCTTTATTGGTAGGCTATATTTATTCTATTGTATTTATTTGTTTAAAATGATTTCAACGTAATGTAAAGAAATTACTTTGTTTGGTGCACATTCCAACACTTATTTAATTGAACTCTCATTGTTTTTTAATGACAAAAACGAAATAGTTTTTCAGTTATCACAACTGTTATAACACTGTTTATTCAATGAAGATATTACTGCCACTAAACTCTGCTCAAAAGAAATTTAAATTCCAAATTGATCCATATCGTGATACGTATCGTATCGTGGCTTTAGTATCGTGATGCGTATCGTATCGTGACATTGTTGGTGATACACAGCCCTATTCTTAAACAGAATGAGGTTCTTAGGCTTTGGGTTCTGATGAGTGATTCCTCTCTATCCCAGCCCGATAGAGGTTAATCTGTTCTGCTAGTTCTTTTCTTTATGATAGTCTTGGACATATCCATTCCAGTATCCTGGAGAGTGCTCTTGATCCATTCGACAGGCGAAAATGGGTTTTATTCACAACTGATAGGATTTTTCAGGAATCCATTACAGTGGTCAATCTGGTCTAGCGGGTCATTTGATGTTGCTGCAGTTTTTCGATGATTTAGGCTATTACTTTCTTAACGGCACCCCCATTTGATCCATTTGAGATGTGTCCTTTTCTTTATCATGTTTTTTTGTGTCCTTTTCCCCAAAATTTTAAACGCTTTTTCTATCAAAACATTGCTTAGTTTGAATGTCCGACACAACAGGATATTAGAAAAACTGGATATTAAAAGGACTGCAATTTCCAAATGGTTCTCGGTTTAAGGATCTAAATGTGTGTGTGTGTGTGTGTGTGTGTGTGTGTGTGTGTGTGTGTGTGTGTGTGTGTGTGTGTGTGTGTAAACAAGGCAGTAACCATTGAACATTGGGGGGGCCAGATTTTTTCTTTAAGGGATTTCAGGGAATAAAGAAAAAGAAATAAGAATAGTAAAATAAGTTATTCTTGGTCTAATTGTTGTAGTTGTGAAGTAATTAATTGCAACACACATGCACTCTTATTCGTGTCACGTCAAAAACACAAAACGTTTCTTGTCATCATATTCAGTTATGAATTACATGAGTCATGTAAATGATACCATATTTTCAATTCAAAACACCAAAATTTCCTTAAGGTACATGACTGGATATTACTGTCTGTCGCTGAATATTTCTATGGTAAAACAGTTGTCAAATATTACATTTTAAGCTGCTTACACCTTACCACACACTCTAAAGTGTTGCGTTGGAATTTCGCACTAGTCTTCTGTGAACAGTAAGCCCCGCCTTCTTTGATTTGATTGGCCATCACGATCATGTTGACATTGATCAGAGCTGTTTGACCGCTTAGACAGACCAGCCTAAAAATGTAACTTTTGAAACTTTTTGTCATCCTAACCCGCAATTGGGCCATTTCTAATGGTGGTTACGGCCTTGTATATAAATATATTCAAAAATAAAAGTGCACTTTAGTAAATGTAATATGCAGTGGAATGAGCCAAATTGTGTCACAGTACAAAATACTTATTATTTCCTTTTCCATAATTGATTTGTGTGTTGTTAATCTTTTGTTATGTGCATGTCTGATATCTTCCACAAATTGACATGGTTTTATATTATAAGCATGGAGAATTCTCAAAATATAGCAATATAGATGCGAGTAGGCTCTATGTGTTTCTAGGAAGAATGCAGAACTATTTACATGCCACTGTCTTCCTGTAAAAGTGCCTTTCAGGGAGACTCCTTCTTATTCGTCTCGGCGGCGTGCGGTCTGCATATCCCCACGTCGCTCTCTAATGCGATCGGCCAGTGATAACGCTCTAGATGAGAGTCTGCCAGCTCCCTCTCCGGCCCCCTCCCTTCGCAGCCTGCCCCCCCTGGAGCCCGACGACACCGGGCCGTCCCAGCGCAGCCCGCAGGCTGCTCACACACACACACGCAGCCTCAGGAGACACACCCGCTCAGGAGGACACCTCAGGTGTGGAGTCGGCTTTGATTTGTAGTGTATTAAAGAAATGTTTCTCCAAACCAATATGGGTTTTTTTCTCTATTGAACACAAAGTGGGATATTTAGCAAAATGCCCACACTGCTCTTTTCCATAAAATTAATCTTGATTTTAAAGGGTAAGTTCTCCCAAAAATGACAATTCTGTCACATGGATTACTTTAATGATGTCTTTACTACCTTTCTGGGGCTTGAAAGTGGTAGTTGCGTAGCTGTCAATGGAGGGACAGAAAGCTCTCAGATTTCAGTAAAAAGATCTTCATTTGTTTTCCGAAGATGAATGCAAGTCTTACGGGTTCAGAACAACATGAGGGTGAGTAAATGATGACAGAGTTTTCATTTTTGGGTGAACTAACCCTTTAATGTCACTTTAATTTACATTAATGTAACGTATGAATATTATCATTATAATATTAATAATTAAAATAATGAAATAATAATATGGTAATTCATAAAAGTATTGTTTAATAACCTGACATAAAAGAGGATACTGACCTCAGAGCTGGTTGTTAATCACTTTTGCACATACGTTTGCATACTGCAGTCCTGGCAGTCCCGTACAGAGAGAGCCGAGTCCTCCTGCCGTGTCTCGAGGGCCCAAGCGACGGCTGTACAGTGCGGTGCCCGGCCGAACCTTCATCGCTGTCAGTTCTCATTCGCCACAGGGCGAGGGTGAGATCACACTCAACCGAGGAGAGAGGGTCAAAGGTCAGTCGTTCTGTGTGAGATGCAGCAAAAAGATCACTTTTTTATGCTGAAGGTTTCTACTGTGACTGAATAGAAGTGTTTCTTCAACTATGGGCACTTTTGGTCCTGTGGACTTTTAGAAATTAAACAAAATTCTCAAATTCTATTGAATTTGTTTACTCTCAATGTTGAAGTACATGCGTTACAGGTCTTTTTTCCCCTCTTGAACTATCATGAACATTTTTGGACTGTCTTGCAAAGGCTGATTTCATAACTACCACTTTGTTTATCCTAAAAACACAAAATTATGCATTGGCTGGAAATGATAGACTATTACTTAATTTTGTTTTCACATCTCTCATATTTTATCTCCGGCACGTCCTTCACTGTTGTCTGCTTGGTAAATAAGTACAAACTTTTGAGAAAGAAACTGAAGGAGAATTTTTATTTGTTTAAAATTTGATATGTCATGGTTTATAATTATTTCACTCTTCACTATTTACTTTCACTCATAAATTATCAAAGTTATAAAATATCATTTTTATTGATTTTTTTCCAGATTAGAATTATGATGTCTGGGTTTGGAACAAGGGTAAAACAAAAATATTTTATACATAAAGACTTTTGAAAAGTAACAAACTAAATAGTGAATGTTTGGTAAACAGTGTAATGTGATCTTCAAATAACTAAATAAAAGTGAAAAACAATAGCAAATAACTTAATATCTGGGACTAAAAGTGCCTGCAGTTGAAGAAACACCCATATATGAAAGGAGAAAAATACAAAATACAACATTTTACAGTTTTTACTTGCCTCCAACAGTGCTGAGCATAGGTGAAGGAGGATTCTGGGAAGGCTCAGTTAAAGGACGAACTGGCTGGTTTCCTGCTCACTGTGTAGAGGAAGTCCAGATGAGACAGTATGACCCACGACTCGAGTCAGTATACACACACACACACACACTTATCATTATGAGGACATTCCATAGGCATGATGGTTTTTATACTGAGCTAATGACATTTTCTAGCCCCTAACCTTGAACCTACCCATCATAGAAACCTTTTCTCATTATTATATTTTTAATAAAAATGGTTTAGTATGTTTATTTAGCGAAATTGTTTAGTATGTTTATTTAGCGTTTTGAATTACAAAGACAACGACGTGTCCTCATAATGTAGGCGGCGTGGCCTGAAACCTGAATACACACTAGAATATAAGGACTTCTGGGTCTTCATTCGGACAAACTACAGAGAGAGAGAGAGAGAGAGAGAGAGAGAGAGAGAGAGAGAGAGAGAAGAGAGAGAGAGAGAGAGAGAGAGAGAGAGAGAGAAGATGAGAGAGAGAGATAGAGAGAGAGGTAGAGAGAGAGAGAGAGAGAGAGAGAGAGAGAGAGAGAGAGAGAGAGCGAGAGAGAGAGAGAGAGAGAGAGAGAGAGAGAGAGAGAATGAGAGAGAGAGAGAGAGAGAGAGAGAGAGATGAGAGAGAGAGAGAGAGAGAGAGAGAGAGAGAGAGAGAGAGAGAGAGAGAGAGAGAGAGAAAGACCTGCATTCAGAGTATGCACAAAAGCATCATTTTATAGAATTCTGCATTATAATGTTCAAATGATGTTATTGATGTGGCCACTCTTCTGTTTCTCAGAGACAAGAGAGGATCGTACCAAGAGACTTTTTTAGGCACTACACTGTTGGCTCCTATGACAACTATACCTCTTACAGGTACACTACATATACTGTATATTATTTAAGATGTTGTATACTGCGCATTTTCCATATGCAGTAGATCATCTGGGTGTTTTAGGCAATCAGCATTATGGCACAGTATACTGTAGAAATAGAATGAGTAGTATGGCAATATGCTTTTCCAACCAATGCCTTTCTCTCTCCTTTATCCTGATTTATTTAAACATGGTGCCAGTGTGGGGGATTATGGGTATGGGAGGAGGAATCTGTGAATTCTGGCAGGGGAGCACATCTAACTATTGATTTCTGTAAATCCACAGTGATTATGTTATAGAAGAAAAAAGTGCAACGTTGCAGAAGAGAGACAGCGAAGGATTCGGCTTTGTGCTTCGGGGAGCTAAAGGTCTGAAACACACACACGCACGTGAGCATCAACAATATTCACATACAGATGCAGTAATAAGCTTTCTCTTATTAGCTGAGACGCCCATAGAAGAGTTCACACCTACTCCTGCTTTTCCTGCCCTGCAATACCTGGAGTCAGTGGACCTGGAGGGGGTGGCATGGAGGGCAGGGTTAAGGACGGGCGATTTCCTCATAGAGGTATAAAAGAAAACTTTGGATTTTCACACACAAAAAGGGCTATTTCACCACCACAGATAGAAACTTGAGAGTTTTATGTGCCAATGCAATGAATTAACTGATTATGGTAACATTTAGTGTAATTTAATTAATGTTACTTACATTATACATCAGTGCACGTGTGTGTTTTTCTTATGGAAAAAGGGTTGGGATTTGGATCTATTTACTGGTTGTTGATTGGATAGAGGCAGGTCTAAATGTGAGTCTGAGGTCAATTGTAAGAAAGGGGCGGAGTTTAAGCTGCTTAAGGGGGCCTTTACATGGCACCATTTTCAACTAAAAATGGAAAACGCATGCGTTTTGGCCATTCATTTACACGACAACAGCATTTTGGGAGCCTGAAAACAATGTTTCAAAGTGCAAGTTCCTGAAACCGATACCGTTATCATCAACAAAAATGTGAATTTGTTAAAACGGTGATATCATGCGCATGCATATTACGTGTTCAGTCTATAGGTGCTTAATGTTTCTTTACAACAGTGGTTCTCAACCTTTTTTGGGCCAGCGCCCCCTATCCAATATCCAGGTCCCCGACCGCCCCCCACCCCCAACTAATGAGCGAGCAGGAACGAGTAACAGATGAAATAAGTACAAAATTGTCATTTATTAATACAATCGAACTATACTCCACAGCGATTAATCCAAAAAACAAGCTATAAACTGCATTGAATAGCAATAGCAGTGTTTCTCACAGGATTTTTGGTAAATCTGTGGTGGGTGAACCTCGGGCCTTCTAGGGGGGTTCGGGGGGCAAGCCCCCCGTAAGAAAAATGTGTGCATTTTAATGTTAAATGCATCAATCTGGTGCACTTTGAGAGTTCAAAATTAAAAGCTCCAACCCATATTCAGTGTGCAAATTAAACAAAGAAAAATTCAAACCTCTTTTAGTTGTGTTTGTCTACATTACACTACTACATAATAATAGTTATATTATATTAATCCCATGACATAAATAGCCATATATTATAAAACAAATGCACTGAAAAATAAAGGACAGTCATTAAAGCGGTAATGTTTGCACGTAGGTTTTATTAGCATTTAGGAGAGTATTGCAAGAAGCTGCTTACATTAACCTTACTTAAAAATAAATATACAATCATGATTTTTCATGAAAAATTATGTTAAAATTGTAGGCCTAAAATACCTTGGTATCAGGTATAATTAATACAATTACAATTAATTTGGTTTGTCGTGATTAATTTGTTTTCATAATCAGTAAAAAGAAAAATCTTCTAACAAGAATAAACACACGAACAATTCAATTATTATTGTATTATTAATTGTTTTTATATCTTGAAACTAACGTTACCCAAGCAGCGTTTCGCTCTCAGATGTGATGGCGGAATGAATAGCCTACATTACCAAAATGTGATTGCAGAATATATTTAAATATTAATATAATATAAAAATTATCCATCAAATTGTCATTTTCAAATTGAGTTAACAATAATGCCTGACCAGTAAATTACTTGGTGAACAAAGAAAACATTTTGGCATTAGGCATTGGAATTAGTTAATGCCTAAAAAATTTAAAGTTTTACCTTATAAATAGAATTTAGTTTAATTTTGAAATTCGTCGCCGGAGTAAATGGGAACATGATTTATTGAAAATATTTGAAAAAATAGAAGTGTTTCAATACTTAAGTCAATACTTTTTAATGGCATGTCAACTTTCCATTCCTCCGCTGCGTGACTCTAGCCAGCGCTGGATTGTTGTCAGCGCGAAACACATGTTTGAGCGCGTGAATGCACATTCTAGCCAGCGCTGGATTCTAGTCAGAGCGCTGGTCTATAACTGGAAAAATAATATAGTCGTTGCAAAAGTAACGATACATAGCTTAGGCTACATGTACATTAAACTGGAAGAAGAATCACAACAAGCGTGTCGGTGAGAACACTCATTTAAACAGCATTCACACCCAAACTTGACTGCACATTACATTTTTGACATTATTGATACTGCTTTCAATCGTAATGCAATAGAAATGAACACAAAAAACCTGCTAGTATACTGACGGTGGACTTGCGGTCAGGAGTAGGCTAGAACGGCCGCGGACGAATGATTTTCTTTTTTTTATTTGAGCGCTGCTGACGTTTTCTTTCACGCGCACCATAGGCGTGCGCGCACACACAATATGACATCACAATCTACGCATATGTTTTACAACATAATTTAACATATATGGTCCTAACACTTTTTTAATAGCCCACTTAAAGTTTTTATTACAAATAAATTACTAAATGCTTAAAATGAATCACAGTAAATGAACACAAATTTCCGTTACTCGTGAACGCCCCCCATTAACACCTGAACGCCCCCCTTTCAAGACTCTTGCGTCTAACGCCCCCCGTTGTTCTCTGAACGCCCCCTGGGGGGCGGTACCGCCCCCGTTGAGAACCACTACTTTACAAAGTGACATCGCCAACTACTGGCCTGGCAGCAGAATACAGCGTTTTTAGTCATTTTCATGGATCCGTGTGAATGGTGATCATTTTGATAATGTTATCATCTGTACGCAAAAAAAAACGCGAAGGAAAAACATTTCTGTTTTTAGTACATTGTTGTTGTGTAAACTTACCCTGATTGGAGAAGTCCAGCATATGTCATCAGAGAAAAATTAAACATATGCATGTATTAATAATGTTGTAATTTATCTGCTGGGTTTCTACAGGCTGTGTGTTACATCTCTCTCTCTATTTCTCCCCATATCTGTCAGGTAAATGGGGTGAGCGTAGTAAAGGTGGGACATAGGCAGGTGGTATCACTGATTCGGCAAGGTGGAAGTCGGCTAGTGATGAAGGTGGTTTCTGTCACACGCAAACCTGACACTGGAGAAGTTGTCCGCAAGAAAGGTACTTATCCTCAACTCACTTCATAAATGCATGAATACATGCACACCATGCATTTTTCTTTTTATTTGACTGGACTTTAAGAATTTCAAGAAAATGAGGGAATGCTGCAAAATGCTAATTTAGATATTGTATTTCCCGTTCCTCCTTATAATTAATTAGCCCCGCCACCTCCCAAGAGAGACCCAAGCACCAGCCTGACCCTGCGCTCAAAAAGCATGACTGCAGAACTGGAGGAGCTGGGTAAGACAGATGCTCATACATACAAACAAGCATGGATGCACACAAAACCTTGCGTTATGCTTGGTCTCAGATAAGTTAAAACAGATGCTATCATTATCTTTGAGGGCATGGCACAAGTTGGATCAAATCCTTTTTTTTCCCAGGAACACTAATGGAGAAATGATTTCAAATTAATGTTTTTTCTTTCCGTGAAAATTATACAGCAATGAAAAGGGAGTGTGAATGTTTGTGCAGTAATAGCTTTGCTCATTCATTGCTAATGAAAAGTGACCATCTAATGCACAAATCTATGAGCTAAATCAGGAACTATAGATTTGTCCTTCTTGCCCACAAGCGTCAAGGAGAAGGAGGGGAGGTAAGATATGAAACCAGTCTCACGTTGATGATGTCATTTACTGGTTATATATGCTGATTAGCATGTGATGTCATGAATGGATTTATCTAACCTTTTTTAGCTTGTGTGTTGTTGCCTGTGACTGCACAAAATTGTAAAGTCAAAGTGTATATGTTTGTTTTTCTTTTTGTGGATTGTTGACAAACTAGCTGAGCTGTTATGTATGTGTTTTGTGATGTATTTGTGAGTGTATATTTGTTTTAGCTTTCCTTCAGTTCAGACTATGTATATTATACACATGGGATATGTGTATTTTCTGATGCAGTTGGTGATTGTGTTTGGTCTTCTGTGATTTGATCAGAGGATGGACCGGAATACTGGTCAGGAATGTGTATTAAGTGTTTCTGTATGTGTGTGCATCTGTGTGTATCCCTCACAGAGAAGTTGGATGAGATGTTGAGTTCGCCCAAAGAACCGGTTGTAGTGATGAGGCCACGCCCTGCAGATGTAGACACCAGAGCAGCCACTGTGAAACAGAGACCGATAAGTCGCCGCATCACACAGGCTGAGATCAGTGTGAGTCTGAAACACATAAACATACACCATTTAAAAATCAAAAGTCTAGTTGGTTTACATAAATATTACAAAATAATATATAAAACCTTCTTAAAGTATTTTAATTATAATACTTTAAAATAAATATTTTATTAAAATACTTACCGTATATAAAATATTCTATAAAACAAAATAAAACCATTAATATAAGGTCATAATAACCATTTAAAAAACAACATAATATACCAGAACAAGAGCCCTTGTTATGATAATAGGTAATTTCTGACATACTATGCATTGTTTGCAACAGATGGTACACATCACCACTGTAGCACAGTAGCCAAATTGTGTCAGTAAAGATTTGGCTGCCGATCAGTTTTTGCTTTTAATGCATATTGTCTTTAGGTTAGAAAAAAATCATTTGCAGTGATGGCATTTTCTGTTTATTTCTTTGATAGCTGATTAATCAGAAACTGTGATTTGTTTGTTGTTCTGACAGTAACTGTATTCTGGCCAATATTTGACTATGTATTGTTTTTGTTTTTGTGTGTAGTCTCTGTTAGAGAGGCAGGGTTTAAGTGCAGTATCCTTGGCTGTGGACAAAAGTCACATGCAGCTGCCTCGGGGAATGTCAAGAACCAAGTCATTTGGTAATGTGTCATTTGGGATGCACATACACAAATACAAACAATCTTGCAAATTTTTCCTTTTCATAAATGTAAACTAATGATACACCAACATAAAAAGAGCTATATATATATATATATATATATTGATCACCAGAGTTCTGATCTTTGTTCTAAACAATACAGCCACTGTCTCACCGAGAATTGTTTTATAGGTGCCCCTGAAGATGAGAGAATCTCAGCCCTGATTGGAGAGCATCGCTTTCCAAGAAGCTCCTCAATGACCGACAGCTTTAGGCAAGATAGTATTCCACCACCTCCACAGACAGCTCCTCCACCACCTCCAACTCCCTACTTTCTTGATTCAGGCCCACCTCCATCCTTTCTTCCACCTCCGCCCCCTTCTCGCGCTGCCAACCAGAGCCGTTCAAGCTTCCGCCCGGGGGCAGAGCCCAAAATCCATGGCCCAGTCACGACAGACCGCCAGCGAAAAACACGCTCCATGATCATTCTTCAGGACACCGCCCATTTGCCAGTGGAGCCTGCCCCTATTGCAAGACCGCAAACGCCTACCTCTGGAGCGGTTCCTCCTGAACGTGGTCGTAGGCGTGGACCACCTGTAGAGAATCCGTATGCTAACGTAGGTCGTCTAAGTGCTGTCTATACTCCTACCAAGCCCCAGCGTAGAAAGAGCCCACTAGTCAAACAAGGGCCAGTTGAGGAGGGAGCTGCTGCTCAGACTAGTAGAGATCCTTCTCCTTTGGGAGGGTTACGGATTCCCCACAGCAGCCGAGCAGAGCAGTTCCAACAGCAGGTTCTCTCTGAGCGAGCTAGAATCATACCTCCTGGGGCCCGACGCAGACCCAGTGTTTTCCTATCTGTAGAAGGGGGCGCGACAGAGCCGCAGACAACCCCATTGCTTTCTCAGTCCCACTCGGTGGATGAGTTGGCTGAGTTGCCTCCACCGGCACCAATGCTCTCCCCTGGCCCACCACCAGGGGGCACCACTTTTATACACCCTCTAACAGGTCGACCACTGGATCCTTCCTCACCTTTAGCGCTTGCACTGGCTGCACGAGAACGTGCCCTTAGTGGCCGGAATACACCCACTCCCACACCTTCGCCTACACCTTCACCCACTCAAGGCCGAGCAGTAGAAAGACCCGAGACAGAAGGAGGAGCGACACCACCTGCTCCTCTCGAGGCTCCTCCATCTAATTCCTGGAGAGACGAACCGGTCAGCATCACAGAAACCGCAAGCCAAGTGCCTAGCGGTAGCCCTGGGTCTGGACGAAGCCTGGAAGAGGCACTTGCCGCACCCAGCGTGCAGGGTGTTCAACCTGCGCTGATGGATACAGAACATACCCCACCGGCAGTCCCACCCACTCTACCTTCCCCTGCCCCTACCCTCTCAAATCTGACTGCTCGGAGTCTGACAATGAGCTCTGAGGAGGAAGCAGAGCCATACACGGTGACACTTCCACCTGCGTTGCTCTCATCTAGTGATGAGGAAACCAGAGAGGAGCTTCGGAAGATAGGCCTCGTGCCACCCCCTCAACCCTTTGCTAATGGCCTTCTAATTAAAGAAACACCCAAAGCCACTCTAAACATTTCACCAAGTGGATCACGTCCATCCATTGCCAAGACCTCCTCTGGGAAAGCAAGCGATTCGACGGCAGACTCTGGGGTTGAAGACCCACATATGGAGACCACCAGTACTGTTTCCACAGTCTCCAGCATGTCCACTTTGTCTTCAGAGAGCACAGACTCCGCTCATGCAAGCAAACCACGTTGTGGGGTGGGGCGTGGTCGCCCCGCCCATCTCAGGGACCCACTGCTTAAACAGTCATCAGACAGTGAGCTGCTTCCACACCCACCCAGCACAGGCCCCAGCCGTCCACGCTACCTATTCCAAAGACGCTCCAAACTCTGGGGGGAGGAGCCCCGGGCCCAGATGAGTGGGTCTGAGGAAAGTCGGCCTGCTGCTATGGGAGCAGAGTTGCTAGGCAAAGACTCTCATTCACTGGGGGAGGAGCCACCAATGGGAGCACCACTTGACCCTGGCAGGAGATCACCTGTGGGAGGTGCCAGGTAGGAAAGACCTGTTAATATTTTTACCAACATAACAGCAGCACAATTTGCACACCTGCATGAAACACAGCACAACTTTCATTATAATTTAGCAATACACCCACTTGATTTTTGACACCCTTAGACACACACCTGGTTAGACTGCCTTTCCATAACACACGTGTGTGTGTGTGTGTGTCTGTATGTCCTTGCAGATGTGAGGAGATTGGAGGAGAGAGTAAATCGTAGGTTTTTAGCTCTGTGGGTAAAAACAACTCCTTGTCTAACTAACTTTCACTAAACCCCTTACTGCAGCCGTTAATCAAGCTGCAAATGCTACTGTGAGCTTGTCTTAAAGGCTTATGGTAGTTCATTATGCAGTTACTGAGGCATTTCAGCTTCTGTCTGTCTTTGCGCAACGAAACTGGAATTTTCAGTGCACCACTGAGGGGCAATCAAATTGCTTTTTAATAAAAAGTAAATGAAACTAATGTTAAATCTACATTTAGTTTATATTGCTGCATTGGTTGTGGTAAGTTTATTGCAGCAATTTTTGGATGTTTACATAATGAATACCAAAAGCATGCTGTGGTGGAAATACTGTGATATGCTAATGCACCAATTCTTTATACCCTTTCTGAGGACTCCAGTTTTATATTAACTGCTCTAACTGTCATTTTATTGCATTAAGTTCTCACTGCATGCTCTGCACTATTTAAATTTTCACAAACCCCAAATGCTTACAGCATTGGATCCACTTTCCTTTTCTCTCACATTAGCATCCCAGTAGTTTCCCAAAAGTACTGCAGTTAAAACTTTTCCTTTGTTTACTTTTTTGCTTCCGCTACATCTTCCTCTCTCTTATTTGTCTTCATTTTTTCGCTCTCTCTCTCTTAGACTCTTTAGTAGTTTAGGGGAGCTTCACACCATCTCTCAGAGGAGTTACGGCACCACCTTCACAGTCCGGCCTGGCAGCCGATACCCAGTGACCCGTAGGACTCCAAGCCCTGGAGCCACCCCTGAACGGAGTGAACCATTGGGGCCTGTCCGTACATTCGGCCCTCATCACCATCATCACACTATACTCAAGTCTTCTAGCCTAAGTTTGCCCCAGGAGCCCAAGGAGGTGCGTTTTGTCATGAGGAGCGCCAGCGCTCGAGCCCGCAGCCGTTCTCCATCCCCCTCACCATGCGCCTCCCCCTGCCCCTCACCGGTACTGGGAGCCCCTCTCCTGGCCCTGCGACCATTCAGACAGCGCCCCCTAGCACTGTGGAGTAAGTATGATGTGGGAGAGTGGCTAGAGAGCGTGGGATTAGGGGAACATCGTGCCCGCTTTTTGGAGCACGAGATTGAAGGCGCCCACCTGCCTGCCCTGACCAAGGACGATCTGGCCGAATTAGGGGTGACGCGGGTGGGACACCGAATGAACATCGAACGTGCACTGAAGCAGTTGCTAGAGAGTTGAAGAGAGTCAAAATGCAGGATATAGTTCCATCATAAAATTATTTAATAATTTAACTTGTTCCAAAGTCTAAAATCATAGATTCCAACCCACTTTTTTAGCATTGCACAGCCCTTACATAATATAGATTTTACCCCTGATTTAACACCCACAAAATCCACCATGTTTCTTCACCAGTTTGCCAGCTACTAAGAGTAAAAAGAAAACATGCTGGACAGGAGTGTGGACCCACTGCGCAATATCTGCTATTTTCAGCTACAGGTCGAACTGGCCATGTTTCAAATGGGTCTTCTGCACAATAAAAAATGATATAGCCAGCAAGCAGCCATTTCCTTCTCATGCCATGTTTTACAGTCAAATGATGATGAGGAAGGTGTGGCAAACCCCACTGACTGCTCTCACATTACCAGTTTAGGAATATCTTCACCATCTGCAATTGTGTGCATTTCCTGCTTACAGGAGAGAGACTTCTGAATTTTAGAAAGCAGTGTCAACTTGGGTAAAAAAGAGAATAGAAGAGTTTAAACCTCTCCTGTAAACAATACCAATGCTTCCAAGTGCCCGGAATTTACAGTATGTTCACAGACCATTTTACAACTCAACAGTAGATAGCCATGTTAATGGTGATTGTAAGATGCATTGCAGCAACTGGACTTGGCATGTGAATGCAACATGTCCAAGCAAGAAAGGATCTGACAATCTGCCCTAAACCAGGAGGAAAAAAAACTTCTCCCAATACAATACAAGTGTGGCCTTGAGGTAATACTGCCGCCATCTAAAATTTGTTAAAGATAGATATTTTCAATCAGTACATTCAATTTTATATGTATATGATATATATGGAGTTATATACAGTATATATTCAAAAAAGAATGTATGAGAATAAGGTGAGATATACTTGTCTTATACCCTGTGAGATTGTGTCATATTTGGTCTTACTTTATATTTGTTATTTTATTTGTCAATTATCAACCAATACCCTAACACAAACACAGTAACTATTTTTTCCCCATGGTATAACTTGTGATTTGTGAGTTATAAACATAATCTTTGGACTAGTTCATGGTCAGTTATTTAAGAACTTCATAATTACGGGCGGACCTTTTTTGTCTATTATGAATAAATGCTCGGTAAGTCTGTATGTAGAATAACTGTTTTGTTTAAACAGAGGATTTGAAATACCAGGGGATTTAGGTATACATTTATTTGTTACCTTTTGTATATGATAACTAATAATAATAATCAGTTTATCATTTCATGCTGATCAATTTGTGAATTTAAGACGTAACAACATTTCTTTGACATGGTCTATTTGGTTACGTATTGTGGAATTACTCATTTGGGATTTAATTCTTATCAAGGCTTTCAGTTTAGAACATTACGAGCAAAATATGCTACCTAAGGGCTTTTAACAGACAAATTAAACAGTGTTATTAAAAATCTGTTTCAATGCAGACTGCTAAACTCGTGAATTTGTCTGATCCCCAGTTATAGGAAAATCTACAACTTAAAGTAATAACGTGGCACATGCAAAGCTTATGCTTACGGGCCTTTAACAGCAGTGTGGCCCTGACCCTCATGACCCCATTTGTGCAAACACACATTTTTGTTTCTAGTAAAAAAAAAAGTATAGTGTGACCAAATTACTAAAAGTAATCTGACTACAATCATATCTACTGTGAATATAAAATTATTTTTCTCAATCCCCAAGATTGTCGTATAAATAATCCAGCAAATGTTGAGATTATATTGTGTCAAAATTATCTGGTAACTAGCTTGACTGGTTTATTGTGTTTTTTAAGCTGGGACAGTAGGCGTTGCTGTGGTTTACACATTTAACTAGTTGAACTCTGCCAACAGAGGGGGAAAATCCTCACACTTGTCTCTCCTCCGGTTGGTCAATTTGCACAAAGATGTGGGTGCTACTGTTTATAAGCCATCTGCATAAAATATTACTGTACTTCCCTTATATGTCCCTGTCCTTCTCCCTCTCTTCCGATCCTCACTCATTTACACTCTCAAAGACAATTATGTAATTAATTACTGCAGCCATGTTCTTTTAGTTTACTACTTTTAGGAGCTCTCTCTTCTATTGTTGACACCTTTTTTTGTATTCTTTGTTGGATGAAGTGATTTGAGGATCAAGTTTTGGACATGTTTGCTTTAAAATGAGAAAATGTAAACAAAAAATATAATTTGACTTGTCTGTTATTAAAGATCATCTCTCAGGCTGTGGGGATTAATCAAATAATACATCATTCTTCTGTGGAGCAAAAGAAGAGGGTCGGATTTTTTCCTCTATACATTTTTAGAACTTATACACATTTTCCAGTTTTTTTAAATAGCCTACATTTTTTTTTTATGTGAGCCAAATTAATTCTAAACACTTGCTATGTTGAATACCAATCAAGAGATGAAAGAAAATGCTAGTTTCTGTAATAGTGCTCATAAATATACTTATAAAATATACTTTAAATACAATCCAAGTGCTGAGAGTACATTAAATCCAATATGTCTATACTGCAGACAGAGACCGCAAAGGTTAAAACGTGACACAATTGAAAAATCAGATATACAAAATTAAAGAACTACATGGAAAGATGTTATGTAATTATTAATTTTCAGCGATAGTCCAGCCTGCATGTATTAAATGATTATAGGGCTGGGTATTTACACAAATTTCACGATTCGATTCCATTTCAATTTCAATTCACAAGCCTTTGATTTGATTAGATTACAATTCAATTCAATATAAATTATTTTTGATGTATAGGCCTACAGTATCAGGTACAGTACTAATGCTGTAAACTACACAGGGAGTCAGTTGGTACTACATAGGCCTACTGTAATATTCAATGTTAAAATTAATGGATTTGTATAAAACACTTAAATTACACAGTTTTTAAATTAAGGCAGTTTTTATAATAATAAAGTTATAATTCTAACTTTATAATTACATAATTATGTTTCTACTCCAATTCATCTTTTTTTTTTTAAATATAAACATTTAAATGGGAGTCATCGTCAAAACTTGAAACTGATTTATTCAAAACACAGGCTAAGTTACTTTAAATATTGAAGAACAGTAGGCTATGCATGTGTGTATGGTGAAAGTTTTAGCAAAAATCTCCTCTCTAGAGTTGGTCATTGAATGGCTTTTCTGAGGTAAATTTACATTGTCCTCAGGCTTTTTTATTGACGTCTTTCCCGCTGTTGAAACACCGATTGAGCGATTACATGAGACATGATATGGATTTCGGTAAGTTTTACTGTATCTTTCAACATACCTTCTGATGTTCATTCATGTTTATTTCGTGTAACTTACTAGTAGTAAAGCGGAAGAGACGATCAGTTCACGTGGCTTCGCTCGATATGATCTGAGGGATCTGTCATGAAAGAGCGCCAAAACGTATTTATTGTTTGAATTTTGTAATAAAATGTACAGAATTCAAATCTAAAACTTTATTTCATATCAAAAGTAACAATTTTTACTCATTGCAATTTATTGAATGGGAGGCGCCACAATGTTGTTTTCATTCGTTGGGATTTAACGGTTCATAAAAATAAGAATTGATTAAAATCGAGAAATTATTTTTTTACCTAGCCCTAATTATATGCTTTATTATCTGCAGAGAAATCTCTTGAACTACACACACCATAACCATTTTCCAATTTTTCAATGATGCATGTTGTCACAGATGTTGTCACTATGGCATTCTGATTAAACTAATTTGAAAGGAAAATCTTTGTGTCTGGTTGAGGAGATTCCCCCTTCCATGAAGCGCTTTGAGTGCCTAGAAAAGCGCTATATAAATGTAATGAATTATAATTATTATTTGTTTGAATTGCTAAGTAAAAAAACATATCTGTTTTCAAAATGTAGGCTATTATGGGATATTCAATGACATTTCAGTGACAATTTAAATAAATAGTCTATAAAACAGCATAATTCAAGAAACAGCAAAACAAATCTAAATTTTAGCTAATTTACAAAAAATTGTTTGGGCCAACAAAAATTGTAGTTAATAATTTGTATAAAACCACAATACATAAAACATGTGACAACGTTCACTGGCATTTACTATTAAAGAAAGTTTCTGAGTGCACAGTTCAACGTTTTGCTTAAAAATGACATAATATTAGGCTAGTTGATGTGGTTTTATGTTCACTTGTTTACAACAACAACAAAAAACTCCACACATGATCCATCATCTTTACTATTATGATATTGGAATTTATGTTTGGAGGACAGATGTCACAAAAAGAGTCCTAATTTAGCAGTTTTGAACCATTTGAGGCCACCAATGCCAGTGCAACTGAAAACAAGCAATTGGACTTTTGACTCAAAACCTTTGGTTGACATAAGGCTCTTGTGACAAATTTTCCATGTGACAACTAGCCCTGTTCCATAAAAAAATGCAGATCAGTAACTCATACATTAAAATATGAATGAAAGATATAAGATCAATAATATAGTTAGTTATATAACATTATGGACACATTATTGCTCATACCAAAGCTGTTTATATAATATAATAGCAATTATTCTCATTCATGAAAGTTTTTACAGTATGAAGCGTTACCAATTATTTATAGGCCTATTACAGATATTTTATCATTATAAACAAAATGACTGGAGTTCATTGGCAGGCGATGCTGTAATCATTATTTCACATTATAGCCTCGGGTGTCCACAGATGGAAGCCAGTGTAGATCTGTTGACAATACATGCACGTTCATGACACAGACTGATATTCAGAAGAGAAGGTTAATGTGTCACTGACACGTGATCTGAGAGAGTGTAGTTATTCTACCGTTATTTATTCGGCACGCAGTTAGAGACGGTAAGTGTTCACATTTATCTGCGCAATCAGATGTTGAGCTTGAATATAAAGCAGACTTATGAATTTTTGATACACTTTTCTATGATGTCGGAGTTAACAGATTTTTTTTTTTTTAAACGAACGTTAGAATGAAACGATTTGTTGTTTAGGTAAATCAGAAATTGCAAATGAGAGGCTACTGTAATGAGAGGTTATGTCACTTTCGCACAGTTTTGAATTTACAAAGGTTTTTTTTTTTTGTTATTTACAATGTTCTGTTTGCAGTGTTTTATAGATCATTTATTTATAACTGCAGTGAACTGTGATTGGCCGATGTCCCAACTCCTCTAATCTCATTTACAGTACATTGATTTCTATACAGGTTATATTATTTCCATGAATATATCTATTAAAAATCATCTCAAAACCTAATTTCAGCATCTGTTAAAACAGATTGTTAAAAAAGTTTTTATATAATTATTAAACTATAATTATTAAACTTTATAGTTATTAAATATATTGTGTATACTTTATCATTTCGATCTTTATACTGTATAAACAGATAACTTCAATAAATTGCAATATTTTATGAGCTGGACAAGGGTCATTATAAAATGAAATCAACTTTGGCACAACCAGAGTAAAATCTAACCCTTTACGAAATATTTCCTCTGGACAAAGTTCCTGCTTTATGCCTCACAAAGCTCTTGACTGGAGAAGACATATAATCCGTAGTAAAGATGTCATCTAATAACAACACAATTAGTTTCCCTGAGCTTATAAAGCTGAAACGAGACGGTGACCAACTCAGCCCAGCAGAGATACGAACATTTGTGCAAGGAGTCACATCAGGAGCCATCCAGGACAGTCAAATAGGTAAGATCATTATCACCTAAATTCAGTGTACAGTTAAAGGTAGGGTAGGCAATTTCGGGGAGGCTAGCAATAGCAAGCTAGTTTTGAAAGTATGATCCCTCCCTCCATTCAGAGCGTCTCCAAAGCCACGCCTCGTCCAAAACACATGAACACACAGCAGAGTCTGCAAAGCGTCACGAGACGAGAGACGCCGTTAAATTACCTCATGTCTCATGCCTGAATAAAACAAATTGCCTACCCTACCTTTAGGAAGACACAAACAAAGAAAACTTTTGGGTGGAATTTTACAAAAACAATTGTGTTGTAACGGCACAGGCGCTATGCTAATGGCCATATGGCAGCAGAACATGACTGATGAAGAGACTCTGGCATTGACGAGAGAGATGATGAACTCCGGGGATACGTTAGAATGGCCGGAGGAATGGCGTGTGGTAGACAAGCACTCAACCGGTGGGGTTGGAGACAAAGTCAGTCTTCCACTCGCTCCTGCTCTGGCTGCGTGTGGCTGTAAGGTATGGGAAACACGACGACCAATTGCCCAAATCCTAATATTAAAAGGTCAAACCACATTCGACAACATGAAAACGAAATAATCTTTAGTAATTGTATGAATTCCAATGCACAGTGAAACAGCTGTCAGCAGGGGGTGTAGGCTATTTTAATCTAAAATTCAAATTCTAAGAAAACTATGGCATTTAAAAACCTAAATATGGAACATCCTGCCACTATTTCTATGGCACATTTTCATTTCAGTTACATATTGCACCACCACCCTGAATTTATTTTTAAATTAATGCAAGTTACTCTGACATGTATGGTTTTTTTTCTAGGTGCCCATGATAAGTGGACGAGGACTGGCACATACAGGTGGCACCCTGGACAAGCTGGAGTCTATCCCTGGGTTTAATGTCTCCCAATCCATTCAACAGGTAATGTGGGAACAAGTGGGATTTGTTTACACCTGAACTGATGGTCAGCTCGATTTTATTAAATTATCTATGTATATTTACTCGATTAGTAAATACAATCCCTTAGGTTCTATTATTAAAATATTAAAAATGAGTATCAAATAATACCTATAAATAAATATTGTTAAATATGAATGGCATTTACAATAAGTCATTGAAAATTGAAGCACATTTCAGAGACTATCTACAACTTCTTATTCTTAATATATGTTGCAACATGCTGAACAGGATCCTTTTGTAATAAGGATTTAGTTTGTCACTGTATGAGCCAGGCTGTTAAAAACAATTTGAAGGGTAATACGTCAAGGGTTTTTAAAATCTTTTACTCAATGCAAAATTCAATATAAAAAGGATGACAGCTATTTATTAAAGTAACTAAGAAGTTAAAAAACAGGAACTTTGTTCGAGAAGCCGTTTTACACACATATGTCACAATAGGGAAGATTATTGTGCTGGATTTTCAATAGATAATATTAATGATATTACTACCATGAAAAATCTGATTTTAGATGAAGCATCTTGTGATCAATTTTTATCACACTTCTCGTTTTTATGTCTGTTGGTGATATGTTTTATGTCTATCAATAAACCAAAATAAATATTACTTCCTTTTATTTAGGATGTAGCCATCAGACGAACTTTCGATATGATCTTGATCTAACCTTCTGAACAAACTTTTGACTCAATGGAACCTTGGTCAATAGAACATTTAGTCCATTTCCAAAGTTCCGTTTTTTGCCTGCATTGTGAAATGATTGATTGAAATATTAACCCCTTACAATGTTTTTTGATGATGCATGATATTTTTGCTGATGTCACTAACAAAGGGGAAACAAAGGGTGGGGTGTTGTATTCTTCTTTTTGGTTGAGATTCTCTGAGAACTGCTCGAGAACTCCCGGCCGTAATAACGAGCATTTAAAGGACAATTAGGCTACTCAAGTCTGTCGGTCATTTAAGCTGCGCAGCAAGAGAACAAGTAAGTTAGAATTATCGGCTCTGGATGCTGTAGTTGACTGGAGACTCACTGGAGTAGGATTTAGACGGATGCTGTAGTCGACTGGAGGAGACTCGCTGAAGGATAGTTAGGGAGCGGATGCCGTAGTCGACTGCTATCTCACGACCAATTCGTCCGAATTTGACGAGTGATTAAAAGATGGCTAATTCGTACGAATTCGTACGACCTCATTCGTACGAATTTGTACGATTTGTCTAAACCCACGTGATGGGTAGGTTTAGGGGCGGGGTCAGGGGTAGGTCATTCGTACGAATTCATACGAATTGGGCAACTCGTCAAATATGTAACTTACGTTTTAGCAAAAATCGTACTAATTCGTACGAGTGAGGTCGTACGAATTGTTACGAATTAGCCATCTTTTAATCACTCGTCAAATTCGGACGAATTGGTCGTGAGATCGGGTTGAGACTCGCTGATGTGTGAACGTAGCTAACATCAATTATATTTATACACGCTAAAATAGTTAGGTTTGAGAAGAAAATCCATAACACTATCATAGTTTCATGCCAACTTTATTGGAATCATCAATGAATCATGATTTAGAGAAAGTGACTAATACATACTGACATTATCCTCCCGGGCTAAATTCCTGCTTAGCCTACCATGTCATCCATGCTCTGTTCAAGTATGTTTAATTAATGTTGAATATGAGCATCATCAAATCCATTTTTACCAGTGACTCTAATCCTTAGCCTATATAATGAAATGTATGTAAATGATTGTAGCCCATGTACTGATTCATCATAGAATGCTGTCTCACCCAAAACCAAAGATTTAGCATACACAATATTTTACAAATCAAACACACATTTCTTAGTGGCCAAAGTTATAACTCAATAAAAGGTTACTAAAATGGTACTCTTACTTCAGAATTTCTGTACTATGAGAAACAAGCGCACAGCCATATTTAGAATATTTCATTTCATTTCATTTATTATACAGCAAAGGTTAAAAGTAACATTAAGGTACAATTTAAACGGGCCTGACTCAGTTTAAAAACTGGTTTCCAGCAGGTTCCTTTTCTGCAGAACACAGGCCCGGATTGGCTAATCGGGAGCACCGGGAGAATTCCCGGTGGGCCGGTCTGTTTTATTGGCCAGGAGGGCCGGTGTTGTCATGGCACTGGGTTGAATGCTTTATATAGGCTCCAGTCACAGCTTTCTGAGTGTATAATGAACGTTGTGAAATAATTGCCTAATATTAACTCTAATTTGGTGCTGCAATGATTTGCATATCGCGACGATAACCGACCTCATAATCTGAGCTGCTTCAGTATTCAAACACCGCTCGTCGGCAATGGCAAAATGTTTGAGATGACCGATCAAAGCAAGCGGGATTTATGTTCACAGAAGCGCGAGCCACAGCCGCGCGCGAATCCCAACGCGACGCTTCACGAGATAAGATGCAAGTGGCTAAACTAAACAGCTGTTTTAATTACGAAAGAAGTTTTAAACGACCGAAAGAAATAATCAGTTTGTGAAGACTGTATCAATAAAAACTCAGCTTAAAGCTGCTGTCCGTAACTTTTTTGGGTTAAAAATTATCCAAAATAATAACAATTAAAAAAAACATAACCAGCCAGTGTTCAAAAATATCTGCTTGCTTTTGCCCGATTCAAAACGGTTAGCTTGTAATAATGATTTTAATTCCAGTGGTACTGGTGGATTTCCGCGGGAAATTCGAGCATGTCTTTGCGTCATTATGTCACATCTGTACACATAAAGAAGGCGTCCCGGCTAGTCGGCTATATTGCGTGAGGATGTTGGAGGTGGACATTTTTAGCCTTTTCTCACAGCATTAAATAATTAAACTTATGGCGGATCCAGAAAGGTTCAAACGACAATCACCAGTGACAACTGGACATTCAGCACTTGTAAAACCCCAAATAATTCGGACTTCGGAGTGGGTAACGTTAGAGAAAAAAGAGACTGCAACTGGCCCACGCGAAAACAAGGATAAACATCGGTTCAAAACGGACGCAGAGACGGCTTTTTTTCTTTTAGGACAGGTAAGACATTTCAATAGTTCAATCGTGTAACAGTAGCACACTTGTTCGCTTAATTCACACAGTTACGGAGTTTCCTGTCTTTATTCGTTTAGCTATTATGGTAAATATTTTGTGCTAGCTATGAAAGGGAGCAATTCACCTCTACTCCAAGCAAACCAAACCGGCCTCCTCCGAAATTATATATAGTTTTAAATATGCATCGGATTACAGATACGTGTTTTTTTTTGTTTTTTGTTTTTCTCAAAGAAAACCAGTAAAGAAACATTAATTTATTGGTATGACAATTAGAAATTAGACTGCACAGAAATAGAAACTGAACTACAGGGTAATCATAATACACATTAAATGTAGTCACAATGCTGATGTTGATAATTTGAGAACAAAGTATAATTTGAAAGGTTTGACGCGATCGTTATATTTAATCAGCACGATTTACTGCAAGGCTTTCCCCCCTTAGTTGATGTGGATGTTACTTACTTGTTCAGATGACATTTTCCGATGAAAATTCGTATGTTGTCATGGTCATACTGTAGGCCTACTTCCAAAAGTAGAATGTGTGATTCTGAATGCCAGTTTCCACATCGGCGCGGTGACTGACAGACTCGCAGTCTCAAAACATTGTGTTCATCCGCGCTGTTTCATGCCGATGTGCAACTCACGCAAAGTTAATAATTCCGCGAATAACTGCAATTACAGATTTCAAACAGAGATGGCGACAAAGAGGAAAAATGCCGGACTGCAGCTTTAAGGAAGGGGAGATTAACAGGTAACCTAAGACAAAGTCCTTTTAGGCAAGTCATGCCACTCGGCCGCCATCTTGGTAACGCCTCCGGGCAGCTATTTCCGACTAACAAGACCAGGCTCCTATCTAAATGAATGGGAAGAGACTCAGAACTGCACTTTCACTGGTCATCGGGACATAAAAACTGCATGTATAGAAACAGCAGTAAAATATGATAAAAATCGCTGAAAAAGTTTGATGACTTTGCCCCAAAAGAAGGTTTAAAACACCTTTTCCCCCACAGGTTATACTTTTACTACGCATGCGCAAGGGTTCACGACACCAACTTCATTTACGTCTCTATCCAGAATGCCGGTGTCGTGCTCTACTACAGCACATACTTAGAATGTAAGGTAACATATTAGTGGTCGATATAAAATGCTTTAACTACTGTAACAAGGTTCAGATGTTATGGGAAGAAGGAGGCAGGAACCGGCGAACATTCAACTATTTTAATAAATAAACAAATCCAAAAATGGAAGTATGCCTGCAGCCCCGGACGAGCTGCTGGCCACACAAAACAGAAACAAAACACAACATAAAATCAGGCCTGTTCCTCTCTCGATCTCCATGTCGTCGCTCCACCTTTTATGCCTCCGCTCCTCCGTGAGAGACACGAGACCGATGCGTCGCGCAGGTGCCGCTCATCAGTAATCACGCCACCGGCCTCACGCAGCTCTCTCACGTCCCTCGTCCTCGGCCTGCTCGCCACAACTACCTTGGTAGTCCGGTGTTTTCGCGTTGTTATTATCACCCTCTTCCATGTGGATTCCATCTGATCTTGCACACAACACTATGGCACAAAACAACTCGCTGTCGCCAAATCGTCTCCGCTGTCGCAAACCTCAACTGTGCGCATGCGTCAGTGGAACCAGACGATAGGCTTAAATGTTTCCCGGCTTGACTGTTAAAAGCAGACGATTGGCTTTCCAGCGGGAGGGGCGGGACATATGCATACAACCGCCATCTTTGACGTTACGGGTTTTCCCTATATAGTTGTATTGAGGATTGAGGAAGTGGCATGTCTCCCTAAGATAAAGAGACTGAGGCCCAGTCCCAATTCTCACTTGAGCCCTAAGGCCTTCCTGGAAGTGGACACTTGTTGAAAGTGCACTTAGCGGAGTAAGTGCGCAAGGGCCCGAAGCTGTGAAGAGCAGAATTGGGACAGTTTTGCACACGTCACTTCTGTTGTGATCAGGAGAGCAAACACCATTCATTTGGCTAATGTGTGTGCTGCTTATAATAGCTGTAACATGACACAATCCTTTGAATGAAAAAAATAATATCTTTTTTTACTCTTAGCTACCAACCTTTCTGTTAATGTTATTAATATTAAAACAGTTTTTGGCTAAGATAAATTGTGATTGGGGTTTACCTGAGCTTATACTGCCCCACCGTATTCACAGCGATTCGAAATGCAATTTTAATTATGTTATTATGGAAATTGATATATGAAATTCTTCCCATCCCCTAACATGAAAAAATACATGACGTGTTGGTGATATATTATATATAGGCTAAGGCTATATATTAAGTCTTACATAGGCTATATGAAATAAAATGACACAACCCTGTCTCTTTTTGTTAAATTTCAGTTTTATTGATCAATAATAGCCATTATTAAATTATAAGTAGCCTAAAAAGTATACGAATCTATATAAGTCAAGAAATAAAGCAAGTTAAAAGATTCAGTCAAACATAAGTCAACAGGCTAACGTTACAACATTACAGTTAAATAGCATAAATATATAAAGTTATGAAACTTCACTTTGCCCGCCCCTCAGCCAAAACGATTTGCCAGGGAACAAACCATACATTAATGAGACCAAAGATCGCCCGTTAGATATACACAAGCCGATTTATAGCTCATGTTTAACCACTAGACACAGAGCCCGCGGGAAACGTCAGAATGACTAGCCGAGGTAAGGCTGTTCCAGGCGGGGTACATGCGCCCGCTGATCCATGGAACTCCGAAAAAGCCCGATCAAATTTTTAAATAGGCGCTATCTTTATAAACAAACCACAGATTTGAGCTTTAAACAACTATATTCTCGACTGAAAAACTCTTAAAACTACATTTCGTGACACAATAACACTAATATTTTTAAATTTCGCGGCCTTGAAAAACACTTCACCATACCGGCTTCCTTTATCTTCGGAGTTTCTCCCCCATTGGTTAGCTGTTCGAAACGTCACAACACTACAAGGATTCTGGGTAATATCCCACAGCAAAGTGAGGTCTGATGCGCACTTGCGAAAGGGGTGCATTAAGTGCCCTTATGATCACCCCTGGAGAACACTATTAGAGGATCGGGACACCCTACGGTCTTGCACCCCTTAGCGAGAACGCGCATTGAGGGGCACAAGGGCGCAAGTGCGGATATTGGGACAGGGCCTGAGAGAAGAAGAATGAGAGAAGATGGAGATGAGAAATGAGAGCAGGTAGAGGAATAGCCTATTGCATAGGCTACTGTGCCCAGAATGAGAATAACTTTATTACAATGGATTCCTATTTAACACAGACATACATTTGTTCTTTGCCAATGATGATCATCAGTGTAAAAATAAGCTCAATTTAACAACACAATCCCCTATATATAGACTAATATATTGCCATTGTTATTGTAAATACAGATATTTGTATACCTCGAATGTGTTTATATTTCCCCATATCAACACTGGGACTTTTCACTGTTTGTATTACTTCACTTGTCTGGGTGGGCATATGCCCCCGAACCCCCAGCAAGATCACTTTTTGAACCTCTGTATTTATAAAACCCTTTATACGGCGATTGCACTGAATAGAAATTTAATTTTTTTTTTTTTAAATACAATGAATAACAAGGCTGTACAGAACACTGCACTATTGCAGACTTATAGCTATACTGAGGTTTCAATTACATTATTTTAATATAGTCAGACGGGAACTAAAGTGGGCCGGTCTAAGACATGAAACTCCAGGGCTGAAAATTAGTCCCACTCCGGCCCTGGCAGAACATAAAACACATATTGTGTTTGAACCTGTTTTTGTGGTAGATTTGTATTTCTATGGCATCGCTGTCGAAGAGTAATTAGCTGGTGAAGTGGATTTATTTGTTGTAGAGTTCACAAAAGTATTGTAATGTTGGAAGTGGATGTCATAAATGTCAGTAGCCGGGAAGAGTTTAAAACATAAATCCGGATTTTTACAAAAAAAGCTTAAAATGCAATATTATATTATTCTTCTAGGTGAAGCAGATCCTGCAGGATGTGGGCTGTTGCATTGTGGGACAGACAGAGAGTCTGGTGCCAGCAGATCGTGTTCTCTATGCAATCAGAGACGCCACATCGACTGTTGATAGTCTTCCTCTTATCACTGGTAAGATTACCCTGGACAGCTTCTCATCACAGTGTTAACCCTACTTCTCCTGATTATTTTGTCCATGTTCTGTACAGGCTCCATCATTTCTAAGAAAGGAGCTGAAGGTCTGTGTGCTCTTGTGTTAGATGTGAAGTTTGGCAGGGCTGCTCTGTATAAAGATCTGGATAGTGCTCGCGAACTTGCTCAGTCACTGGTAAGAGAGCTTCTTCTGTTTGTGTGCATGCCTTAAGAATAAAACGATCTGTATATTTATTCAGTGGCATCTTGCAGACAGTTTTGAAGGGGCTCCAGTAGCAGTCCTGGCCCACATGCTCACAAGAAAAGACCAAAGAGAAGAAAACTTTCCATGGGGAAAAGTCATAAGTTGAGGAACTCGATAGATTGACCAAATTTAGACATGTAACTGTGATTTCTGACATGCAGTTTTTACAATAATCATGCAATTTATCCATTTATTTTTTGGAAGTTGCATCCAAAATTTCTTTTGCTATTGGTGCAAATGGGAACGCAAAAAGTATAGTTCTTGTAGTTTCCAATGACCGTTATATGTACGCTTCTGAGAACCCTTGAAATGTTACAAAGGTCCAATACAAAGAATTTACACTAAATTCAAATTTCTATAGTTGCCATTTCAAACATATTTATACATCTCTCTAGTTCTCGCTGTACGTAAAGCCTATAAATCTTCAAATTGTAAGACTTTTTCAAAACGTTTAAACAATGCGTTAAGCTATTGTATTTCCAAGTCAAATTGCAATTAGTAGTAGTAGTAAACCCTTTATTGTCACTTAGTCACAAGTACCAGCGAAATTGGCCATCAACCTGTCCATACAAACATACACTCACCGGCCACTTTATTAGGTACACCTGTCCAACTGCTCGTTAACACTTAATTTCTAAGCAGCCAATCACATGGCGGCAACTCAGTGCATTTAGGCATGTAGACATGGTCAAGACAATCTCCTGCAGTTCAAACCGAGCATCAGTATGGGGAAGAAAGTTGATTTGAGTGACTTTGAACGTGGCATGATTGTTGGTGCCAGAAGGGCTGGTCTGAGTATTTCAGAAACTGCTAATCTACTGGGATTTTCACGCACAACCATCTCTAGGGTTTACAGAGAATGGTCCGAAAAAGAAAAAACATCCAGTGAGCGGCAGTTCTGTGGGCGGAAATGCCTTGTTGATGCCAGAGGTCAGAGGAGAATGGCCAGACTGGTTCGAGCTGATAGAAGGGCAACAGTGACTGAAATAACCACTCGTTACAACCGAGGTATGCAGCAAAGCATTTGTGAAGCCACAACACGCACAACCTTGAGGCGGATGGGCTACAACAGCAGAAGACTCCACCGGGTACCACTCATCTCCACTACAAATAGGAAAAAGAGGCTACAATTTGCAAGAGCTCACCAAAATTGAACAGTTGAAGACTGGAAAATTGTTGCCTGGTCTGATGAGTCTCGATTTCTGTTGAGACATTCAGATGTTAGAGTCAGAATTTGGCGTAAACAGAATGAGAACATGGAACCATCATGCCTTGTTACCACTGTGCAGGCTGGTGGTGGTGGTGTAATGGTGTGGGGGATGTTTTCCTGGCACACTTTAGGCCCCTTAGTGCCAATTGGGCATCGTTTAAATGCCACGGCCTACCTGAGCATTGTTTCTGACCATGTCCATCCCTTTATGGCCACCATGTACCCATCCTCTGATGGCTACTTCCACCATGTCACAAAGCTCTAATCATTTCAAATTGGTTTCTAGAACATGACAATGAGTTCACTGTACTAAAATGGCCGCCACAGTCACCAGATCTCAACCCAATAGAGCATCTTTGGGATGTGGTGGAACGGGAGATTCGCATCATGGATGTGCAGCCGACAAATCTGCGGCAACTGTGTGATGCCATCATGTCAATATGGACCAAACTCCCTGAGGAATGCTTCCAGCACCTTGTTGAATCTATGCCACGAAGAATTGAGGCAGTTCTGAAGGCAAAAGGGGGTCCAACCCGTTACTAGCATGGGGTACCTAATAAAGTGGCCGGTGAGTGTGTATATACGATATGACAATGGGGTAGACAGGACAGGAAGACAGGGAATTGAGGGGAAAAAAAATACAGCATGACATGAGGAGAGGTGAGGAGAAAAAGGCAACCCCCAGACTATGCTCGTGTAAGGAGTACAGTGTGGGAACAAGAAACAAAACACCTCAGCAACATCAGCACACAATCAGTACACTCTACAACATGAACAAAAACTTGCAACAGGGGTGGGGAGTGGTGGATGGAGGTAGCCCAGCGCAGGCAAGCAGCCATCCGGTCCTACAGCCATTTCGGCGCTGGTCACAGACCCGCCTGTCAGACTGAGGGGTACAAAGCGGCGAAGGCGAGGGATGGGGTGTGGGACAGGTGATTGCATATCTGTATATATATGTAAGAGTTCATGTATGTGTAGGCCTGGAGAGTCGCTATGCCTGGCATCATAATCTAGGTGCCTCAGTCCGCAGGATTGTCATAGCGATACACAGCAAGTTGCCATGGAGACAACCTTGATCAGGTCCCAGACAGAGTCAACAATCACCAGGTGTCTGGGGAGTCGGGCAAGGAGCGCAAGAGCGGCTCACTGCAGTGCTCTTCCGGGGGAATTGTTGTTCCAACAGCGGCCTTGGCCCAGGCCAGTGCTGGTTGAGGGCGGACGAAAACAGATAAGATTGGGATTGTTTGGTCTTGGGGCGAGTAGCCGCATTCCAATTTACACGGCTATTCTCCTGGTCCATTTTGGTCTCCACGATCCATTTGCCTTTGCAAAGCTGTGAGCTTCTCCATGATGTTATCCATATTGTGGTTCATAGATCCAGTCTGAGTGCTGACAGCTCTGCCCACTGCTTCAATCATGACGGGCAGCCTTGTGAGGCTTTGGACAGCTGTCACCGTCTTTTTAATTCCTCGATAACCTAACCAGGGCAATGCCTAATCCAATCAGCAGAAGACCTGTTATCATGGTTCCGAATAGGTAGATATCTTCAACGTCCTCCACGGAAAGAGCCGCCAGACACACGACCCGCCACCTCTCCCACACGTCCATCGTGTAGCCAGCTGCGAATGTTCCGGCAGGGCAGTCAGGTTCCCCCGAACCCAAGCTTCTCGTCGAGAAGATGGTGTCAATTGCGTTGAGAGACCAGTTGATCAAATCCATAATTTCTTAGTTTGGAGAGCAGTGCGGAGAGAGCCTCTCAAAGTACAAGACAGTAGACTAGACGTGACGAGAGGAGCAAACATTTAACTCTGAATGTCACACAATTCTGGTGTCCATGTGCCAATAGGTCACTGCAGGCAACAGGCTGGGTGTGAAGACAGGGGCGGTGCTTAGCCGAATGGACGCTCCTATTGGCCAGAGTGTAGGAAATGCGGTTGAGGTGTGTGAGGCTCTTGAGTGTCTTAAAGGACGAGGGCCAGATGATCTCACAGAACTAGTTACAATTTTAGGTAAGGAAAAAAACTATTTTTAAACATCCCACTGTAAGGGTGTGTTCACACTTGTACTTCGGTTCTCTTGGTTCTTTTGGTTCAGACCAAAAAAGGAAAATAATACATTTAGTCCTGGTTCGCTTAGTGTTCACACTTATCATTTTTAAGACCAAACCTAATGATACAAAAAACAAACAACACACACACAAAAAAAAACTTATTTTGCGATGTGTAAAGGTGTCAAAACAAGAACAGGAATACCTCCATTGCACACAAATAAAGATCCGCTTAAAAGAGACTGCGTTTCTGATGCCTGTACCGAACTGTAAGATCAGCGTTTTCTCTCCTATGACGAGAAAAAACAGCTATGCTTCAGAATTCTGTCCTTTTTAGAGTCGCATCTTGTAACATCACTTCTTGTTTTTGGTTCGTTTACATGCCTTTGGCCCCCTCATATTTCAGTCAAACCGCATCAGAGTTCATTTAGAAGCGGAGCGAAACCCATCTTTTCAGCGGTCTCGATCTGCTTGTTTGGTGCACATCAGGGTTTGGATGGCAGCGTTCACACTCATTCAAATGAACTGCACTGAGTAATCGCACCAGAGTTCATTTTAATTGAACCAAACCTGCCAAGTGTGAACACACCCTAAGATGACATAATGGAACCAAATGTCTAATTGTGATATTCTTCAAGACAAATTGTCCACAAATGTCTGCGATAAGGAAGCATTAAAGTGTCATTGTATTTAGGTGGACATCTCCTGTGCATGTGTAGCTCCACCTTTACTCTAGAGAGTGGGAAAAAGGAAATCGCTCTAAAGCTGAAGAATGGAGAAGCCCTGGAAAAGTTCCAGGCGATGCTGGAGGCTCAGGGTGTGTCTGCAGATGTTGCACGTTCCCTGTGCTCAGACGAGACGGACTACTTTCAGCACATGAGGCGTGCTGCACATCAGACAGAGCTTAAGGTGCCAGATGATGGTAATTATGATCCATGTTCTCGTTTGAGAATCAAATATGTTAATTATTTTACATAACACTAACAGCACAGGCATGATTACAAACAGATTGCACAGAGCTCGCTATTAATATTCACTGTTATTCATCTGCATGCAATCATCACGTCCATTATCTCAGCAGCAGCCATTGTGTGTGTATGTGTGAACCGTTTGATTGACAGGAGCCGTTTTGGACATTGATGGTTTGGCCCTGGCTGAAGTGCTGCACAAGTTAGGGGCGGGACGTACTAAAACGGGAGAGAAAATAGATCATAGCGTGGGAGCAGAGATCTTGGTTAAGATGGGACAGCAGGTACAGAAAGGTTAGTCTCAATCTATCTCAATTATTATGTATGGAACAAAAAACGAACATACTGCTTACTAAATAGCATAAAGACTACTATTAAAAATGGTATATGAAAAAGTATTTAATATGCAACAATAAACATTTAAAAATGTCACATGACGTTACCACATTGCATGTTTACTTCAGAAATGCTGTTATTTTTAACTGTAGTTCATTTACATTTTTAACTGGCAAAAGACTTTTGGCAATGTGTATTCACACCAGGAAAGTCCGATAGTTCACTTGCTTTGGTCCGGACCAAAACATTTTTTTTTTTTTTTTTTTGTACGGTTCGCTTTCACACTGCTCTTTTTGCAAGTGAACCAACATTTGTAAACAAAACCACACGTGTGATAAGGTCGTCCATTCATTGGACAAGGATTCTCAAGTAGGGAAATCAGGAAGTGCAAAAAAGGCTCAGCATGGAGATATTTCGTACTGCAATATTTATTATTTTACTAATTTTGTGTTATTCTGTACAAACGCAATATGAAGAAACTGCGCAGAAGACGGATAAGGTATAAAGTTTTCATTCATAGAGAGGGGCTATGTTCACACATTCAAATAATGAGATTCTTATTGTATATACTGCTAACAAGTGCTGTCAATGTTAACGCTTGCGATTAAGTTTGTCCAGTTTAACGCAGCGTCATCCTTGTATTGTAACTATCGTTACATTATATGAACTGCAAAAGCTTTTTTTGCATCTATGCGCGATTAGAAAGAGAACGCTCTGTATGTGAATGTCCTGATGCACACACTCATTCATTCATTCCATTCCAATGACGCACACACGACGCGCAGAAAGACGCGCAACAGTATCGTGTGGCCAGACAGCGCGCCGGAATGGAATTCTCTTTCGCACTTGAACAACAATAACACAAACCATTAATGCCAAAATCTCCCACTACGGAAGCTCAAAGCCGCAGTGCTTTCTTGCAATTGGGTCGGTTCATGTTCACACCGTAAACGAACCGTACCAGAGTTCGTTTGGAACCGTACCGAGACCACCTCTTCAGCTGGGTCTCGGTTCGGTTGTTTGGTCTGCACCCGAGTTCGATTGCTGTATTCACACCTGCCCAAAAGGTCCGCACCAAGGGGGGGAAACGAACTAGAGTTCGATTCAATCGAACCAAACAAGGCAGGTGTGAATACACAAGATTTATTTCAATTTTGCTCCTGGTTCATTTATCACACTGGAAATGGAAGGACAAATCGCAATGTGGGAACCATCACCCACGATGGTATGCTATGGTTGTATGTACTAAACATTTTCGCAAATGTGAAAAACATTTTATAGAACATTTGTATGCTGTGCACAGTATACTTGCAGCAAAACGTTGTACTGTAGTTGTACAGTATTTCAAACACAGCCTAAATCTCTGTAGTGTTTTTTAAGACAAATCTGTGTTGTTGATACCCTATTGATTCAATTGGCAGGTGAATCATGGATCAGGATTCATCACAATAGCCCAGCTGATCTGAGTGCACACCAGTATGTCCTGCAGAAAGCATTGGTCATTGGCAGCCTCAACAAATACAAGGCAGTGTCATGTGTGGCAGAATTCATCTGCCCAAACAATCCCAACAAATCTTAAAGCTTGTAAAGTATGTTTTACTCTGAATGTACTGATCCTTAGAAACAATATCCTTTACATGAAGTACTAGGGAGGTTTTACAAGAAGAGCATGACAGACAAAGAGAGACACTGACCTTTGAGCTCTGAATCTGGAAAATCTTTAAACATACTTGCTTACCAGTAGCTGAAATAATACTGTAGCCCAGGACTGCTCAATCCTGTCCTGGAGATCTGCCTTCCTACAAAGTTTAGATGTAGCTCTAATCCACCTAAACCAGATGATCACGGCCTTCAGACTGAACCTGTAGATTACAGGCAGGTGTGTTGGATCAGGAGCTGGAAGGTGGATCTCCTGGACCAGGATTGAGTACACTGGTACAGTAGATGACTGCTGCCACCACTGACTAGTAGATGAACTGCAGCATAACAGGCCACAAACATCTATGATGATCAGTAACTCACATGAACAAGCACCAATTTGTCTTTTCGGGCATTTGTTGGCGATTTCGGGGCTAAAACCACACAGCCTGTACCGTATTCTCAGAAAACAGGGTCTGCTCTCGTTCTTCTTGTAAGCATCCATGATGATACCCTAAGATATGTATCTGTCAGAAGGTAAAAGGAATCTGATTCCACTAATTCTGAATTCCAAGTGAATTCTATTTGGGTTTTTCAAAATGATTGTGCTGACTTTATTTTCACATTTTTTTGCACTTCAAACCACCCATAAAGCATAACCCTGGTGCTTCATTTATGTTTTTCTCTGTGTATTTAATCAGACCAACTAATAGCGAATGCGATTATCTTTTTCTTTGTAATAAAATGAGGTTGTATAGATGGTAAGATAAGGTGTTCTTTGCTGCCATATAGTGGTACAAATCATGTCCAACAGAACCCCTTATGTAATGTGCAGATTCTCTACATGCTTAAATAGCTGGTTTTTGATATCTGAAAACATATCTAGGCCATAGTTTATATATATATATATATATATATAGTGACAATACCTTTATATAAATAAAAACATTTTGACCCAAAAAATTGCTTCACTTTCTTTGGTGTGAAATATAACCTGGATATTTCTTTGAGAGATTCATATTTACGGTTTATATTTATGACAGTCTTGCTAAAGTTAAAATTTTGACAGGAATAGGGTACTTACATCAGTCTTCATTACCTTGTCTTTCCCCCTCCATCAGAAATAAAGAAATATTTAAATCAAATAATTTCCACTTTTTTTATTTCAACACACGTAAAAAAGGATATGCACTCAAGTCTATTTTCTTCAAGATTAAAAATGGCAAATAATATAGCTGCTTTTCGAAGCCTGCAGATTTCCTAGGGTAAGAGATGGGGAGTTTCATCTAAATGTGGATTTTTCTGTCCTTGTTTGGGAGGCATCAGTGCACCACAGAGTTCAGCGGTTCTGCTCTTATGTTTCCAAGGTCCAGCGCAGAATCTGTTTCTTCATCGATTTCACCAATTACAGCCCTTAAACAAATAAACATACAAGTCTGTTACTATTATGCCTTCAAAAATCAAATGAAGTCTTGCACTGTGTAAACAAGTATGAGAAATACTAGGAGCATAATACTTACACATTATCACCTCTGACAATATACAGTCCCAGAACCACCTGCTCCACTCCCTGGGAAGAGCTGAACACCCGCTCGTGGCTTTCATCCAGGATGAGGTTGATTGTCTGATCGAAACCCTTTAGCGTCCCCTAAGATCAAGACAATAAATGTCATAAGCAGGCTCCTTTATTAATGCACACATACAATGTTTACTTGAGAAAAACTCACCACAATCATCCTGCCATCTGATGTGACGATGGCAACTGTCCCTTGAAATATGTCAGTTCAGGCTTATAAAGACAGCAGTAAAGCTACAAATCACATATCTCTAACTAACACACACACACACACACACAACTACGTAGGCAGCTCACATATAAATATTAAATTAACGTATATAATGTAGTACACTGAACGAACAGAGTCAAATAGCATATTATACATGCTTATATAGCACATTTCTATTAATTATATAACCATCAGACATATTACATGCATGCTAGTATACATTGTACAAACACATAACCAGACGCAATTTATCCATGCATTATGCCTATACACTGTAATACAGTACTGTTATGTAGTAAATGCACACTAAAACGCGATGATGGCTTTATCACGTTCAATACATGCTAAATCGCTTGCTCGCGCGCCACATCTCGCGTCCATTGAAACATAAACATTAAAACATAAAAATGCCCACATTCAATGAGCTACAACACTGTCAATGTGCTTATCATGAAATGCTTCAAAGGATACGGTTAATGTAACTCTCGAGAGCGGTAGACATCTCTGTTGGTGCGTGTTTAAATCCACCTGGGCTCGAGTACAACTACAAGGAAACACATTCGTACAGCTGCGACCTGAGCCGGAAATGTAAACGGAGAGACTTGAGTAGCCGATGACCTATCAAGCTCAACAACAGGCAGTACTAGTCGAGTAGGAGCAATAGAACATGTGGTAATTTATGTAGTCCAGCAGATGGCGCAGGCTATAGGTTTCTTCCGGTTTCTTCTAACAAGTAGGGTCTATACGTATAATAGGGTTCAGAGCAACTTTTGAGATTAGAACCAGTTCTTGTTGAAAAGGCAAATTGTTTCAATGTCACAGTGGGGACCGATGGATGTACTGATGATGATGATGATGATGATGATGATGATGGCGATGGCACTAACACAAAAGTTTTGTTGCGGTATAATGGTACCTTGATGATATCAGATACTACTTTGATTCCTATTCAATTATTATGCTATTTACATGGAATTCCAATGTTCAATTATTATTTTATTATAATCAGGATAAGTCCAAACTAGTTACCATTATATATTTCCAAAATAGTCATGGCAATGGTTCCATGTCCAAAAGCCACAGTTCAAACCATGGTACTTCTTGCTACCTGTTTATTAGTAGATGAAACTGGTGAAACAACAAAAAAACAAACAAACCATTGATTGCACAATATAGCAAAAGGAAATAAGATAATCATTTTTTCACATTCTGAACCCTGTCAAAACCCCTAATTAAAACACAAAACACTGGGCACATGCAGGTGTAAAAGCACAACACAAGTGATTGTTAAAGTTAATCATTTATGTTGTTATGAGGAAGTGAACTTTAAGCCTGAGATGCATTACAAGGATCTCCAGGAAACCATTATGTTACCAGATGGTATGAAATACACATACTTGAACCACAGAAGAAAAATGGATGTATAACGTAAAAACTTCAGACAGTTTAGACTTTTACCATTCCAAATTGGACAAATAACAAGGAAAACTGGTTTAGCAATACAGGTAATTCAAACCTTTGAAAGTGAATTCCTGTGGCACTTAAGCAATTGACAGTATAGTTTTGATGTGTTATTCAGTATTTTGTTTTTAATTTCGTTGTGAAAGCTATTCTTCAAGGAATGTGGTCTTTTTGTAACTTATATTTGTGTTGTCTGTTTCCGAACAACCTCTTTTAGGTTTCATGTGAAGCTGTAACAGTTTGTTAAAGGCAACATGAAAGCAGACGACAAACTTCAGATCCTGAAATTCTTTCTAATGCTTGTCAATGCCTTCTTTGTGGTAAGATTAAATATAGGAACCATAGATCTGTATGTTATTGGCAAGGATTTTAGAGACATTTTATGTTTATTAGTTACAAAGAGCTTCCTGGACAGCAATCAGATATATGAATCATACAGTGGACATTGACATTCAGCCCATAATGTGATGTGCTCGTTTTCTTCCAGCAGTATATAAAGACATAGACTTCTGTATGAGGAACTTCCAATAAAACATCTAAATTCATGCATGACATGTACAAACAAGTAACAGATTAAATAATCTCGACAGATTCTTGGCATCAGCATTTTTGCGTGTTCTGCTTGGATTTTGTTTGACACAGACACCTTTGTAATTGTTCTCAGCTCCGGTAAGTTTTCTTGTTTGTGATAGTCTGTCATTATGTTTCAACTCAAAATATGAGTTATCTTACACAATACATGTTTATTGCAAATTGCACCACAGTACCTATAATAATGTTTTAGGGCAAGATGTTGTCTCTCATTAAAAAAGAGTCTATATCATCCATAGCCAATTTAGAGTGAGCGTTTGTCCTTATATCTGATTTTGTGGTGTTAATGAAGCGAAACGTGCGGTCTCTCAGAACAGCACGTAAAGGTGGTGGCTGGGGGGCTCTTTTTCATCGGACTTGCTGTGGTTGGTGTGTCTTTGCTGGGTTGTGCCGGTGCCTATTTTGAGAGCAGATGTTCCATCATATTTGTAAGCATGACTGTACATTCATGCACAGTACACAGAGACACTGATAATAACTTTAACGCTGTTATAAAAGCTTGCTATTAACATTTAATCTTTTCTGTTTTTTTTTCAGTATCTGTGCTTCTTAATCGTCATCATACTGGGTCAGATTTTCATCACCTTAGTGCTATTAATACAAAAGCAGAGGGCAAGTCTTTGCTTTATTAATATACGGAAAATCAACGCTGACTTCAAATTCACTTGAGACATTCGCTAAGAAGTAACTGCTTGATATAACGATTAAACAAATTGTCTAACCTAACGCATATGTCGAATGTTACCAGATTGGGCAATATTTGAGGGACAATGTGGACGACATCATTAGGCAGTATGGAGGAAATGAAACCCAAACGTCCTGGAAACTTCTAGACAGTGTGCAGACTGCTGTACGCGCATGATTTACACCTTTACTGATCAGGAATGCAACAGTCTTTTCTGACAATCTGCAAGGTGGTTTGACAGAGGTACTTTTTTCTTTTATCTTTGCTGTAGGCAAAATGCTGTGGTAGACTGACCTCAAATGAATGGAGGAATAACACGGTTATTGAATCCCTGGAAGAGGCTGACATCTACCCGTGCTCCTGTTTCAATGGTACCTGCCCAATTCTGGATGGAACACACAGCTTTGGAAACGGTTCAGACATCTATGAAACGGTAACATGTGTTGCCTTTTCCCATCATCCCAACCTTTACTTCATCTTTTCCCTGTTGATTTAATTTGCACACTAAAACCGTTTTTTTTTTTTTTTTTTTGGTGATAGGGCTGTGAGAAGGTTCTTGTGGACTGGCTAGAGATGAATATAACCTTAATACTTGGAATGGAGGTTGGCCTTCTTTTGATTCAGGTAAAGAGAGAGCAAATAACTAAATGATTTTTCACACAACATGTAACCAGTTAAAATAGTATTCTGGGTTAAGTACAAATTGACATCTTGGACTTATACAGCTATTTTTTCTCTTGTAAGTAACACAAAAAAATAATAATAATTGACGGTTACAGCAAAAATAAAATAAAAAATAAATATAACTGTTGTACTTTATATTTCTCCCTGGTAAGTGCATAATGCAATGCACTTTTAGTGATTGAGTTTAAATTGTATTTAACCTGGAATATTTTTAAACTGCTTTAAACTGAAATTTTGGTAGCACTTTACCATAAGATCCCATTAGTTTAATGTTAATGTATTAAATATCTAGTTCAGTCTTGAAACTCTAGAGAGCGCAGGCTGATTGGTCTTTACATGCAATCTACAAGCAATTGCATCATTGATCCTGCAGCCAATGAGATTGTCAATGACCAAATGAGACATTTAAATATCAGTGTTTGCTGTAAGCTAGTCCTGCAGTGCGCTATCAGAGCTCCTCTGAACCCTCCACCTCCCCCAGCTCCACCTGCCTAGATCTGCTATGGGATTTATGGATGTAATAGATACACAGAGACGATGCTAATGCTATGAGCATGCAAATTATGTGTATATCAATCTGTGTATCTATTAGCAATAGCAGGGGAGGATTTAGTGATTTAGAGGCCCCAGGCAAAATATAGGAATGGCCCGCCCTATATATTTGCACACATTTACCTGGATCAACCTTGAGGTTTCTTTCTCTGTTGTGATGCTTGCTGCTGCACAACGATGTCCCATAGTTGTTTCCAATTTTTCATGTACATATTATGATGTAATTAAATATAAATCTGGGTTATTGTGGTACATACAAGCTCTACGAAATCTTACATTTGAATGGAGAAATTGAATCCTCCATATAATGATTTATGTGCTTGGATTATTTCTAATGATTAAACAATAGATCAAAACAAGACATGGTTTGAAGTAGGCTACTGATTATTGATGTCCATCCGTCTTCCATGCCACTTATACTATATAGGATGTGGCAGTGCTGATGATTACTGAGGTACAGCAGGGTGAATTGAATTATATCAGAGTAAAGAGGTTAGGGGAACTTTGTTCCGAGAACTTAATGTGAACATTCTGAGAATGTACAAACGTTCTCCAAACCAACAGGAAACATTCTATTTATGTAAAGAAAACTTTCCTGGCTAACCAACAGAGAACGTTAGTATATCTATTCTGGGGATGTTCTGGGAACCAAATGTTGTTAGCTGGGATGTTAACTTATGTAGTTAATTAATGTGTTAGAAATAGAACCTTTTTGTAAAGTCTTACCAGTATTTTAATATAGAAAAACGTTCACAAATCTAATGCATTTGGATCGTTTTGTCTCATAATGCTCAGATTCTTCAGTTTATCTTTGGCGTCCAAACCTACAAATGCATTGGCCGCAAAACGAGGGAACTGCATCCCAATAATCTGCTGAACGCCATGGAGGAGAACCCTGCAGCAGAGCCTGAACACCAGCAGTACAGTGCAGAAAACCACCAGTTTGAAATTCAAACCCCTAACCCTCAAATGGACAGTGGGAAATATGCTGATGAGAATAATGATCAATATAACAATCCTGTATTTTACGAACAGGGCAACAGTCAAATGTACAATACTCGCCCTCATAATTTGCAACACCAACAGAGCTATAATGGCAGTTATGATCAGGGGTATATGCATCACCAGAACAACCATCAGAGCTACAATCATGATGATTATTAAAGTCAGATTTCTTCTCTGGAGTAATGTGATCAGATTGGGATGGGCTAATTTGCGGTTTTAAAAATAACATGCTGTACAAAGACCAAGCTGCGGTTTATGTCTGACCAAAGACACTTAAAACCTTCTCGTAAGACCATTGTTTTCTTTCACTAAGTTCAGGTTTGTGCCTGTTCCCAGGGGTATCATTTGTCATTTTAAAGACAACCAGCATCGCCTTCTCCAAAAAATTCATTCCAGACCTCTCAGGTCAAAAGCTTTTTAACAGCAACTCAACATATGTCTGTAGAAGTCTGTTTTGGGTTCGATGACAGACAATTTACTCGTTTTTTAAAAGATTTTATCTTAAGCTTCCATTTTATTTGAATGCCCCATGACAAGTTTACAGGTATTGCATAACTGTAGAAGTGTAATTATATAAAAATACTGACCTGAAATCATAACCGATACAATATGAGACAATCCACACAATACAACTTGCAAGAATATTATTATTCAATTTTACAACACTGTTATATGGCGAAAATATTAATGAATATAAAATAAAAAATCGTTACTCTTTTTAAATAAAGAATAAAAAATCTACCTGTTTTCTACTTTTACAATTAAAAATAAACATGTTTTATATTCAACAGCTATATTTACATTCTTTTGATTATTAATAATCAATAGAGAACAAAAAAACTGTATTTAAAATGCGCGTAAACCATTAGTCATCCTTTGCTTTTCGTGCCACGGAGATTCCTCAGTGACATTCAGATGATTCAAGGGGTTGTTTAGTAAATCATTGCACACTTCAGACCTGCTTTATGAGTCAAGACTTGATGTTAATGACACTGGGGGCCGTTCAGTGTGTGAATGTATCTGTGTGTGTGTGTCGGAAGCTGAGTCGGCGAGTCAAGAGTGGGCTTTGACTGAAGTTTGATGGACGACACTCACTATAGACCATAAAGAGCGGCGTTTCTGTCCGCATGAGAGGACCCTTTGTTACAGTCGCTCTGCGGTTGATGATAGCCAGGCTGACATTATCGACCTCATGCGGTTATGAGTTGGCAGTCATGCTTTACGACAACAGTTGACAGCGCACGCATTGATGGAGAAAAAAGAGAAAGTTACATGGAGAGGAGCTTGAGATTTCCACTGCCAGTACCTGATTCCACTCTGGAAGAATGACAGAGTGATGCACAATGAGTCAAAGGGGGATTCTCAGGACTATCTGGGATACATGAAAAAAAACAAAAAACTATTCGAAAATAGCATAAAAGGGTTGTTTTAGGTCATATTTTAAAGAAATAGTTTATCTAAAAACAAAAACTGTCATTTATGCATACTCACGTTTTGTGGAGCACAAAATGAGATGTTTTGAAGAATGTTCATGCTGCACTTATATTGTAACAAAAATAACAAAGAAAGCACCTAATATTTTTCTAAATGTAGTCCACATGACTCATGGACAATATTCTGGAGCCAAATGGCAGCTTTGTGCACAATAAACCGAAATTTAAAGGGGCTATATGTAAGAATTTTTATATATTAAATCACTTATTTATTGCCAATGTGTGAACATCTTGTAACGGAACTTCACCTTCTAAACGAAGAACGAAAAATAACTTCGCTGTGAGTATATCAGGGCCTTGAATCATGTTCAGTCTCTTGTATATTACTGCAGTTCACTTAATGCCCATCAGTGTCGCTAAAAGGGTTTCTGAATTCTACATATAGCCCATTTACAGAGGTTTCTCACAAATCTCATTGCACTTCAAAATCCCTTTAAAAAATGTATTTGGACTCTTAAGTCGCATATAATGTATGAGTTCAATTGCATTAGATACAAAGTATCAAACCAAGGGGTATCAACAAACCCAAGTTCAAAAAAGCAAACCCAATTTTTGCACAAATTTCACTTAATTTTACAATGTCTTTTAACTAACTGGTGTTTTATGAAGTCAGTTCACAAAGGTGTCTTAGAACAGGTGTAGTTCACATTAACAATGAGCATGTTCATTAGACAGAACATTCGTCAAAACCTCTCCTTTTGTGTTCTATGGAAGAAGGTTAGTCATACGATATCATGGTGAGTGAACGATTTTCAATTTTGGGTGAACTACCCCTTTAAAATCAGAAAAAAAATCTATTCTAATCTACTTAGTTGGCCTTAATCTCTTGACATGAATATTATTTAGCTACAGTGAGAAGAAAAACAGACACCGGAAGAGAGTGAGCGAGAGATTCTATAGCAAGTGGGATTAAATTATGGGATATGAGTCATGTTGATGTTACATCTTCATCATGTGAGCTCTTTTCTCATGCTCTCTGGGTTTCCCCATATTGTCTCGAAAACAATCAGCTCTTGTTGAGCCGCAAGAGCGTGTGAGCATGTGTACATGGCCAAGCTAGTTAATACAACGCAATCGGACCGATGACCTGGCTTACAGACCCTCTCAAGAGGGACAGAGACGTTGGATTCTTCCAGCTGGAGTGTGTTTGTGTGAGAGAGACAGAGTTTGGACATGTGAAAGCCAAAGTGGATGAAACGAGGGTGCGATGTCTGATACCTCCCTCTACAGAAGGACCGGATCTTGTGAGGATCCAGCGTTCACAGACACGCATCAAGGGCTTAAAGATCCCCTCCATCAGTATCAGCAAATAAATGAGTAGTAAAACGCCAAAAATCTTAGCACTGTTGTCCACGCTCTAAATCAAACGTGTTTCTAGACAAGCCCATGCTCTGTTCCAGAGACGTTTTCTGGTGAAACATTAACCACCGTCCTCATGCAATGGGGCGCTGGCACAAAAAAGCCATTTATCCTCTGCAGGACCAGTAGCGTTCCTCAAAACCAACGAGCTGCCGCGGGCATTGCAGCCGACCAGCCAACGGGCCCATCAAAGAGAGACACTTCCTGTCGGATGAAATCATAAAGGTTTTTCCATGGCCGTTTTTAGGATGGCATCCCGGATTCTCATTGGTTGGTTAATGGACCCGGCCGACACAAGTTGCGATTTGTCTCTTCAGCCTAATGTTTTTTGTGGTGAGCAGGTACAGGTAAATCTAAAAACATCTGATGCACTCCTCCTGTCACCGCCAAAATATTCCCTTCATTGTCATCTTCATTAATCCGGTTATTTCGACCACAAAAATACTGCTGTTTCCATTGGTTTCCCTCATGCATTTTTGATTAAACCTCTGTGTCTGCACACCCTAAAGAATCCAGCCACGCCCTGTGAGGATGCCACATGGTGATGGAAAAATAGGCTTTGTTAGGTCTTGTTTACTAACTGGTAAAAAGACAAAGACTTGTTGCAACTAACAGACTGCTACCTGTCCTGTTGATTAGTGGAGCTGGAACCAGAATCCCCTCGCGCAGCTCCGCCGTGGGGCTCGGTTCTGCTTTCTTCAGCTCCGTCCTGGGGCTCAGGCAAACTGAGAGCAACTTCATGCATTCTTTGTGCACAACAGCCTCCTCTTCTGAATACCTGCAGATTGAGATAACTTTGTATTTTCTATCATAATTGATCTTAGTGAGACATGCAAGACACGGGTGTTCTCGAAGCATGTCAATGCAAAAATGCCAAAAATGTCATTGAACGCCTTCAGGGCTTCCTCACTATCGTGACGCAGGGAAAAGCTACTTCTGCTGGTAAACATGGTTATATATTGTGTAATATATAAGGGTACTAACTTACCATCCTGACAGAGAGAACAAGAAGCGCCATGCAGGGGATGATGAGCACCGCCAAGAGCCCGTGAATCGCTCCGTTCATACCGTTCTGCTGTCTGCTTTTGCCTGCCAGAACATAAGACCAAATTCCCTTTTTAGTTCTTACGTGTACACTACTACACTATATAGAAAGAAGTATGTGGACATATGAACACCACACCCATTTGTGTTTGCTGAGCATTTAATTTTAAAAGCATTGGCAATAATAAGGATCCTCATTATCCTCCCTAGCGTCTTCCATTGTTCTGAGAAGGCTTTCTTTATGTTGGGACATTTGCTTCCATTCAAACACAAGAGCATCAGTGAGCCAGTGTTAATCTCCTCAATGAAATTACTGATGAAAATGGTAGTTAAACTTGTATTATGTTCGAATTTTGGGTAAGGTTTTTGCGGTTTAAATGGACCCTAATTGGATTCAGGTAGAAATCAGGTAAAAACAGTAAACCTTTAATATTAATACTTCTCACACATTACAACAAAAACAAATGATATATATAAAAACAAAAATGGACCATTTTTGAAATATGAATATTATAACCAGTATTGTAACATTTTTTTTTTAATTTAAATTGTAAAATTTAGTTTAAAAAAAAAGGTTTAAATGGTTTTGTTTTATTTTTGTGTGCTTTCCTGGAGCTCAAACAGAAGAGCATGGCGCTAGCAACGCCAAAATCATGCATTCGAAATAGTTGAACTGATAAAAATGTACGCCTTCAACGCAGTTTACATTTCTTTGGGATAAAAGTGTCTGACAAATGCATAAATGTAAATTTAAATACTCAGGATAGTTGAGAAACTGACATTAAAATGACATACATTTTTTTTTTTTTTTTTTTTTTTTTTTGGGGGGTGTGTGCAGATACGGTTAACCATAAAATTGCGAGTATTGACCCGTGAACATCAAAATTTTCAGAAATTTTGTACACACATTCCACAACACCTGAAAAGTGTCAAAATTTTGCAGGCATGCTCATGACCCTAAATGAGAAACTGTGACAAAATGTAAAAAATATATATATATATCCTTGTTTTTTTTCCATCCAAACTCATTTGACACAACATATTTAAAGTAGCCCCTGAGATCTTAAGTTAATATTTCAATAATTTAATAACATATTCCCGTGTTCACAGTTCTCTGATGTCAGCTGATGGTCACATGAGGTAAACAAATAAAATAATGAAATTTTGTTATAAATGCTTTCATTTTAAAATTATGTATTTATTTTAATTTTATATTAAGTGTCATTTTTTTTAATCAAATCACAAACTCCCTGCAGTTCCCTCACAAACCCCAAGACCTTTAGAAACTAAGTATTGTAATTTTAGCAGCATTTATCCATTTAATCAGCACAAGCTGAAACTAATGATTATTGGTAAAATGAAACGCATCTTGTACATATGAGATCTTTCCACAACAATGCACTAAAACACAGACAATGAATAAAAAAGCATAAATAATTCATAATACTGTATTACAGTATTTTAGGAGCTCACGTTCTCACAACAAGGACAGAATACATATTGTATTAAAATGTTTTAATATTTAATCAAGCACTTTCTGTCAACTAAAACTCAACATTATATTGAGAATACTATTTTTTACATTTACATTTTTTTAAAGAACAAGACAAAAGTCTAAGTTAAAAACAGGTCTGGGCTTTGTAGAGGCCTGTCAAGTTCCACCACACCAGACTCAGTAAATCATATCTTTATGGAGCTCAAGGACGTTCTCATACGGGACCCTCCGAAAAAAGCTTTCACACAATTCTCGAGAATGCTTGGTTAACGCTACACTCCTGCTTTACAAACAGCAAGACTACTGATTTACCTGCTATAGTGTGTGTTTTGCACACATATGCTCAAATTTTGCATGCATGTACTCAAGTTTGAACAAACTCATGATGGAATCTGCCTCCTTGGAACCCTGAAAAACATCAACAGTTTTCCACAGAATTGGACATTTTACATACCGGTATCCGCTGCTTTAATATCTTTGCATCAATTCTGCAGAATTACATCCATTCTGCAGATATTTCGCCTCCAAAAACCTCAGATTCCATCTAGGCCTGCTCATGCATCATATACATAACAAAACAATATTATGTGCATTCACCTGGTGTGAAAGGAGGGGCTGCGGGGGTCTGGCAGGGGGGAGGTGTGCAGTGACGAAACTCGCCGAGAGTGGACCCGGCCACTGCAAGAACCTCTTTAACATGGTTGAAGTAACGTCTAGATGGCCACTTTACCCTTTTGTAGTGACATTCGAATGTTTGCATCGTCAGCTCCTGAAGACAAACAAACCAGAGTGAGCCGACAGCCATGACAGCGTTTCAAAGAATACCAATGTAAATGAGAAGGAATTACCAGCTCCTCTCCCTCCAGAGTGAAACGGAAACCCTGCAGCATTGTTATAAAAATAGTGATGTTGGCTTTATTGGTGGACAGGTTGCCAAACTTGAGGGCCAATGTTTTTAAACTGCTTTCAACTTTATACAGGTTTACATATAGCCAGCAAGCTCCACCCTTAAATATCAGAAAAGAAAAATATTTAGGCGTCACTCCTGGAACCGTCACAAACCACAACCACTCTGTCCCCATGTGAAACATAATGTTTTATCTGCTGATGGCCTCAAAATTAATTTGGACACTTGTACGAAATATCAAAATTTTCAAACCAGGGGCTATTTTGTTCAAAGAAACATGCATGATTGCATTTTCAAGACATTTCCAGATAAAAAGTTTGTTAGGTTTACATGATGAAACAGATCCATTGAATTTTTTTATGAATACCAAAAATGTTTGTTGAGAGGAAAGCTTTGCCTCATTTGTTTGCCATGTGGTCTGATATTTTATCCTCTAATGCAATTAAATTCATACATTAAGTGCAGCTCAATCGTCCAAATGTGATTTTGGGCCACCGTAGATGCATCCGTATTATCAAATAGTATCATGTATCACACTAACCACATCCTTGGTGATGAAGTCGATAGGGATTCTGTAGTCACTGGGAATGTTCTCACTCTGATGGGTTGAAAAACAAGAATTGGTTGGCTGTATAAAATGTACTATTTCAATTGGGAAAAAAAGAAGAAGAAAAAAGAAAGAAAAAAAGTCCTGAATTGTGTAGAAAATTTGTTCATAATCGGCCTAAAATGGTTTGTTGATCTTAGTCTCCAAGCAGGCTAAGCTGGTCTTCAACTGGTCCTTCAGCGTGACCAGACGAGAAACAGCTCAAAATCCCTCTAAAACCAGCCTGAGTGACCAGTAAACCAACCAGCCTGAATAAAAACTCTGTTGCAGATCTTACCAATGTTTCCAACGTGGCCACATCATCAGTTAAAGGGCTTCCAAAAACACCTGAGCACGCCACAAGCCCAGAAAAAAGCAACACTAATACACAAATGCTTTCTCCGATCTGTAACGAAAAAGTCTCAATGTAGTTACAGTATTAGAGACAGTAATAACGCCTATCCAGTCTGAACATGATCACAGGATCGTGTTCTTAATCATAATCATTTTACAAGACAACCTCAATAAAGTAATGAAAAGTAATCAACGATTGCATAGAAAGTGAGTTGGTTACGCTGTGTGCGTGCGCGTCCCCAAAAGTGCGTGTACTCACCTTAATCTCCCTCATGTGGAACATGGGATTATTAAAAACAAATCAGCCGTACGTTTCCTTACTTTCTTCGCTTTCCCTGACAGCGGAATGCAGGCATGTTTCCGCCTGCTCATCTGAATGGAGATAATCACAGGACGGGAAGGGATCAGTGGTTGTGGCGTGCCTTTTTCCTACGGTCCCGATGGAGAGCATGGCGTGTTGAGCGCGCGACGCCTGTGCGTAATTTCGCCCTGAAGCGCTTCTGTGAATTGAATGGGGGCGGATGGACTTGTCCTCTGTGTTTAAGAGGTAGGGCGCTTTGACTCACTTTTATGTGTAAAATAGAGAAAAACTATTCAAAGGAGGTTCCGTGACTCATCCAGACCTCAATCACAAGTGACATGGGAGTTTGTTGTGTGCCCTTCTTAAAAAAAATAAACGAAAAAAAGCTGTTTAAACCATCCTAAGAAGGTAAACCATCATCCAAAGCTAAAACCAACTACACCAAATAATAAGAACCCCAATGCCTTTACAATGCCTTTACAACCAGCCTAACAAGCTGAGAAGTGGCCAAAAACTCCTCCTAAAACCAACGTGACCAGATGAAAAGTGCCTCAAACGCCTTAAAACTAACCTGAACAGCCTGAAAACCAGTCAACATAACAGACTAACCAACTGAAAAGTACCCAAATCCCCTCTAAAATCAGGCTGACAAGCTGAAAGTACCCAAAAACCCTGACCAGGTTAGCAGAGCAGCTCAGACTATAAAGATAAGACGTTCACACATAATATATGGCTAAACTTAAATGGTTTGCTGGTGTATCTGCCTGAGCACTTGGTTTTAATGTGGTTTCGAGCACTTTCCAGCAAGGTCATTCTGCGAGACCAACTCAAGACAACTTAAACCAGCTAAGACGGGTTTCAATTTTCTCTTTTTTCTTTTAAACACAGTAATAACAGTATGCAATTACAAGATGATCCACAAAATTATTGCACCATTACATGTAATCCATCATTATTATTAAATAATGACCAGTGTAAACAAAGAAATACACGGTAATATGAACCCTAAAAGGAGGTTTATAATTAATAAACACTTATTATATACACATATTTGTGTATTAATATTTATAAATGATTCATTAAATAATTGTTTAATAATAGAATTCAAATCATTGTTCAAATAAAAAGTTTCTATGTTAACTTGAAGGCATTAGATATTTGTTCAACATACTCAAACTTTTCTATTCCTACTAAATGCAATCTGCATACTGTAAATCTTGCTAAATTATAATGAAACATTTGGCCTCAGTGTTAAATAATTATATATGACCCATTTTAACATTTAAAATCCTGCCTCGGTTGTATATTCTTAGTTTTTGAAGTAAATGTCACTCCATAAACCCTAAACCATAAACCCAAGTGTGCAGTGATGATGTGTACACTGCCATCTAGTGCTGACTGACAACTGGTTTGCAATTTTTAACTATGAAATGTATGATTGACAGGTGGATTAAGTTTTGACAGAACTGGTACATCCTTTACTTGAGAAACAATATAAGGTGAAGTTTAAAATTAAATATCTCATCCAAGAAACATTCCACCCATGTCCTTATAAAGAGGCACCTTTTCAACATTACATTAAGGTGAAATACATTTTTTGGATGTTGATTTTAGTAGCTGAACAAATATTAAAGATTAGAAAGACAACTAAAGAACAATATTTATTAACAACCATTTAATGAGTTACATAGCATGAAAAAGTTGCATTGTGCTTTTGTTGTAATCTTTGGGACGTCCACGGTGTATAAAGAAGGGCGTAGGTGACGGCTTAAAAATGGACTTGGTTTATGTTCAAAGCCAATTACACCAAGTACCATGCATACTGTGCATTTGACATTTGAGTGGTTTTGACACAAAGAGATAAAATGGTGTAGTGGTAAACACAAATCTGAGGTGTGTGACAGGAAGGAAATCAAAAGACTCAAAAAAAAAAAAAAAAAAAAAAAAAAAAAAAAAAAGTACACCTGAGAAAGATTCATTTGTCATTGCATCTGGCCAAACAAAGGCACAAAGTGACAGCAAGAGCTCATTTCCTCTTCCGGGGGCTCTTTTCTGAATCCACCTTTCTTTCTTCAGAGTCCTTTTTGCCGCCCCGGGTGGACAGAGAAGCCGCGTGGCTTTTCTCCGCGGTCTCAGAGGGCTCTTTGGCTTTCTTAGTTTTGTGATCAGCTGAAGCTGGTCTGGGTTTTTTGCCTCCTGAAGCCCAGGAAAAGACGGCTTTGACGAGGAAAATGCCGACCAAAGTAGCTAACAGTGTTGAAAGCACCAGGGACCCCGAGAGGCCTTTGACGTGGCCCCGAATCTGGCTCAGGATTTGGCATACAGGTGTGTCTGAGCTGGGCTGATTTGGGAATTTCTCCTGCACGCAAACAAACATGTTTCAGTGTTCATTTGTAGTCAAAGTGAAATCACAACTTAATCTATTTGCTTTCCCAATGCATATTACTGTGAAAGATTCATGTTTGTCTTCTACTTCACCTTTAGTCCAGACTCATCTAGCAGTTTCTCAAGCGTCAGATCATCAAGGGTCACAATGGGAAAAAACTCCTCGTTGTACTTCCGCCTCCACCAAGCCTGCAGATGGGTCCTTCCAAAACAACAAACACAAGTACAGTAAACCTGAGAGCGGATTCAGGCTGGTATGCGGCTTTATAAATGTTCATTATTATTATTTCTATTTCTCCCCAGACAGTTCTCTGCAGACAGACAGTTAAATTATTCTCTCCATTTACAAAAAATATTTTCACAAAATCTAGCACTAATCTGAAACCACAATATAATTATGCGCAATATCCTAATGTGAATGGGTGTTGAATAGAAAGGAATGGAGCTCACTTGTCTTTGGCAGGGTCTGTGAAGTGGTAGTTGTAAAGCTTGGCTTTGACTAGGGCTGGTGGTTTCTGACTGAAGGGGTACTGCGCTTCATCCACCTGAAGTAGACTAACCACTACAGGAAGGAAAAACAGGTTAACAACTCAAATAAGTCTCAAATGTAGGCTGATAAGTAGTGACCCCTGCTATGGTCGCTCACCCTCTGGTTTGCCCTGTAGGAGGCGCTGTACGAGGCCTGTAAACCAGGGGCTTTGATCGCTCCCCTCTTGAGCCGCCTGCCACATCAGACACTCCAGCCGGGGCTGGTAAGGTCCTACTATGGGTGGGGCGGTGTTCACATTTCCTGGTTTATACATGGGGTTCATCTCCTGCAACAGGATAAGAATACAGTCCACTGAGGATAAACTTTAACCTTTCCGTTGAATGAATACTTCATGGAAACAATGGCTGCCTGGGTCATTACTCAGAGAGTAAAAAAGATTTGGATTGTTGTTGAATGGCATCCTTCCCCATTGTCTTTCTCACCGTCCATGTCAGGCCATCATAGCTTCCCTCTAAAATGATCTCAGGCCTGCCCTCAGTGGAGATTATTCTGTGCTGGATCCCGTATGCCCCGACCAGCTGGAACCTCTCTACGGCGCTGTACGCGTCCCGCACTTCAGATATCACTGGTATGCCAGTCATGGCTGTGTATGGAACCTGAGAGGAAACATCAACACAAATGTACTTACTTACAAAGGCAGGTAAAAAAAAAAAAAAAAAAAAAAAAAAAAAAAAAAAAGTTAAATTTTTACACCAGTTCAGTGTATAACAGCACTTCTCAATCCCCCCCATTGTCAAAGACAATAATTGAAGGCCACCCAAGATTTCTGTTGTAAAGGAAAAACTTGCTCATTTTCAAACCTTGTTATTTACAGAAACTTGCAGTGGCTATGTATAAATCAATTTAAAATAAACACTTAAATGTTGTTTAAAAAAAAAATTCTATTTACATCAATATTTAATTAAAATAATTTAAACCCATAAATTACAGAAGCAGTTCAATAACTGAATGTTTATTTACATGATTAATAATGACTCGCGTCATTTGTGATTTTTTTAAGAATTTTTTACTCACAAATAGTCATTTCTCAGCAATTTCTACCTGATAAAATATTTTTAAAATGTATATTTGTTATAGAAATGTCCTATATCTTTATCTTATTTTAAAGCATATTTTAAATAATTTTATGCCATCTTGAGGCCCCCTTGGAACTGTACAGAGGCCCTAGCAGGCCCCGCCCCTGGTTAAGAATCACTGATCTATAAAGATCATGTTTTATGGTTATGGACAGCAGAGGGCAGTGTATTGCTTGTGTGTAATAAAACTGGAGCAATTAAAAGGAAACAAAAACGATATATACTTTGTTATGACAATAATATAGGTTTTTCTTTACAGGAAATGCAAACAAATTAACAAATACAAAGTCACTAGTTCAACTATGTAGCATTTGAGATTTAGAACAGTTAAGCATAGCATTTTCAATATGACTGTATGAGACGCAAAGCCTCCTAAATCACACATCAGTTGTTAGGTTGCATATGTAGGACATGTAGCTCACCACACTGAGGGCAAAGACGGCCACAGCAGCCGCCGTGATGACGGCCCACTGGATGAGGGACCACACCTTGCTGACCAAGCCTCGTGTGCACACACACCTGACAAAGGAAACAGATGCAAGATTTCTTGGCATGCCTCCTGTAACAATGGACTTTGGCAAAATCACAAGCTGAAATTCTGAATCTTTACTTTTTGTTCAAACACACACACACACGTTGGGTTTCCATGTTTTATGGGGACTTTCCATAGACAATGATTTTTATACAGTACAAACTGTATTATTCGGTCCCCTAAACCTACCCATCTCAGAAAACCTGAATTTCTTTTAGTACGATTTATTAACTGTTTTCCCTCATGTCGACCAAAAACGTCCACACGAGGCCAAAGATTTCTGCCATTGCCATCACTGGCATTCATTTTGTCCCCACAATGTATGGTTTACCAGGACCACACACACACAAAAAATAATCAGATTCTCATAAGCATTCCTGATGGGGCTTACATTAGCATGGCGGCCACCGCTTCCCAGGTGAACGACAGCACACCAACCCAGAGAGTGAAGCCCTGAAAATGCTTCAGAAATTCATCAAATTCCTTTTGAGAGAAATCTGAAAGAAAGCACCAATGAACAGATCAACAAATAATTCAATTAACTGATGCATCTGTTGGTGATATTTTGCCTTGTTGACATAGCAGAATAAGTTTCATATCACAAAACATTCTTGAAAAACAACAAATCAGTTCATGGCAAGGCAGGTTAATGGGTGATTCTCACAAAATGTGCCAAAACATGTCTGGCTCATATTTCACCCCACTATCAAAAGAAAAACTATAATCTGGTATACAGAAAATTATTGTATTGCTATTTTTTTTTTAGCACTGTAGCATTTTCGTGGAACAAAAACCTTTGGCACACCACAGTTCCATAAATAAAGAAAATACATATTTTTTTGCATGTTCTCACTAAAGTAATACAAAATAAATAAAATAAAAAATAAAGTTTTTTTCCCTCCACATGAAAATGTCAATGAAAACAGTTTATTAATGAAAATTTTACTACATTCGCTTCTGATTTTGGAGTAAATTTATCAAACCTCAACATATCTCCATGAGATTCGTCCTAACATTTTACAAAACAATGCAATTCTAAGTTTGTATTCACATATTTATAAATCTGTTACCAAACTAAAAGCAAGCATCAGATACATTTTTGCAAATCAGTTTTATATATTCCCACTTGAAGACTCACTGGTTTTGGATGACAGGGTTTTGTTTTCCCAGTTAATCTGCAGCTTGAAGAGAATAACTGTACTGATCAGGATGAACATGTAGACGGCCAACTCCACCAGCACAGACAAAACACAGAGAAAAGTCTGTGCGCAGGCTGAAAAGCACAGGCATACACTCAAATTAAAGCTCATAAGCGTGTTGGGATCTTCACACATTGAACACTAGTTTGATACTGGCAGAACAAAAAGACTTCATTAACATCTCCTTCGATGCATTTTTACTGAGATTGCATTAACCCTTTCACACGTAAGTTTAAAATATTCTAACTGACCCCCCAGCGTGAGTTTTTCAAGACGACCGTTATTTAGAACCTGTCACTTTAATGTTTCCATGGTGACGCGTCATTTCTTGTCACGTGACACAGCGCAATCACAACACAGAGCTGAATGAGTGATGATCTGCTTTTATGTCTTTTTTCCATTTCTATTCAAAATATTCACAAATGTATTAGCTACAGCATGAAACACTGATATTCCGATTGTCAAATATGTGCAAGTGGATGTGTTTTGTTGTTTAAACATATTTATAACGATCGCGTTAGTTGAGCTGTATGCACGATGGGCGGCGCCATGTTAGTTTGTTTCACAGTTCAGAGAATCGGACCTGTTGTTTCTCACGAAATACATGAAAGTAAGTGGCCGGTGAACTAGGAGAAGAATAGGGTAAAATGTAAAGCTACTTACACAATGTGTATCTGATATGAATAAAACGTTTTGTCTTATTATAAGGGAAATGATTATTGTTGCCGTTTCCATAGACATCAGTGTCTATTTTACTAATTCAAAATCACTGTTTTGCTAGTACTTATGTGTATTTAAATGTCTGAAACCTAAAATAAACATTATGTGGTTTAAAATACTCAATAGTTGTGATATATGACAGCACTGAGTGCGTCTGTCTCTGGCTCAGCGCCAGCCAACGCGCGAAAGCACGTTTGAATTTAGCAGTTGATCACGTGATGCACTGACCGTTCTAATCACACCGGTGTGATCGTACGCTCCAGGGACCAGCCAAGACTGATCACACCGGTGTGATCGTACGCGTCAAAGGGTTAATGAGCCCCATGATCCGACCATTAGTGCAAATTCTGCTACTACCCCACCAGATATGACTGCACAAAACAGAAGTTAGAGATATGAGCTCCTCATACCCTTGGACTTTTTCTCCTGGCCCTTCTTCTTCAGAATAGCACTGGAGCTGAAGTGTTCGTCATCCAGCAACGAGACGCTCAGGGCGATGCTCAGCAGGTTCAGAAGGCCACAGTTACCAGTGAGGATGTGGCAGAGCTGAAGAAACAGCTGACAAAAAGGTATAAAAAGAGGTATAAGTGGAAAAAAGACTTGCAGTAGCCCACACACAATATTAGATGTTGATATATATATATATATATATATAAATAAAACAAACCTGAACATAAAAGCTGAACAGTCTCAAGCGGCGAATGGGAGCAAAGAACATCATAAGAGGAATGGTGATCTCGCACTGCAACACAGCCACTGCTCCTAATCTCAGCAGCCAATCAGGGAGCTGATGGACGAACCAGGCCAAAGGAGTGGGACTCATCTGGCTCTCAAAATGATGACTCAGTGCTGCAAAAGAGATGCTCGAGTTTTCAAAGCACTGTAATCTACAGATGAGTCAGTTTGTCCCACACAGATGTGCTGTCTGCCTCACAGTTCTTGGCTATTTTTAGCATTACTTCATGCAAATTCAAATATTAATTCATTCATAGCCTTTTCCTTTTTCAAGTATTTACGTCACTAAATTTTCAAATCCATATACCAATGGCTGTTTTCTATAACAAATCATTTGAGGAGTTGATTTCCACCAAAGTGACATACGATTTCCTCATGAATAAGAGTGGGCGGCATGACGAGCACAAATTAACTGATCCCAACCAATACAGAATGAATGATGTTAAAAATGATTCAACATACCTGACAGGCCGTACCACGCAGGGTCGCCACTGGCCAGCTTACTCGCACCTGTGCAGAAGGTCAGCCGGAAGAACAGCCAGCGGGTCAACCAAAAGGTCACAGAGTCGTGGTACTTGTGAGAGGAGCCACAGCGCAGCAAACCCAGCGGAGCTACAAGCACAGCCAGAAACCCAGCCTCCAACAGCAGGATATCCCTATGAGACCATTACAATGAATCAGAAACCGTCACACGGAATTACAAACATGACTAGATTTATATCATTTCTTAAAGCCAGGAATAGTTCACTTACAAATGCAAATTCTGGCATCATTTACTCACCCTCAAGTTGTTTCAAACCTGTATGAGAGTCTTTCTTCTGCTGAACACAAATGTTGGTAACCAAACAGTTAATGGACCCCATTGACTTCCATAGTATTTTTTTTCCTACTATGTAAGTCAATGGGGTCCATCAACTGTCTGGTTACCAACATTCTTCAAAATATCTTCCTTTGTGCAGTTCAGCAGAAGACAGAATTTTCATTTTTAAAGAGCATATTGCAGGTAAAAAAATCTAAATGAATATATAACCTTGTATGAAAATACCATATGTCGTTTTAAAACATTTTAAATCCTGCATTAACTTTTCATAAGGGCACTAATTTAGTAGATAAAGTGAGCGTTTCTTGGACTGCTTGTAAAAACTGCTTTTTTTTCTCAAAATCGCGTCATTTTACGTCACGCCAGGGAGCCTCAGCCTCGCCTCAGTGCAGAGTAGGCTGGTATTCAGTGAGAGCGGCCGTGAGTAAGTGTGTTTTCGGTAGTTTTTGTATTTTAATTTATCATCGTCATGGTAAATTGTTTGTGGAGGTTGCAAAAACTCCGGCCTGTCAGGACATCGAGTCCACAGGTTTCCATAACAAGAAAAGGGACGGTGTTGTATATCTTTCGTGCCTGGTGCGGTTTGTGCAGGTGAAGAGACGGGATTTCTCTTCCGCATCGGCTTCGAGAAACGCGGTCGTGTGTAGCGTTCACTTCAGATCGGAGGATTATCATCCCGGCGATAATGATGGAGTTCAACATGGGATGCCGAAGCAAAAATATTGATCGTCTAATACTGCACCATTGGCATGAAATAGTGTGATATAGGTAGTCATGCCCTAAATAGAGGCAACTTGTAATTGAAAAACAAAATTCAAATCTTTAATTTTCTGTTTGTTATAACCCAGGTGAAAAATATGTATTAAAAATGTACTTGGGTATGTTTTTAGTACAATAGAAACTATACTTGAGTATATTTTTACACATTTAATAGTATAAATATACCCTAAACATACTAATGTCTGCTGGCCTGATATACGATGGTAATAATCTGTACAATATTGTGAGCACAGTGTGTATCGTTAGCGAACGTGTATATCTATAAGCACGTCTCTCACCAAGACACCTGTCCTGTTCTCCACTGGTTCTCACACCACAACTCATGGTGTCTCTGACCGTTCTGTCCGACATTAGTCCTGGCCTGTCCCTGCTCTCTTGGCAGCACAGCAGGCTCATAATTGTATGGCTGTGGTCCGTCATACGAGTAAGTACTTCCTCAGCGTCCGAAATGTCATTGCAATCCATTGTTTTCCTGATGTTTGAATCGACCGCTCTCCCGCCCGTTACGTCACGCCCATTTTCAGACGTGGAAGTAAAATTCTCACAAAAACGACTCCAGAAGCTTCTGTAGCGTATTTATAAGTATATTTTAAAGAAAATCTAGTTCCTACATTATTTTTCTATACATTGACTCGTTGGGTCTTCTAACATGCAATATGCCCTTTAAGTGAACAATTTCTTAAAGAAATATATTCTTGTGCCTAGATATGGCTGGGTTCTTCAAATACGAGTCAGAATTTGGTCAATTTCGTTTGAAAAGTTAAAGCACAGCCCGCTAACCACCAATTAGTCATTTAGTGGACTGCAATCACATTAAATTTAATGGGCAAGCACATAATATGCAGTAATGTTTGTGGCCAGTTTTCCCTCTCATAAACATCATTTTTCTGCTGCAGAGAATCTGACTTGCAAATGCCCCAATTATGAGCCTCAACAGCAATGGAGAAATAACAAGCAGTTATGCCAGTGTCGGTTATACCAAACAATACAAGGTCAACGTGCAAGTCATGACAACTTGAGGAACTCACCATTCAGACTGGAGGAAGTCTCCCCCAACCTATAAAACAAAACATATAATCTCAATTATGGTTCCACAGAGGCCACAATCGCAAAATCACCTAAAGACGACTTAAAGAAGCACCTGACATAGTGCACAATAGTTCTATAAACTTAAATAGCTTTTAATACTCTGACAGGAGGCGTTTACTAACATTATACAGTGAGAGGTAAAGGGCCCACAGGCAGAGGTAGATCAGACTGTCTCTCAGGGGTCCCAGCAGCACAGCACCCAGGCTCAGCACCAGTCCGAGCAGGCAGATGAGCTCCAGGGCCTGCTGGGGCCCCAGACCCAGAGACGGCCCCAACCACAGCAGGGACGGGGAGGCCTCCAGCTGCTCCAGCAGCGGCCGCTGCACTTTCGGCATCTGCAGGCGTACAGGAACAATACCTTCATCTCCATACAACCCTGTCCAGAGACACACAAACAGAGGCGCGCTTCATGTCAATGTGATCACTCTTGCTGTGCATGATTTAACTGTGAACATTACTCAAGAGAACGTAATACCTTAATCTGACTTAGAAACAACTTTCCTTTTCAATAAAGAGACGGAAAGGCATACACGCATAACCAATGTAGTCCGATTCACAAATTAATGAGAAGGTTCTTTTAAAGGGTTAGTTCAGCCATTAAAAAAAAAAAAAAAAAAAAAAAAGTTTACTCACCCTCATGTCGTTCAAAACCTGTAAGACTTTCGTGCTTCTTCAAAACACAAATGAAGATATTTTAATGGCATCTGAGAGCTTTCGGTCCGTCCTGACAGTCTACGCAACTGAAACTTTGATGAGAGTTTCTTCATGAAAATCTTCTTAAAGAGATTGTAAAGCTTGTGCTTGTGAGCTTCAGCAAGAACCAGTGAGGTTTGTTCTCGTGCGTCAAGCAGGTTCAGTTGAGCTTCTGTTTATGTACACTGATCAATGTTTATATGTAAATAAAAATTCAATCTGTTCATCATGTAAAGAAATCGAGTCTCTTCAGACAATTTGGACTTAACCACTCAATTAATATGAATTAGTTTTACGATCTCTTTATGAAGTTTCTGATGTGTGGTAGTTGCGTAGCTGTCAATGGAGGGACAGAAAGCTTTCAGATTTCATTCAAAAGATCTTCATTTGTGTTTCGAAGATGAACAAAAATCGGTTACGGTTTGGAACGACACAAGGGTGAGTAAATCAACAACTTTTTTTCATTTGTAGATGAATTAACACTTTCATGAATTGTCAAAGGACTATATTTTACAACTATTTTATTATAACTATACTTGTGCACATCATTATTAAATATTTAGGCAAACGCATTCTTTGATAAAACTATACTCCTGTTAACAAATGAATGAAAAACAAAAACATTCCCAGCCCATTTTATTTCCATAATGTGAGAAATGTGTCAAATTCAGGAAGTAAAATATGTTGTGAATGCCATTTCATTTTGACTTTAAAGAGGTATTGATGAGTGAGGTATAAAAGGGTCATAAGTCATCAGGTACTGTGCTGATTAGAAACATTGGTGGTGGTGGTGGTGGTGACAGACTGCCCTCATGTTCTGCACACACTAATACAGCATGTTGTGCTTGTTTGCGGTAGTAGAAGCACAAAGCATCAAGCTGTATGTAAACATTCATTCAACAGAACACAGGCAGGCACACACTGCCATGACAATGAGCAAAACACAAACCCGTCCTGTGAGTTTTTAATGCCTGAAAACAAGCACAGACACCCCAGATGTTCCAGCAGTGTTAAACACTGGATGCAAACAGGTGCACTGTAAAATACTGCTTTAGGCGGCTTGCTAAGTAACAATACACTGACAATCAGTTCAGAGAGATCAGGAAATACTACTTTACTTTGTTGCAGAACTTAGGGTTAATGTGACTGAGGTCTTTCTTAAGGTGGATGGCAGTTAGCAGAGGAGCAAAGTTGCATGGTCACATTTTTGGCATGCAAGCCACAGCAAGAGTGCACGTATTGCAGGCTGGTTTGAGTTAGAGAACAGGCCGTGTATTGTGCCAGTGCCAACGTATGACTAACGGTTTCTCTTTGAATGCTCCTTGAAGACCCAGTTATGCCTCAAGCGGCTCCTCCAGGGACACTGCCTTGAGGATCTCATGCCATGTGTGCAGATTCCATGTGCTTTTCCCAAAAGCATCATAGATCGTAACACCATTGACACCAACTAAGCTCACGCTGCTTTTAGAAAAAAAAACACAGCCCTGGAGTTTAGCCCTGACTGGAATATATATTTTCAAAAGAACTGAAACTCTGTGAATATGCCTCCCTTTGCTGAGTTTTAAACATGCAGCTGGGCCACCAACAACCCAACTCAAATTATCAAATGGGAATAGAGAGCTATTATTAAGTGCATTTATGATTTCTCTTATCTGTGGGAAACACAGTCTGCTGGTGGACAGATTTGGCAGTCTACACCATACAATACAAGGATATACGTGAAACTGCTCTTTTAATTCTTTCAAATAAATAATATAAAAGTGCTTAAGTTATTCTTGAACTGACCAAAGTATTTAAAGGGACAAGGTTACGTTAAATCCACTGTTATATAGATAAAACTGTTATATAGTCTATACAGCATTCAAATCAATTACTTCTGAAGTAACTATACACTAAAGACAAACAGAGTAATCCCTTTACTTTTTCAAGGAAAATTACAGTAATTAATTACTTTGTGGTAATGCATTACACCCAACTCTAATATGGATGCAGATTAGAGACAGCTTGCATAATACTGCACTTGGTAATACACATTGCAAAAGCATGAGTCACAATGGTAAAGAGATGAAAGCTCGTTAAAAAGAACTTTGCTGTTGCATGGGATCATAGGAGCTTGACACTTTTAAAGGTCTTGGTACATTCTACTACCGTATAATTAGTTGGGGGGAAAAGAGCCTTCATTATGAATACGCCATACACATGGCATATCCATAGAGGATTTTAGGGACAAAAAGCTCAAAGGCCCCTGAGTGATGACGGGTCACTACAGTGCGCACTCAGCACTAACTGGCGGGGTTCCTAAAATCAGCACATGTGGAGGAACTGAAGCAAAGCTGGTTTATTCATACGGGCATTGTGTCCAGTCATTTCGAAATCCTGTTTAAAATATTACATAGACAAATCAGCTAGAATGCGTCGTTCTGCATGGAGAGATGCGGTTTGTGCACGAGGTCCTTCAAAAGTTTGAACTGAAACTGGTCCCCCGTGACAGGAGAACGAACGGTTAGCGCTAATGAATGAATGACCTAAAGGAATCATGTTTTGTTTTCGCCGACATTCCCCAACAGTTCAAGTTCATGTGTATGCGCAACCATTCATTAATGCCGCACCCAAAATCCACCATAACCGCCAAACATCCATCTTCAAAAAAAGAGAAACTTCCCTACCTGGTATCTGAACGTAGATGGATGAAAAAGCACACACGTATATAAGTGCAATGCTGATCAAGAACATTCGTCTGGGCGTTTTTACTTCCCCCATCTTGGCGGCTTGCTGCAGGGATGAGGTGTCACTTTGTTTCGGGTGATTCGAGAGCTGATGCTCATTGGAAAAATGAAGTGGAGTAGCAGGGGTGGAGTTTGAATTAGTGATGGGAAGTCCGACTCAGTTCCGCGAATCGGTTCTTTTGAACTGTTCGTTCAGTTCTTTTACGTCATGACGTAATCATAGCACGTGGTCCCCGAGATTCAAACGAAACGTTCCAAAAGATCCATATGTAGCAACATAAGTCATTTAGAATTAGAACCTAACTATAGTTTGCATATGGTTTTGACCATACTAAAATTAATTTACAGATACTGAAATTGAAATGTTTATTAAACCAACTCTGTTTAGAATGCGAGTTTATAAAACCAAAAAGCGAGTGTTTACCGCTTTTTTTTTTATTATTCAAGCAACATACATTTTGTATAAATACGAGTATTAAACATTATACATACAATAAAATAAAATAAAAGACTTTAGAAAAGCCGCTCGGACCGTAAATCTTTTTAAATAGGAAAACGAATCATTTTAATCAACCGGTTCAATTGATTCATTCAAAGATTCGACTCAAATTAACGATTCATTCACTAGCTTGAATTTGTGGAACGTTAATAGCATTTTGAAAGCAGAACAAGACAACAGTGTATATTTTAGACAGTTACATCCAGCCAAGCGTCACATAATCAATTGCTATTATTGAAGCAAGTCTTCCCTAGCAATTATTGATTCATGTAACTTCAAAATAACAATGATATTTTTATTAATTTTAAATTGGTAATTTTCTTTTTTTTATATAGATAAAAATGATCATAAAAGAAAATATTACTTTGCCAAAAAACGAACAAGACGATAAGCCACACAAGGAGATGCTTTATTAAAGGTATTAGGCATTTTTTATAAAATTTTGTATCCATGAGTGATGGGCAGACACTCGAGTGAACACAGCTGGTTTCTGAGGTTCACATTTCTTGCCGCCCCCTGCTGTTAGTCCTACAAGGTAATAGACGCCATTTTTTGCACACATAAGGGGTGCGCCCGAGTCCCCCTATAAGAGAAAGAATTTAGGTGACCCAGACATGTGCATGCGAATCATAGGAGTTTCAACATCTGTATTGAAGAATCATAAGACTGTACCAAGCAGGAGGTAGAAGCGGCTGCATCTGTACACAGGAGGAATTTCATGCTGAAACTGTCACCCCAGCCGGTCTTGCAGGCTTTCTCAGAAAGAGGCTTAACCCTGGCCATATGCATGATATCAGCATGCAGATCCACTATTATGAGAAGAGAAAACGTCACTGCTCCCCAGAAATGTGGTTGAGGAAGCAGATACAAAGTAGCAATGGAAAAAATGTAAAAAATGTTGGACAGAAAATTGTGGTGTTTCCTTTTATATTCCTTGATAAAATATACCATTTTCTGATGTTAAGTCAACATGAACTCAAGACTCATCTAATTTACTTAAAACATTGTGCATGATGCAACAATGCATGTTACTCCAATAAATCAAATAAAGAGCAGAAACAAAAAACATCCATACATGCAACCAAGGCTCCAGCATTCCTCTGGCTCTACACAGGACAAGCAGTTTAGAGAATGGAGAGATGGAAACTAAAATAAGATAAAGTAGTTTGGAGAATGGATGAAAAAAAAAAATGAAAAAAAAAAAAAAAATTTCCTCCAACCACCTAGCTCTAGGATTCTGGTATGTAACAGGAATGGTTCACGATTCATTTAGTTATTGATGGATAAAATCAGTCGTGCTCTACATTACTTTCTTGAATAGCTCATTTCACCTGGAAATTACAAAGTAAAAGAGGTTATGAATGCATGCATCAAATCAAACCCTGTTAGTAAGCCAGTTGACTCACATGTAGATTTTCTAGTCCCCCAACCAGTTGTCACACAAGCCGAGCTGTCTTCATTCACCATTTCATCATCTTCATCCGTTAAGCACACAGGAAGTATCATCGACCCTGGATGGAGCACACGTTAACCTGTACACCTTCGATTGTGGAACAGGATCTCATGAAAAACACAGATGAGGTCATATGATCCTATACCTATTCGAGCCGAAACAGACAAGCGGATCATGGAGAGATCGGAGACCGGTGGGAATGTGGCGTCGTGAGCCAAACTCTGCACGCTTTCCACAGCTGCAGTCTGACCCGACATGAAGTTGAGGTCATGAGCTCCCAAGATCACAACATCTCCAGCCCTGTGGGACAAACCGTCAGAACACCACTGAGGAACAGCAGAGAAACGCAGACGATCAAACCCACGTCTTACTTGGCGAAGCAGTGGCGTGGCGCCAGCACCCAGCGCGGGTGAACGAGGACGCCGCTACAGTAATGCGTGTCGTGGTTCTGCAGGCTGACGTGCCATGGCCAGGAGTTTGGGCACGCCTCGCTTATGTTCTCCACCTTGAATGCGCCATCCTCAGTGGACACCACCTGGGCCAAGCCACTGGGCAGCTGGCAGGGACCCATCTTGGACTGACCACACAGGGCTGAAGCCATAACATGGAAATGGACATGAATGATGGGAAAAAAAACGATTGAAAAGGTACACGACTGATACTGAGAGCATGAAAAGAGTCTTACCAGTTGAATCTGCTCCAGAGTCAACAGAAACAAGTTCACCTATATAATACAAGAGGAAAATAAGCTACAGCAGTTTTAGATCAGCCACTGATATGCACTTGAAATCTGAAAGTTCATACCATGCATTGAAGAATCGATCCATTGTATGTAGTGGGACAGCATGGTGTAGACCCCTGGTCTTTGGGCTCGACCACATCCGACCCCCCAGCTGACCACCCCGGCAAGCTTGTACCTCTCGCCTGTGAAACACGACAGGGGACCGCCAGAGTCGCCCTGAACAGACATCCACACATGCGTCAAACTAAAGTTTCCACAATGAAGGATATTATTCCACAACCTAAACTAACATTGCCTTGTCATAAAAGTCAATTGGTTTGCAACAAAGAATGAGGATGATTAATCAAGTTTTTTTAATCAATATGACTTAATTTAATATTAACAATAGTATATCCTCTGTGTGATGCTCTCCTGCATGTTTGTCACACCACACGGCTTTGTATTTGGATCACATATACATATACATATATATATATATATAAATACAAATCACAAACATACACATACTCTTCTAGTAACCATAAAAAAATGCAAATGTTTACCTGACAATTATTTTAGCATTACCTGTTTTTTTTTTAATAATATACATACATTTCTACACACACATATGCATATAAAATATTAGATATTAATTTATATGATATAATTAGGATTATGCTAAATTACTTGTACGGTTTTCTTTTTAAATACTCTTATTAAAATCAATAATTTATTAAATCAATCATTTATATACATATTTTTCTAAGAATTATTTTTGTTGTTGAATAAATTAACCAATTGGGACCACGTGAAGACATCAAGAAATCTTTTTCCAAAATTCCTCTTGTGTTATGTGTCAGAGAATCAAAGCTAAATTGCAAATGTTTACCTGACATGCATCCATTCCACCAGCATCTGTCCCGGCACACATCATAAACTTATACATTTTCCCTCCATAAAAATTGCTACATGTTTGTGGATCAAAAACAGTAACATTGACCTCTTGAAGTCTGGAGGCACGAGGACCATCTATAAAGAGACGAACAGCATCTACTCACATAACCACCACTCTTACACAGGTTTAACAGCACATGGTTCATTAAAGGCCGTACTCTCTCTGATGGCGCCCCAGCCCGTGACTGTGCAGTTTACCCGAGGACCCAACTCCTCATTCAAGATGCCAACAGGTCTCACACACTCATCAAACCGCAGTGGACTCTGCAGTTTCAGCAGGGCAATATCATTCTCATTTGTCTTTTGGTTGTAGTCCTTGTGGGAGATGATTTTTTCCACCGTTACAGTCTTTAAATAAAATACACAAGAGTTCAAATAGCAAAAATCAATGATAATAAACTAAAGACCACATAAGGTAGAGAGATGAAAATTATCACACAGACACTTACTTGATGACAGGATTCATTCGCATTCTCCAAATTGTGCATTCCGACCACTGCGTTCCACATTGACGCCTTTTTATACCTGCTCACACACAGGGATTGCGGTTTAGACACACAGACTGCACTCAGTCGGACTCGGAGGGGTTATGGACCACTGATGGGCTCACCGTTTGAAGCAGTGGCTGGCGGTGATAACCCACCACAGGTCGAGGATGGCCCCCCCGCAGGCTGGCATGTCGGAGTACAGCAGGGACACTTGCCAAGGCCACGAATGTGCCCAGGCCTCCTGCCCACCTATAATTCGACTCTCCTCCTCATCCTGCTCTGGGATGAAGGCGCGTATGCCAGCCTGGTCTGAAAAACATGGTGCAAGGAATCATGTGTGTGAGCAATCCAGCAGACATTGGAGGAGCGCGTGTAAAGCAAGGCTTGGCCTTCTCTTGGCCATTGACTTGAGACTAGCGTTGAATTTTCTCCCTCAAACCGCTGCTTTGTCTGCTTATTGCTTTTTTAGACGGAAAAGAAAACTGATCAGCAGTTATGAGCAGCTTTTCTCCGTAATAAAAATATTTGCCAAACGATCCAGTTCGTATCTGTGTTTGCGCTCTGAAGAACGTAAGGTGCTCTTTGCACGCTTTCTGCCATGCCAAATCCCGCATTCAGTAGCCTATGCTTGCCATTCTGTTCAAATTAACAGCATGTAAACGTAGAAGCTTTAATAAATAGTTTATCGGGAGCGTTTATGCTGGGATGTTTAGCAACACGTAACTTGAAACTAAGGAAATCTATTTATGATTTTAAAGGGGAAGTGCATCTCCTCACCCTGGAGTTGGTTCAACCTCCGCATGCCAGAAGATTAACGATTGAAATGAAAAACTTATCAATATTATCTAACCATATTACAACCATTACGATCATTAATTTGTAATTGCTGCCTAACACGTTGTTGGGTCTGCTTTAACTGAATATATGACATTAACTATAACCACATAACGTTAGGCCTATTATAGCTGTATCCCAGCAAACAAAGAACGTTCCCCTAACGTTAGTATTTC